AAGCAGAGAAATCTTGTGGAATGGTTGGTTACATTGAACATTGGAGCTTTTAAACAAAAAAAGTATGTACCTATAATTATAATCATATTTTGTCGTAAATGCATTTCATTGGTATAATGCCTAGTTCTTTATATTCTTTTAGATATATTATTATTTTTTGTAAATTTATTTTATTCATTTTCAGCTTTATTTTGCCACTTTTTTCTATGAAATAAATTAAACTCTGCTTTAGACAGTTATTAGGTACCTATTTATTACATTTTATTAGGTTTCACACGGTGTTTCAATGTGTAAACCTATCAATAAAAGTTTTAATTTCAGAATTTTCTTTAACCTTCTCTTCTTCTTCTTCTTTCACTCAACTGACAGTGACAGTATTTGTACATAACCTCTTCGGGTATTTTCTGACATAACCGAATGAAATCATTAACAAGACAACTTGACAACAGGGTAATTTTCAACCAATAGAAATCTTAGAATGTTGGTCACATGACGGGGTTTGTGACGTCATAAAAATTTATATTTTTTGTAAATATCTCGAAAACGGTAAACTCAATTGAAATTCTGATTTCACAGAAATGTTTAATATTACAAAACGCCTTGAATAAAACCATAAAAAGTATAGGTCAGAAAAAATTTAACTACCCCATTTTTCTTGCAGAAATTATTCTTGCCATCAAGCTTTCAAGGCCGTATTGCATGTTGTTTTATAGTCAGCAATGACAAGACAACTTGCTGTTTATTACTGTGCTACCAACCGAAGAAAAAAATACGATTTTGTAAACACTTTGTTTATTTGTTATTTAGTAGAGATATTTAAAAATTAATGTGTAAAATGGATACTAGAACTTTGAACAAAATGTCAATAAAACAAATAACCTTAAACTGTTTAAGTCAAACAGCGTCTCTTTAGGGAATTTGTAGTAGGGTTGGTAACATAAAAGTTACCAGGTTTCACCCCAGAATTGCCGTCAAACGGCAATAAAAATCCATCCGGACCGATTTTCGGCAATTGCAAGAGATTCGTCGAAATGTCTCAACCGCGCATGCCTATGGCAATTTTCATTGCAATTGCCGAAAGAATTGCCGGCTGTAATACGGGCCGTATTATACGGCACACAAATTTAAATTTGATAGTTTGATCAGCGTTGCCGTTGCCGGGTATTTTACCCAAAATTCGGGTATTTTGGAGTATGTGCATGGTAAAATAATTAAACGGGTAAAACCGGGTATTTTAACCTTGACCCAAATTTGCAAAAATAAAAATTGTAGAACCAACAGCAAAAAATAAAACTTTAAAATTAAAATTCAACCATTCGACCTACGCTATTTCTGCGAAAATGAAAATGTCAAAGTTCATTTTGACCATTTTGTTGACTGGGTTTATACAGTTACCTAATAGATGGCGCTATACGTCTTTATTTTATATTGCGCATGTCATTGACGTTAATTTGACAGTCAACGGGTATTTTATTAAATACACGCGTTACAATTTCTATATTATGCGCAATCCATTGGAATGATGATCCTTGGTTAACTACATGTGGATTTTTTATTTTTTTTATTGGTAATCCCTTGCAATAGATATATGTCGCTGCTAACACGTGTCTAATAAAAATAAAATATAATATTACATTCATTTTATACTGAAAAAACACTGTGAGACAAAGTAACCCGCAAACAGGGGGTAACTTTGCACACCCAGTTTTTAATGTTTATTTTTGAAACTCAGCCCTATGTAATATTATAGCATAGTTATTATGAAAGAGCAACTCAAGACTCAAATTTTGGTATACAAAATTTAATGTTTATGATTGTTAAAACCACAAAAATTTTAAGCTGAAGTTTGAAAGTGAGCCAAAGCCACCCGTGTTTACGGTACCTATTTACTATTAATACCTTCCTATTTACTATTATTAAAAATTTGACCTCTTTTTTTTTTAAACAAGCCACGTATTCGGACGGGTAATTTTATGGGGATTTTCATGTTAAAGTGGGGGTAAAACCGGGTATTCTGTCATAGTGGCGTGGGTAATTGATAATTTCAGTGCGGCAACGCATTTAAACCATTTTAAACCTTATTCTATCATGGCTGTCATCAAACTGTTTGATGACAGCCATGATAGAATAAGGTTTAAAATGGTTGTTCTTAGCACTTTAAGGTCTCATTTGATGCTTACAAGTGCATCTGTAAGAAACACAACGTTTAAAACTATTTTTAATCTGTATAAACATAAAAATGGCCACAGTTAAATTCTGTGAAGTGATTTTTAGTATGCGCGAAACAAGATGAAACACGGTTTGTTGTCTGGATTGTGGTTATTACATTTTCATTCAAATATCTCAAATTAAATAATAATGTTAAAATTAATTATTATTAATAATAAACTGCGCACCACTCAATGTGTCGCGACCAAAAAGACCATCCTTTTTCAAAACGACATAACTTTTTTGTTTCTTGAACGATTTTATTTTGGTCTGTGATTTCTGCTAGCCCCATCCTCTGGCAATTCATGCTATAGATATATGAAGCTCACAGTTCTTTATGTAAATTTCGTACAGGGTGATATGTAAAAAGGTTAAAAATTTCAATAACTTCATCCAAGCCCCGTTTGTAAAAAATAATTTTTTTCTCGTTTTTACTTTGAAATAATAAAGAATTATGTCTTACCTTGATTTTTTCAATTTTAATTTTTTCGTATTGGAATCTTAGCAAAGAAAATATGATTTTTTTTAGAAAGAGTACATTTAAAGCTTTTTGGTAGGCAATACACAGTCTTTTTAAGAACAAAGGGATAAGATGGTGAAAGATTGTTCCTTGGAAATTCTGAACAAGCGACAAGCAACTATAGTTATAACTTCCATTATTTTCAAAGGGGCCTAAGCAAAGACCACTTTTTCAAAATGATATTTTGGTGAAAATTTGCGAAAACCAATCCTGAACCGATATTTACGTTCGTGACAGGTGATTCAGTTGTCAAATTTAAGTTTCACATAAAACCAAAATTGCTAAGAATCAAAATTCGAAAACAATTCCCGGCTGTTAAATTGCCTACAAAAAGCCTTAAATGTACTCTTTTGGAAAAAAAATCATATTTTCGGCTTTAGTCACAGGCTGAAGTTATGAACAGGTTTTTAGTCACGGGCTGAAGTTATTTTTAAGTTAGTTGACAGTTGTCAAATGTCATACAATCGTTAAAATAAAGTGCCTTGTAAAATAATACTAACCGCCCTCGGTGGTGTAGTAGTTAGCACTGCGGACTACAAGCCGAGAGGTCGTGCCACGCGTGGGTTCGAATCCCATCAGGGGTATGGTTGTTTGTGTTTGTCATTGTGTATTTCTGTAATTGGGCCTGGTGCCTGTTGAAAGCACATTAAAAATAATAATAATAATAATAAATGTGAAAATTATTTTATTATCTCAATAAAAAAATACAACAGTATTAAATAGTTTCTCAACGCCAATATTTGAAAAGTTTATATGAACATTGTACTGACCTTTTAATTAACCCTTAAGCAGGCACGCGGGGTGTACAAAACACCCCAGCTTCCTAAATATAGCTACCGGTCTCACTTCGATTCGAAAAAATGGCGCTTACTTTCAGTACCTTCCTGTCAAAGTATTCTCAGTCATATTACATTGCCGATTTTGAAGTTAATGTAATAGGTTGTCTGGTATTTTGTTTTAAACAGGCTCTGGGTGCTGTGGACACCCCGTGAGCAGGCTGGGTTTCGCCTCCCTATTGACTTTTTTTTACCAAATCATAATTACTTGTAAAAGTAAACCTTATCTTAAGTGCTTAGTGTTTTTTTTGTTTTTATTATTATTATGACTTTTAAAATTTGTTTTTTTTTAATAAATGCTTTATTTGATTAAAATTGTTGTCTTTTGACATTTTTTTTTTTGTCATCTTTTATCAAATTTGAAGGCAACGAAATATGTTCTCATTGTCTCTCAGCTCATCTTAACTTTATAACCTTAAAAAAAAACCAAAAAAATGTAAATAACACTCAGGGACGCTTTGCCATCAGGGGTGTCTCTGACACCCCGCGCGACCTACTACGTTGCATAAATAGGTGCGCCTTAAGGGTTAATAAACTTAAATTCGGGCACGGACTCCAATGTACTTTCACTGTGAAAAACTGTCAATTTTCAAGAAATACATTTCGATTTATAACCTTTATAATCTGTGTTTATAAAATATAAAAAATTGACATTTGACTGTGACACAGATTCCCCTATTGTTTCATAGATGGCGCTCTACACAAATTTTTTATTTAAATCATTTTAAGATAATAATAAGTATTTGTCGTGGAAAAAGTATAGTATTCACCTCGTTTATAAACTCTTCTATACACTTATTAATTTAAGCACTCGCTCGCAAGCTCGCTCGTTCCTTAATTAAATTCGTGTATAAAATGGCGTTTATCAAACTTGATACATAATATACCTACTATATTAAGTCGTTAAAAAAATAACAAAAAGAAAAGGTACGTCCATTTCTGTGGGTAAAAGGCATAAGGGGATAAGTCAAAAAAAGCAATTTTTCAGTAGAGCCTTAAACGTATTCGCATTAATCCAGGAAACATATTTATGGTTAGCGGGTATACCCTTTTGTTAGCACATGTCATATGCTAACAAATTTTGTCTCACACAAAAAAATGAACATTAGTAATGTTACATTTCCCCTGAACCTAAAAAACAAAACACTGACAGTGAAAAATAAAATTAAGGTCATTTCACAATATAATACGTTCATAGCCATGGAATTTCTACAAAAGTTTGTGTTGACCCACCTCTAATCATTCTGCTAGAGCACGCCTGTGATTGGCAACTTTATTTTATTAATAACTTATTAATGGTGCGTCTGATCAAAAAACGGCCAAGACTATACGCCTTAGAATCCCATTATCTATCCACCCCTTTACTGCTGTTCTTGACTTTTGAGACACCCTGTATATCGGTCTAACCCTGATGTTCACAATTCTTTTTATCCCAGATAATTTTAACGTCGCTGGTCCCGATTCGAAGCAAAACTTTTTCACCAACTACTCGGTCCAGGGCAAAGCTCACCCGCGTTCCTACATGTACCAGCTTCGAGAAGGCGGCGAATTGTACACTTTTATAGCGGTCGACGCGTGTTTGGAACCTGGCCCGAAGCGACCGTTCAATTTCGTGGGAATTCTGGATCAACCGGAAGTCGACGAGATAAACGAGCTCGTGAAAAAAACCAGGGCGTCCGGTAGCAACTACACGGTGTGGTTCGGGCATTTTCCGACGTCCTGTACCCTGACGGTCGGCGAAAAAAACGCGCGGGATTTGATCGGACAGCTGGATTCCGGTTTGGTGTACGTTTGCGGGCATTTGCACAAGCTGGGGGGGATCGTGCCCAAAATGTATGCCATGCAGAAAGCAGGGTTTTTGGAGTTGGAACTGGGAGACTGGAAGGAGAACAGAGTGTAAGATTTTGACAAAAAACCGGCAAAGAAATCGAAATATTTTTCTAGATATCGACTTATCGCAATAGATCATGGATTATTATCGTTCGTTGATCAACACCATAATCAGTGGCCTTTGGTTTTGATAACAAATCCGAAAAATGCACTCTTCTTCAATCCTCAGAAAGAAAATTTGATGAATATTAAACATTCAACGCATATAAGGTACACAGGTTTAATTTTTAACATTGTTTTTTGTGATAATTTGTTTATACGCTAAAGAAGCAACGCGCGCGCCATATGGTGGCGCTCGATAGCATTATTGCAGTGTTGCCAACACGTAGGGAAATTCCCTATTCGTAGGAAAAAAATGGTTTATTTTTTTAAGTGTAGGGAAACACAGACAGAAATAATATATATAAGTCTTTTTTTAACTTAAGTCATTTTTGTGACTTAAGTCATTTGATTTAAGTCTCTTTTTTTTTGGACGACTTGAGACTTAAGACTTAAGTCATTTTCAAAATGATTTGTATTATTAAGCTTTTTCTACATTTGCGTAAGGACTTAAGTCTTTTTAAAATGACTTAAAACAAAAAAATGACTTAAGTCTTTTTAAAATGACTTAAGTCTAAAAATTATTTAAATCTTTTTAAAATTACTTAAGTCTAAAAATGATTTAAATCTTTTTAAAATGACTTAAGTCAAAATAATGATTTAATTCTTTTTAAAATGACAAAATAAATTAAATTCTTAAAAAAATAAATAAATAATGATTTAATAATTTTTAAAATTACTATTTTGATGGTTTGAACGTTGCGTCGAGTTAAAATTGCATGTTAAAAAATTGTCTCTGCACGTTTAATAAATGTGTGTCGTTTCTTTATATAAGTTTTAAAATTGCGGTGTTTTTAGTGGGAAAAAAATAAAAAAAAATTGTAGGTCCGGTCCTGATTTTTTTTTGAATGTCCGAATCAGCGCTGTGCAGGTACTTTATACTTAAGTATGTATATAAAATTTTATGCGATTCTATTGATCCATTCCCAAGATATGATTTTTCAAAATTTTCGACAAAATACATAAATCACCCTGTACCTCTTAAACGAAGGACCTCCGAATTTTTTCAAAGCCAGATTCTGATTCACCTCTGAAAACTACACCTACCCTTAAGCTATGTCGGTTTCCTCATGCAACACCATGTATGGAGGCTTAAATTGTTACACGCTTGAAAAAATTGACATAATCAAATTAAAGCTAGTCCGTCCCTGGCGAACTAAATACGCCAAAGGTGTTTAAAAGTTAACTATAGTTATAACTAGTAGTATTGTTTATATTAAAAAATTATTAAGTTACTTTAAAAGTTATTAAACAATTTTCACATAAGTTTTAAAATAAGCAAACTGTAATTTATGGATAGCACCCAGGACCGGATCAAACCGGATCCAATTTTTCATGGTACTAACACACCAAGGTACTAACTTTCTGATCATGACAAAATTTGAGCTCCGGCTCGTGGAGGTCCTAAACAAAATCATTTTTTAAAAATTACAATAATTTTAGAAAATGCAGTTTTACTCAACTAACTTTAATTAAAGATAACATAAGCAGGGTTCCCGTTTGTCATAAAATTTTTAAATATCATAAAATTGGTTAAATTGTCCTAAAATGTCATAAAATTCACATTTTGTCATAGAAATCATAAAATTTAATAATTTTTTAACAATTTTCTCACCTTTGATTTTTTTTATAAAATGGAAATTTTGTAAAATAAAATTTAAAGCCGGTCCTGTAGAATAAAACGCAATAAAATGTTTTAAATATGGCCTTGGTTGTTGACGTATGAACTTCATACTATGAAGGAAAAAGAAGTTAGGTTAGGAAATGAATTTTAAATTTGAAATAAATAATGAGAAAGGTAAATTTATTTTTATACTATATTACTTACTAAGGAAGGCACAAAGAAGGACTTGAAGAAATTGATACTATTTTGGAAAGTAAGGGAACAGAGTTAAAAATAACAAGAAATATTATTTCTGAAGGAAATAAGAAATTATCGAAGTACCTTAACAATAACCACATAACTACTCTTAAAAAATCTGTAATATTGGAGGCTCAAACAATGATTAACATGGGTCTAAAAAAGCAAAAAAATAGTACCTATAGGTATATATACTATTTTTTTTTGCTTTTTTGAGACCCATGTTAATCATTGTTTGAGCCTCCAATATTTCAGATTTGTATACCTTTGTGGTTTTATTTATTTTGAGATTATAATACCTATTATAATAAAATACTAAAGTAACATATATTAAAAATAATATAGCAGAAATATTTATTTTGATGCGAGAAAAAATATTTATTTTTATATAATAAACCGTTAAAAAATTACATTTATTTTATTAAATAACTTTAGAAATGATAAATTCTTGTCATAAAAAATGTCATAAAATTTGAAAAATTTGTCATAAAATCATAAAAAAAAGTACAAAACAATGCTGGGAACCCTGCATAAGTTTGGTTACATATATAATAAATATGTTTTCACTAAAAAATCGTTTTATCCACCTAAAATAAGTAATTCATTTAAAAATAGCATATACTTTAATGATAATTAAAAAAATAATATTTGAAAAAGTACCTTTTTTACTGGTTACTTGAAATGGAAAAAATCACTTCAAGAAAGTTCAAATTTGACCTTCTCTACTAAATCAGTTATGAAACTTAAGAAATTTGTTATATGTTTTTAACATACCTTTATTAGTTTACTAATGAAAAAAATTTAAATTTACTCAAATATATTAATGTAGATTTTATAGGTTTTGGGCCAGCTTTTTGGGCATTTCCAATACTGTGTGCCAGTACATTATTATATACAATACAATAATTGACTAATTAAATGATCAACTTTTTGTTATGCACCTATTTTAAAAATAAATTTCATTAAAAGTCTTGTCAAAGAGTATCTATTAAATATATACTCTTTGATCTTGTTTTGAATCTCTCAAAATGAGTAAGGTATTTTTTTTTTTACTTAAATCTTTTTTTTTCGACTTAAATCTTTTTTTTTTCGACTTAAACGTATAAAACGACTTAAATCTAAAAACGACTTAAGTATTTTAGGGACTTAAGTCCCTAAAAATGACTTAAGTCTTTTTCTAGATTTAAGTCGTTATATATTTGATTTAAGTCATTTTTAATCAGAGCTGCAACAAGTCAGTTTTAAAAAGACTTAAATCTTAAGTCTTAAGTCAATTCTAAAATCAAAATGATTTAAATCTTAAGTCAATTCTAAGATAAAGTTCAAATGATTTAAGTATTAAGTCTTTGAATTAAATCATTTTCTTTCAAGTCATTTTCGAAAATTCTTAAATCAATATAAAGTGATTTAAGTCATCTTATGACTTAATTCCTTTATTAAGTCGTTTTTATGACTTAAGTCTATATTTTTTATTTAAATCGTGATCTAAGAGTTAAGTCAATAAAATGACTTGAATCAAAAATTGTGATATAAATCAAAATAATTACCCTTAAGTCAATAAAACGATTTTTTAAATGTTAATAATAATTTTATGTTATGTTAATGATACTGATATTATTAATCTATTTTAGATACAAATGATAATAAACATCTATGTTAAGAATTTAAAAGGATTTAAACTTCTAAACGGTAATAGATTCAAACTCTGTTAAATCGATAAAAACTGATAACTTGTTGTTTTGTTAACTTTTGTTAGCTGGTTCAACATCCATCTAGAAAAAAAATATTCCTCCCTTAAGGGAGTAATGATAAATAAAAATAAATTATTTACTTAAACAAACCGAAACACCCTGTATGATATAAACACGTTTTTATAATATTTATTCGTCCTTACCTGTTAATCGTTTGTTTCCACTTTGCACTAATAATCATAAATTAGACCTAAATACGCACGCATAACACGACGAATGTTGGCAAACAAAATAACAAAATTATAAATCCCCATTTTTTTTTAATTTATTTTAGACAGGACATTTTTTAATGTAGCCGTCAAATGGTTCCGAAAAGCTAACTTTACCGCCGTGGTTTTTTTATTCACTAGCGGTAGCAATTGTAGGTAGGAAATTAAAGGAGTTTTTGATCTGCTGCCGCGTGAACCCCTGGCAGTTCAAAAGAAAATGCTGTTAAAAATTTATAAAAAAATATATGAAAAATCTGACTTCAATATTTTCTAAAAAGACTTAAATCTTTTTCAAAAAGACTTAAATCTTTTTAAATTACTTAAATAATTTACCGACTTTTATAAAGACTTAAATCTTTTTTTGACTTAAATAGTTTCTATATTACTTAAATTGTATACATATATGTATTTTGAAAAAAATATTTAAGTCACAAATCATTTTGAAAATTACTTAAATTTTAAGTCTTAAGTCAGTTTTAGAAAAATGACTTATTACCAAATGACTTAAGTCATTAAAACGATTTAAATCAAAAAAACGATTTAAGTTTTCTGAGATCTTGCAGCTCTGTTTTTAATAAGACTTAAGGCTTAAAAAAAAGACGTAAGTCTTTTTGAAAGGCTTAAGACTTAAATCTTTTCTGTTTTATAGAAAAAATGACTTAAGACTTAAGTCATTTTTATTTCAAAAAAGACTTACGACTTATGACTTAAGTCTTTTTAGAAGTGACTTGTGACAGCTCTGCTTTGCAAATAGGAAAATGCATCTTAAATGCAGAAATGCAAAAGAATTACCCATATTGTTGTGTTTATCTTGAAATAGTCCTGTAGAGAAAGTTTTTCCAATATGAACAACTTTTGGACAAAAGACAAATCACAATTGCATATTGAAACACTAAAATCATTATTAATTGTTAAAACTAATGTTGATTTTGAAGTACTAATAAAAAAAATTCACTCCCAAGAAAAATAAAGTTTTAAAAAATATTAATTTGTAATAATATTATGTTAATAGATTTTTTATTAGAGTTCTGGTTTTTCTTTCAGGAGAGTTGGTCACCTTAGTTTAGTACTATATTTTGATTTATTATTCCTTATATCATTGATTAAGAAACTCACTGCTTAAAGGCTTACATAGTTACGTTAGTGTGTGTATTTTCTTCTTCTTCTTCTTCTTCTTCAAGTTGGGCGGACTTACGGCTCAACCACCGCCCTTATGGTCGTGGACAAAAATCCTTATTAACCAGCTACTAGTTTTAACGTCCAATGATTTCAGAAGAACCAAAAACCATTGGACAACGGTTGTCTAACAAACACGTGGACACAAATAGGTTATGTAACCTTGAAATTTTAAATGTTCATATAAATTCCTCTATTCCTTTAAAAAAGGACAAAACGAGGAATATTATCTAGGACTGGAATCCGGTTTTGTCCTCCCTGAGTCAAAGTCAACTATTTTTCACACTTTTTCATGGAGCAATGCAGGAGCGATACGCTTCTCACCGAGGACAAAATCGAACTTCGTGTGTGTATTTTATCCAAGAAATCATGGTGAATTATTGTGTTTTAAATTGTAAATGTAATTCAAGAACTAAATCGTTGCATTTTTATTTTTTTCCGAAGGATCCAATTGGGGACGCATATTTGTTGGTGCTGAATTAACTAATGATAACTTTGCCCAATTTTGTACCAATTTAAGAAATTGAACAAAAAATAATAGTTGTGCAAACATAACCTCAACAACAAACATTTTTATATTTGATTCCTCTAAAATAACGCCGACACTGCATTTTGAAATAGTAAAACAAAATATATCTACGAAGTTATGGCAACATAATATTATATAAAATACATAATATAATACCCGTTTTTGTTTTTTTACGTAGACGACTTATTTGTTTTATGATTTTTACTGAATTGAAATGTTTACAATTTTCACGTAAATCATTACTAAAATTTGTGTTTATTGTATTTAATAGGTACAATTTATGTTTACAGGGACTATATGCAATTTATTTCTTAATTTGGATTTCCACTGTTTATTGGGAAATCGGCAAAGGCTCACGTGATCACTGTTTGTAGTTTGGTTACGATGTTGGCGCTACTAGCGATGCTTCTTTAGCGTATGCGAATGTCCATTTATAGAATATGTTTTTTGTAAAATAATAGGAACAATAATTGCGTCAGATACTTTGAATCTAATTTTTAAGGGTTTTGGCATTTTCCCTAGACAAAATTACCTCGGTTAAAGTAAGAGTGAACAGAGGCGCTTGGATAGAATGTGCTAACAAAAAAGGGCCTCTTTATGTGGTGGAATGGAACCCTCTGGAATATAATGTGGGCATCCACAACATAGAGGTAAAATATGTCATTTTTTTCTATCTACTTGTAAAACAAACTAAAATTTTTGACAGGCCGAGGTCAGGGATGTCAACGGGCGAAAAACAATTGAATCGCAACCTTTTGCAATTGATGGCAGTAGGCTTAGTTTCAGCTTTTTACCAAAGATGACCCTGATGACAAATGCCAGTGCTATGGTGAGTAATGACATCTGTTATAAGAAATGTCAAACTATAATTAAAAATATAAAAATTTTCGTTTCATTTCATTTTCAGTTTAGAGCGATGTTTGCCGCAATGATAATAGCCTCTATTGTTCCTTTAAGTATATTGAAGTATCTTAACGAATTAGTTGCAGGTACATCAATAAATTTTATTTAGTTAATTATTAAATACATGGGTGTTTTTTCTTTAAGTTGGTAAAATGACGAAACCAAAACTTCACGGCTGCGGTAGAGCCTGGTTGAGGAGGTTATGGCTTCTTTCGACTGTTAATAGACTGTTTTGGCCTATGATTTTGTACCCAGTGTACCTGATTATTGGGCCCTGGTCTATTGGGTATCTAGTTGAGGACCATATAGGGGTTATTTTTGCCTGGGGTATTTTCGTGAATGGGGCATACCTACCTGGGTCTTTTACATACGCATATGGATTTATACAGGTACTGGAAAGGGAGATATATAGACAGATAGATAAATCCTTGAAATTTTTTTAGCTTGTCACATTTCAAGTACCCCTAACTCTAATACTGGCCAAAGCTGTTGATCACAGATTCAAGGTTCTACTGTTAAAACCTCCAAGAAAAGAATCGCTTATTTGCGCAGGGTTGAGACACTTACCTTTCGCCCTTATTTTTACAATGCAAGTAATAATGGCCTATCTTTTCTGGTTGGCGTATGGCACCATGGCCTTTTTCCTTGGGCCTCTGAGAACTTGGTCTATTATTTTGGCGCTATTTTTGTACTATGAAGCGTTGTTTTTGCCAGAAAAATGTACCAGGTAAGTGGCAATTTTTTCTAAATAAATCAGTTATATCTAAAACAGTTGAGTAAGACAATAAATATTTATAATTATTTGAAACAGAAATGACATTAAATTTTTACCATTGCTACCAACATAACCAAAGTCCTTTTCAATTGTTTTAGAAAGGCTTCGTTCATTTGGATCGTCAAGGTCGAGCCTCCGGTTTTGACAGACGACAGAAACAGTACAACATCGACAAACGTCATAAATAAGTAAAGACCAAAAAAATACGGCTCCCCAAAAATCTATACATTTATTCAATACTCATTGTGATAGAATCAATAACCCTATGTAATGATTTTAAAATATTTTGTAGATATTCTAATATTTTATTGTTTTTAAGACTTGCTCGTATTTAGTTTTTTGTTTTTTTTTATAATTTTACAGGTAAGTAGCTTTGGAGTTGTATATTCCGTTTTATGCTGCCAATTAATTTTTAAGACATTTTAACACTGGTCAACAAAATATCTGGCAACACTTTGAACTTAAATTTTGGTGACCAGGGTAACTTTAAATATCTTCCATTGTTTTATGAGTTCCTATTTTATTCCACAGATTTTCTTTTAAATTGTGTTGTATTTAATTTACCAAATATATTTATGTTTATATTTATTTAACTGATGATATATATTCCTAGTTTATAAAACAGCATTTAGCTGATATATATACTCACCGGCAAAAAAAGCGGCTAGAACGTCAATAGAAATCTTCTAAATTTTCGACATCCCACATAGTCAAAAATTTTGGGGAACTAATTCGTCTTACTTTTGCACCCTGTATATTCTCGAATGAAAATCTGAATAAAAATGAGTATTATAGGATCGTTACTGAAGAGTCAATCAACAGTTAAAAAAAAAATCATCAAAATAAGATAAGCGGTTTAACAATTTCTTGTGGCCGATTTTTTTGTCAGCGAGTGTATACAAGGCATGACTCAGGACACAAAAACACTTAATCAAGTCCCATCTAAATTATATTAAAAGTGGGTTTAAAAACGCAATCTGCAATTTTTGTATGTAGGTCTACGCTAAAATAAGCAATTAATTAATAGGATATAAAAAGTAAAAAAAAAACATGTGATTGTAGATTTTAAAGATTAAAAATGCGGAAATGAAATTGTCTGTAATTTAGTCATTATATTTATTTATTTGTATATCTTGAAATATTTATTCTTGTTAAATAAGAAAACGAACTATTTGTAAAAATCACTAATGAGGTCATAATAATAATTATTATTATAGCTATGTAACACTTATATACTGCATGTGATGTTATTGCAAATATTTATTTCATTAGAATTATATGTCAAATATATTTTATTTACAATTAATTTATTATTTACCTTTTATGAACATATGTAGCGCAAATATGGTATACCATTTTTTAATATTTTCGATACTTCAAGAGTTACACCCTAGAGTCTAGGGCCTAGACCAAACCTATAGATAAATATCTTATGTCGGATGTCGGGACAGTATTATATAATATTTAGCCCAATTTTAACCTTTATAATATGTGATTTAGCCAAGCTAAGGGAGGGCGCGGATTTTATAATTTTTTGACGTTTTTGTCCTTTTTGACGTTCAATTATATCCGTAGTTATCACAGACCTGTGGTAGTTATCGAATTTTTATAAGATTTTGTGTATTTGTGTGTTTTTATTGTGTATTGATTGTATTAATGTATATAAACGAGACATTTATTTACATATTTATATTTATATTCTATCTATTTATACAGTTATATATACACATTGTTTTACACATTACATTTATTTATATATTTATATACAAACAAACAAAATGTACCTGTTATAACCCACAATGGGTTCTTTAGGTTTACGTACATCAATAAAAAAAAAAAAAAAATTATAATAATAATTTATAAATTTATAAACAACACTTTGACCGAATCATAATCTTTCATAATATTATGGTAGTTTGTTGGTCTGTGGTAGTTATCGAATTTTTATAAGATTTTGTGTATTTGTGTGTTTTTATTGTGTATTGATTGTATTATAATAATAATTTATAAACAACACTTTGACCGAATCATAATCTTTCTTATGGTAGGCATAGGGTTGCCACCTGTCCTCCTTTGTGGAGGACAGTCCTCTTTTGATAACATCACGTCCTTCGTCCTCTTTTAAATAAAATATGTCCTCCTTTCTATGTATTTTATTGTGCTCTGAACATTTTTCTCGGTAAACCAATAAAATAACAGGCTTGCAAACAATAAAAAATGATGTTGGCCGGTATCTGTATAGTGGGTTGCCTAGTGCTTTTTAAAATGCGTTATGAATATTCACTGAATGTTCTTAGATGGTGCTTGGAAGTTTTAGAGGATCATTCTATGGAATATTCCCAATACATATTCCTAGAATGAAGCGGATTATTCCTAGATTATAGGGCATATTCCTGGAATATTTTCGCACCTTCATTGCAGTCTGGGTTATTTACTAGATACCTATATAGGTATCTAGTAAATAACCCAGACATATGTTATTATTTTTATCTGACTGCAACATATTAAGTAGTTTAATGTTCTAGTTAATAAAGTTAATATTGCAAATGTGCTTGGAAGTTTTAGAGGATCATTCTATGGAATATTCCCAATAAATATTCCTAGAATGAAGCGGATTATTCCTAGATTATAGGGCATATTCCTGGAATATTTTCGCACCTTCATTGCAGTCTGGGTTATTTACTATGTTATTATTTTTATCTGACTGCAACATATTAGTTTAATGTTCTAGTTAATAAAGTTAATATTGCAAGGGATAGGTCCTTGGTCATTTCTGTTGAATTTGTTTTGATTTTGGCAACGGCCCCTTTTTTTTTGGTAAAATTTTTTGAAGCGGGCTTTTAAAAAATGTCCATGTCCTCCAACCCCAAGCTTAAAAGGTGGCAACCCTAGGTAGGCATGTATTGTTTAATAAAATTTATGGATTTAACAGTATTCTTCAATTTCAAAATAATGATCAATGAGACAGTTACTTTTGGTAGACTATCATAAATAACAAAAACAATGTTTCTTACCATATAAGAATGGTACTTTTGGGAATAAGTATGATAATGATTCAACGAGTTTTACAAATGAAAAAAATCACAGATTTTACAAATGAATACTAAATACACTTGTTTTACATTTACATACATTTGTTTTTCTCATTGCTTTTCCATAAATCTGCGAATTTCTTTAGTTTATATAAGTTGCCAATTTTTTTTTTGAAATTTTCAAAGTCTCGCGTTTTTGGAGCACTTAAAATCAAAATAATAAAAATATATTATTTAAAAATATGTTCTTTCACGAGAAGAATTTTCAAAATTTAGCTAGAATAATACAAAAAGTGCGGGACGAGGTGGGATTTTTATTTATTCCTTCAGCGGGTTTCCACATTACCCAGGAGGTACTGCTCATTTTTACCTATCTTACAATAATTATTTTTAGATTAATAAAGTCACAACCGCACAACAACAAAATAATAATGTACAAGCATGGTAGGTATATGAAACTCAACCATTTAACACTGAACTATAAAAAAACATGAATATTTTTATTTATATTTTTTGTGATTTTTACTGTGGTATTTATGTGTATAATAATATATTAAAATAAAAATGATCTTGATCGTGTGACGTATATGATGCGTAAATTTATGGGATTACTATTTCCCTATTATGCGGTCAGGCAATGATTTAAGCGTTTAGAATTAAAGTTGAAAGGGGTGCGCGCTAAATTTAAAGGAAATATTTTAAACTTTAATGGTTATTCTATGTTTTGATACTTTTAATGACTGGAAATTAGTTTTAAAACGTTTTATATTTAAATAAGTAATGTATCGAAAATTTCAAATTATACTATAATTTTAACATGGGAGGCCCGGCCTCAGTTGCTTTATACGACGAGCCGCCACTGCCTTAAATACATGGTAGAAAACAAAGTTATTGTTTTCTTTACTAATTACATTTAAAAGCTAGCCAGTTAGATTTTAAATATAGCGCCATTGAAGTAACCAATCAAATACGTTGATTTTCCATCAATTAAAAGCTATGTTGGCAACAGTTGCCTGTAAACACGTAATTTAATTTCCCACCAAGTTCAGAGAGGGCGCTTTCATTTTTTTTATCTGGGTTTTTTGTTAGGTTGGCTTATGCCAGTTTGACTTGATATTTTTAGTATTTAAAAATGGTACTTCTGCTAAAGAATTTAATAAAATACTTTGACACTGTCAAATTGACAATAATATTTATTATTGATATTTTACTTGTCAATTATAAATAAAAAGATAATTATGCCAAAAATAATAGCAACGAATTCGAATGTAAAAGCCCTTTTGAGAGCAAAACTTTATTTTGATGAAATTATGCCAAATGCCACAATGGAAGAAAAAGTACATCGCCTTATTGACATTTTTGGAGTAAAAAAGTAACGTATTTGGTTTTATAAATATTACATTACACATTATTTTCAGCTAAGCAGCTCAAAAATTTTTGAGATACTTAAAAATATATATTTAAATACTTTTTTTATATGATTTTACTCATCCAAGCACCACCAAAGCCAAATTAATTGCATTTTTAACTACGAATTTTGACAACTCAACTTAACAACCGTTCAATGTAACCTACAATAGTTTAAACATAACCACAATTACAATTATAATTACATTTATAACTAGTTTAGTTTGTTTTAATCAATGCGACCAATTTTGGTTCTGTATTTACCAACCAAAACCCTAAATGCAACGTTGCCAGTCCAGATGAACTATATATACTAGACTGGGCCAAAAAAATTGACTATTTTTTTTTTTTGAAAAATATATCGAGAATGTCATTCAGAATGACAAAAAAATATTTTGTGAAAATTTGCTATTTCGCTATTTTTGATTTTTAGTCATAATTTGATGTTTTACGTTAGAACTGTCAAGTGATTAAAATCGAAGAAAAACTTAAAATTTCAATTTTTTCTTCGTGAATAACTTTTGAAGAATTAAATTTAGGCAAAAATGTTAAGAGACCTTTTTTGTAGAACATTAAATTTCCTTTAAGAATCCGAGCTTTTTTTAAATATTCATTGATTCATTAGTTACAAAATTTCAAAGTAAAAAGGGCAAATCGAAAAAACACATCGATTTATTAAGCTCAATTACTCGGAAACGGCTCGTCTGACGAAAATTTTTAATCAGACCTTTTTTGTAGAGAATTTAATTTTATATAAAAATAAGTGAAAAGAATTTTTTTCACTTTAATGTTTTGACAGTTCTAACGTAAAACATCATATTATGACTAAAAATCAAAAATAGCGATGATAGACCTCTTAAAATTAATATTAAGGGCTCAAATATTCACGAAATTTTTTTCACTTTAATGTTTTGACAGTTCTAACGTAAAACATCATATTATGACTAAAAATCAAAAATAGCGATAATAGACCTCTTAAAATTAATATTAAGGGCTCAAATTTTCACGAAATTTTTTTTGTCATTCTGAATGACATTCTCGATATATTTTTCAAAAACAAAATAGTCATTTTTTTTGGCCCAGTCTAATATAATATATTATATATAATATTATTAATATATACTATATATATTATACTCTTTAAGATAGTCATCTATTGGTTTGGTTTAGGAGTTACACTCAATATTCCAAACTTTTGAGCCAGCCTGTATATAACATAATATGTTATTTAGTAAAGGTAGGTATTATCTTTGGGTATTGTGTGTAAAAGTTGTGAAGTAAGTATCGAAAATATTAAAAAATGATTTTAATAAAAGTTGTTTGGTAGCATATACCTACACAGCAAACGGAAAATTATAGAAGTGTATAGGATGACTCCGCGTTTGAATATCAAGTCTTAAAGTTTTATCATAACTGTATTGAATCGTGCTTTGTTTTTATATTTTTCGGCTCTATACCTATGCACGACTATATTTAAAGTCAAACTCAATGGTGTCTTACAAGATACATTATTTTGGTTTTCTATATTCAACAGAGAGGTAGAAACTCGACCCTGTCGAATGGTGCAGTCATTTATGTCTCTAGAAATTATTAAAAAAGGGTTCAGTCCAATGGTGCAGCAACTTTGGATTCCTATTCTCCTCAGAGACATAGAAACTCAAGCTTTTCGAATTTTACTGGCAATGATTTTCGTTAATGTCCCCGAGAATTATACAAAAACAGCGCAATGCAGTATCGCAACGGTTTCGACTTCTCTTTACTCTACCAAGTTATAGAAACTGGAGTCTCTCTAATACTGTTCTAGTCAATATTTCTGAGAGTATAAAAAGAGGGTGTAATATTGCAAGAAGTTTTGATCTTTTGATGGATGCAAGTAGTTTGAATTTTCTCATTTCTGCATATGATTTTGTTGAAAATAGTTCCTTTCTTTGATTCCTTTGTCTGATTTTTATTTACCGTCACAACTCAGGTATGTAAAGCACAGAGGATATATATGATGTTAAGTATATTTATGTATTATATAAAGTACCTATATTTGTATTAAAAATTTCAGAGGTTATGTTGAAAAAAGGATCAATATGCATATATATATGCTATTAAACTTTAATAATTTAGTAATGAGGTCTGTCGGTAGACCCTGCACTAGTATTAATACTTATAAAAATTATTTTATGCTTAAAAAAAACTATACACGACATGATTGTGATTTTTTTCATTTTATTAATTAATTAAGCTGTGTTGAATATTTTTCCTAAAGGAATAATTGCCAATGGGCCATTAATTCATTTGTTCGTAGATGCTACAATAACCTGCACTGGTGTGTACTTTTTCATCAACCAGATTTAAATATTGCTGTACTAACATATACCAGTGGAGATAGTGAAGGGTCTACCAACAGACCTCATTACTAAATTATTAAAGTTTAATACTTAGCATATCGATCATTTTTTAAACATAACCTCTGAAATTTTTAATACAAATATAGGTACTTTATATAATACATAAATATACTTAACATCATATCCTCTGTGCTTTACATACCTGAGTTGTTACGGTAAATAAAAATCAGACAAAGGAATCAAAGAAAGGAACTATTTTCAACAAAATCATATGCAGAAATGAGAAAATTCAAACTACTTGCATCCATCAAAAGATCAAAACTTCTTGCAATATTACACCCTCTTTTTATACTCTCAGAAATATTGACTAGAACAGTATTAGTGAGACTCCAGTTTCTATAACTTGGTAGAGTAAAGAGAAGTCGAAACCGTTGCGATATTGCATTGCGCTGTTTTTGTATAATTCTCGGGGACAACGAAAATCATTGCCAGTAAAATTCGAAAAGCTTGAGTTTCTATGTCTCTGAAGGGAATAGGAATCCGAAGTTGCTGCACCATTGGACTGAACCCTTTTTAAATAATTTCTAGAGACATAAATGACTGCACCATTCGTCAGGGTCGAGTTTCTACCTCTCTGTTGAATATAGAAAATCAAAACAATGTATCTTGTAACTTATAGTATAGGTATAGAGTATGAGTATGGGAACGTATGGCAGGCCCCAGATATATTATCCTCCACGATCTCCCGGGGATATTTTACCCCCTTTTCGTTCTCCTGCGTATCCCGCCAAATCACAGCATTACCTGTGTTTGTTGGATCCGAGGTTTTTACGCCGGCTGGTTGATCCGCCCTAGGAGGTTGTGGAAGACAATGTCAAAGGTTAAGGCCGCTCCCGGAATTTTTGTCAGCCGGGTCGGGCCATACGTCCAGTTTAGGAAGGGTTTTTGGGGGACATTGAACTGACCCAAAACTAAGTACAATCCGGAATCCCCCTTAACCAGGGCTTTAGTAATAACCCCATTCATTTGGTATTCTTGAATGGGGGTAGAAGTGTTAGTACGCTGCTAGAACCTGTCCTTTTGGTGTATTTCTGTACGTCACTGTCCGAGTCAGTATCAGGTTCCTGGTAACCTCTTTAGAATTGTTTGCCCCCCTGTGTGATACTCAGTCTTGTCTTCCGTATCGAAGCGTTGACGGTCCTGATACCCGTGGGTGTCCTTTCCCTTAATGGGTATTCCTCCTGCCAAGTATCGGCTACCCACCTTGTATATTCCTTATTTATTTTAAAATTATTAATTGTCAACCAGTATCTATATAGATCTTATATAAATATCAATTAATCAATACCAATACTAATCAATACCAATAATCAATACCAATATCAACCAATAATCAATTAATCAATATTACGTTAGCATCAATATCCACCAATTAATCAATCCATATTAATATTAATAATAATAATAATATTAATAATAATAATATTAATATCAATATCCATAATTCCAACATCAATATTAACATTAATACCAATAATATTAACATCAGTACCAATACCAACACCCATAATATCCATACCAATCAGTCGGTCTATTAATTTATTAATTAATTAATCAGTCTCTCTAATGTAAATACCAATATACAAAATGGGTAAATCCGGCTCTGTAGTGTATGTAATGGAATGCGGCAATATGGCGTAGGCTGAGTGGGTCTTCCTTCTTATCTATCCTAAATGCATATACAATATTACCTATTCGCCAATGTTGCCATTTGTAACAAAATTATCGAATTGTAACATAATTTTTTCTAAAAACAAGCTTGAAAATTATATGTAACATAACGATAATTGTAACGTACAGTTGTATTCAATAAAAAAGCGTACAAGAATTAGAATGAGAGAAAACTGTCAAAATAATATTATTGCTTAAAACCGGCTTATCACTGACATAAGTCATTAAAATAATTACTATAGGTTATAAAGAGCATTGACGTCGTAGGTTAATTAAATAATATTACAAAAATTGTTAATTTTTAATACCTATAGATTTTTTATTTCTATTATACCACGGTACGAATTGACCATTCTTCTTCGATTCTTGATACTATTTGAGCCTTTTTAACTGACGAGGCATTTTTATTTTCTACTGTCAGTTATAGTGACTTAAGTCAGTTTTACGCAATATTGTTGACAGTTTTCTCTCATTCTAATTCTTGTACGCTTTTTTAATGAATACAACTGTAATTTTTTAATCCAAGTATCTGGACAAAATTAACTTTATTCTATCCAGATTAATAAATTTAATTAAACATAAAGCCTGATTTATAGATTTTCTACCTTCCTCCCGTAAAATATCAGCAATACCGTAGTGCTGTTTATAGATTTCCGTACGGTATTTATAGTTCTAAAGGTAACGATAGAGGCATCGATAACGGTAGCCAAGTTGGGCATTGAATATTATATGAAACAATTTATAGTTGTCAGAGGAAGCGGTAAGGGAAGTAGGGGCCAGAACGTATACGTTAGAGCGGCAAGAGATGACCTTTTTTCATCTTTTCTTATCTCAACCGCGACTCCAGCCAATCACACGGCAGTTTTTAGTTGACAGCCTCGTCTTGTAAGTTTAGTGTTTTTGCGAGGGGCCGCCATTACCGCTACCGCTACTTTCTGAACTATAAATCCAGCTTTATACTATTTTTAACAAGTTTTATAATTTTCTAAAAATTCGTTAATATATTCAACCCTGCTTCTTTCACTTTTTTATGATTAAATTATAATAATTATTGTTACATAATTATTACAATTATTGTAACTTAATGTTCCGAAAATTCGATAATTTTATTTACCCAATTCGATAATTTCAACTTTTACATCTGGCAACACTGCTATTCACACACAACTTGATTATGTTATTTTTTGTCTTGCATGTTTGGTTTATTTATTTATCTTACGCCTTTTTCGATGGTTGTTTATGATTTGTCTGCTATGAGAAAATGAGGTTGTTTGTTTAAACTTACGGAAATGTTCTTATTCTTTTTTAATTTAGTTTTTGAGACAATAAAAGAATTCTTAGTATTTTCTTTTTGCAACATTGTGAAATGCTTATATAAACATTGTGAAATGCTTCTATAAACATTTAGCGAATATACGGTAAGACATGCAATTGGAAAAAATAACTTAGCTTGATTATTTGGTGCTGGAATTGATCCATTTCGCATGCCGCAGTAAATTTCGTGGAACTGATCGTCTCTCTCACACCTTTTAACCAGGTCCAACTCTTGAGGATTTAATCCAGGGGGAGGTACCACACACAATTTGCATTCTTTTGCACTTGGGACAGTTATCACGTTTAGAATCGATTGATTTTTTATTATTTTACGGCGTTAACCAGTTATCACGTTACTACGTTTGTATCGTATACGCTGCTTAAGAGAGATCTCGATGAGCATATGCTTACACTTCAAGCGTCAAGAGCAAAACTAGTCGTGCATAGGTATAGAGCCGAAAAATAAAAAAACAAAGCACGATTCAATACAGTTGTGATAAAACTTTAAGATTTAATATTCAAACGCGGAGTCATCCTATACAGTTCTATAATTTTCCGTTTGCTGTGTATGAGCAAAATGGACTGGCATTCAAAAAAACCTTTGAGCCACCCTGTATATAATACATAATAGGGTATTTTACTGTAGAGTGGAGACTTTTTTAATCAACGCTTTTAATAATTTTTAATGCTGTTTGAATTAATTAAGTCGTCTAAATTTAGACGACTTATATATCTTTAAGATGACAATACCATCTTGACAGTATTGTCACATTAAAAATTAAAATGATTCCAGATCATAACTGCCAGTTGCATATGGAAGATGAAGATTTGGTTAATGAATACATTGTATCGGGAGTATTTATAAGCTTGAGAAGAAAGTTAAAGAGGTATTGTTTGTGCGACGAACGTCACCCCGAAGCCAAATTAATGTTTAAATCAAAAGCATCGATAGAAAGAGAGCAAAGTCTACATCTCTATTATTTTTATAACACAGTGCATCCTTACAGTTTGGTGAGTTTGTGGATGGAAACGTTTCTTGTCATTGCTTACGGATTTATGTTTTTTACTATCCCGATTTTTGGAATAATTGACGTACAAATTATTACTGATAATGTGCTAATTGCTTATTCTACAGCTTTCGAAATAATAGTCTTGTTGATGATGATATGGAAATTTAAAGTGGGTTGTATAAAAAAAAGTCACATCGAACTGGACATGAAGCAAATAGCAGTGAATTATCTAAAAACCACTTTTATTCTAGAAATATCGGTTTTGTTGTTACTGCCACTTGTTGCTTTACAACGTCATTACATAAATATTGCAAATATAGAAGATTACGAAATAATTCCACTACTTATAATTTACATGCGCGTGTTTACAATAAGCACCTACATGAACAGATTCCAGAGATTCGTAAACATCTCGTCAAGATTAATAGACTTGTTGAAGTTGACATTTGTAATGGTGGTCATTGGAAACAATATGACCTGCATTTATGACAACCAATTTAACATTGCATTGTGGAAAAAAAAGGAAGGAGAAAACGCCAGTAATGACTTCTTTCGACTTGTAGACTCTTTTTACACTACCTACTTGATTATAATGGGAGCAAACTCCCATCCCTTGGGTCCAGACACCACCAAATTTAGATTATTCAGCATAGTACTTCTTCTTATTGGCGTCGTCATGAACTTTTTGTTCTTCCTGTTTTTCTTTCGACTAATTAAATCCTTCATGGAAGTTAAGAGCCAGAAGTTGACCTTTATGAGAGTCATGATGGAGTACATGCAGTACAACGAGTTTACGCCAGCATTAAAAAAAAAGATTTTGACCTATTACGATTTCAAGTATGGAAGGAACTTTTATGTTGAAGCCGATATAAACAGTGTCTTGCCGGAAAATGTAATCCGGAACATTAATGCTGTAGCGTTCAACCACTTTTTGAAGAAGATAAGTTTTTATCACGCTCTCACGTCGAATATAGTTTACCAATTATCGAACTCTTTGGTGATGAAAATTTTTTTGGCAGGCGACACCATAGTTCACCACGGTGTTATCGAAACATCCATGTATTTTATCTACGTGGGTACAGTAGCGATTTACACCAAAGACGGCGTGGAGATTTGCCACTTAACAGAAGGCGATTATTTTGGTGAATTTTCTTTACTATTAGACATTCCCAAAACTGCCAGTGTTGTTGCCATAGAAAATTGTAAGGTTTTTAAACTATCCCGGGACGTTTTGTATGATAATTTGAAAAATGATCCTAGAGCATTGAAGCTTATTAAGAAGATGTGTTTAGCAAGGGCCGGTAGACATGACCATAATATTAAATAATTATGTATATATAATATTGAAATAGTCAAGTGGTTATAATTGATTTATAAGTACCTTTTTACGCAATAAATAAATAATGCGTTGTATGCAAGTAAAAACTGAAAAACTGCTTGGTTTAGTACTAGATTTCGATTAGTAATAATAATAATTCTTTATATGCCTATACGTTTGTGTGTATTATAGTGATTATAGTAAATTATTAGACATTTTTAGGAAATCCACACAAAATTATAGTCATAACCTTAAAATCAAACATTTTTATATTTGAGTCCTCTAAAAAACGCCGACCTGCATTTTGAAAAAGTAAAAGACAAAATATATCTACCGATTTATGACAACGCAATATTACATTTAATACATAATATAATACCCGTTTTTGGTCTTTTACCTTTGAGTGAATTCTTAATCAACACTTAATAATTAATAATGCTGTTTGCATTTAGACGACTTATTTGTTTTATGATTTTAACTGAATTTAATTAAATGTTTACAATTTTTACGTAAACCTTTAAATAATAATAAACTAACCTAGGCGAGAGCTCTCGGTATTTTTGCTCTCATTTGATTACACTATTATCTTGAATTTTTTTATTTTTAAATTTTGCATTTTATTGCTATCATAGTTAATTATAATTAACAGTTTCAAAGATAACAGGAAATTCAGCATTTTGATAAAATAATTCATTTTTGTTGCATAAATCCACTACATATTTTTTTTTTATTCAATGTAGACAATTATAAATTAAGAGTAACTTTTGTTATGATGATTGCCACGTGGTGGCGCCACTATCTTCTTTAGCGTATAATTTAGCAGAAAAAAATGACATGATTGTTTGATATTTGTTTTAGTTTGCCATTTTCAGTAAACCCTGTATTTCTGGACGATATGAATCATATTTTGACACATTGGTATTATAATAATTGATATAAAACTGAATATATGAATCATATTTTGACACATTGGTATTATAATAATTGATATAAAATATCAATATCAATATGTAGTACCTATAACTGTACATAAAGTGCTTTTAAATGACACTCTATTAAAAATAAAAAAAATAAGGTATCCAATTTATAGAAAACGGGTCAATACTCTGTTTTCGAAGTAAATCGGTTTGTTTACTATTTTACCTCGGCATATTCGCATTTGTTTTGAAAAGCTAACGATAGCATCTGCATTGTCTTTTCCAATAAATATTAAATGTGTTTATAGTCCCTTTACAATCTTTCACAAAAATCGGTAAACATGATATACATCAGCGTTTGAACAAGTGAATTGTGTGCCCACGAAAAATGATTGTTACGATTTCGAAAAGTTCTTACACCATCATAAGTTTTGTGTTCATATTTTCAAGAATGTTTGGATTGATACCGATTGAAGTTACTTTTGAAAAAAATGATTGTGTTATAATAAAATCAAAAAAATATACATTTTATTGTTATGTTCTTGGGTCTTTTTTGGGTAAGGAATTTCGTTAATTAAATTAAACTATCATGTACGAGGTGTGTTCAGAAAATAACGGGAATTGTTAAATTTCGCGGGTTCGGAGGGTCCGGTTGTCATAAAATTTTCTTTATTATGTTGGTATACATGCCCCCGAAGTATGATAAAAACTTTAGCTGTTTTCATTGTTTACTTTGTTTGTGGCAGCCGCTAAGGTTAGACGTGTTTTATGAGCTCGGCGATTTTTCGTTCGTTAAAAGAAATGGATCAAAGAATTTGTATCCAATTTTGCTTAAAAAATGAAATAAATTCTATGAAATGTTAACAAAGGCCTATAGTGAGTCTGCTGTAAGTAAAACAAGAGTTTACAAGATGGCCGTGAAGACGTTGAAGATGACGAACGCCCCGAACGCACAAGCACATTAACAACCGATAAAAACATGGAAAAAGTGGAAGAAATGGTTATAAACCATCAGAGAAGTCGCTGATGATGTTGGTATATGGATTGGCTCATCCCATGAAATTTTTTCAAATGTTTTGGGTATGAAACGCGTGGGAGCAAAACTTGTTCTAAAATTGTTAAATTTTGAACAAAATTTTTAAAAAACAATACTGTAATGATGCCCCAGCCTCCATATTCGCCAGACATGCCTCTGTCTGACTTTTTCCTATTTCCAAAAATAAAGAGAACCTTAAAGGGCCGTCGTTTTGCAAGCATAGATGACATTAAAAGCGCATCGCTGAAAGAACTAAAGGCTATCCCAAAAATCGAGTTTTAGAAGTGTTTCGAGTACTGGAAGAAGAGCTGGCACATGTGCATAATATCCAATGGGGACTATTTTGAAGGCGACAACATTAATGTAGACGAATAAATAAATATTTGTTTCAAAAAACGAAAATTCTCGATATTTTCTGAACACACCTCGTAGATATACCCACAAATACTAAAATTGTAATGATATTTATTGCATAAAGGGTGTTTATTTTTAAGGTATAACAAGTGCATATGGACTCTACAGAGACATAGCATTAGGTTTTAATAGATCCATCAGGATGGAAAACTCAAAATCCTTAATAATAACCACATTTGACATAATTTTAATAATATTTTTGGGCCTACATGCTATTTTTGTATCGCCAAAAAAGCTAAGATACATACTAAGATTTGTATGTTTATTTAATATGGTAATTACATCATTGCATGATAATAATACTTAATGTACATACCTACTTACTTTTAGATTGAAGGCATTATACCCAATCAAAAAATTAGGAGCTACAAAAGAAAATCCGTGTTTTTCATCACAACAACTCTAACTATCTTTATATGTTTAATATTATTTGATATTCTTATAAGAGGTGTTCAATCCTTAGAGAAAGAAAATGGGCTTTATAATTTTATTATTAATTATTTATCCTTCTATATTCTTTACGTAATTATATTTATAAGCTTAGTTTTAAACTGGCATATGGTGTATTTTGTTAAAGTGGCAATATTAACTCTGAATGAAACTCTAGAAGATGAATTGAGGAATGAAAAAATACTAGAGACAAAATCATGTTTTTGTGAGGCACAAGATAAAAAAAATATTTTGGAAACGAACGTTGCAGATCCACTAACAGGTTTGTATATTTTTTAGCCTTTTCGAATGTTATAAATAGTTATTTTTTAGTTTACCGCGTGATTTCCTTAACAACGGCTTACATGAAAATTTTTAAAAGTGTCGATATTGTTAACAAATGTAATGGAAGTGCAGCCGTGGTAAATACATTATCTTAGACGCCTAGATAAATGAACTACAATTGTAGTTCTAAAACTTAGTTACTATAAAATAAAAAAGAAACAAATAAAATAACAAAACAAGATTGCAGAATTGGATTAGGCATTTGTATGGCACGACACTGGATTCGATTGCTGTCGCAAACGAGACCAGTGGCTGTCCATCAATCGCCTAAGAATTGTATAATTAAACATAAAAAAATTGTTTTAGTTATTATTGGTTAGCTGCATCGTGCATTTGATAGAGACGCCATATTTTTTCTTAACGGAAATAAACTCATCTGAAAACACGTGGACTACCATGGGAATATTATTTTTGGTTTTGCAATTTTTGTGGATTCTGGCCCATATTTCATTTTTGTTCTTAATCGTCGAACCTTGTCAGTGGTGTGTTACAGAGGTTAATTAATTGAAAAATAAATATATAAATTTTAAAAAATAAATATTTTTTTATTTTAGAGTTATCGAACAATGAGATTGACGTGCGAGTTAGTTTCTTGTCATTTTAGGGAAGATATCACAAGACAGTTGTATTTGTTTATTTTTTCTATGACGCATTGCAAAATTAGGTACACTTTGTCGGATTTAGTTAAGATTGATCGGTCTTTATTAACATCGGTAAGTATTGTTTTTTATTTATACTGCAAATTTGTCCTATTATTTTTAAATTTACCCTACTGTGCAATTTTCCCACAATTTTATAACAAAGTGCAAAATTTGTCTTACCATTTTTTAAATTTATGCCACTGCGAATTTTTTCAGTATTTTTAATTATGACCAGTTTTCCTTTATCCAATGTTGTTCGAATTTGGTCAGTTTTCAACTACCGAAAACATTAATTTTAATGAGCAATTTTCAATTGCCCGGTTTTAAATAAATAAGGGCAGTTTTTAATTTCCCAATTTTACGCTCAATCGAATTCATGCTCTCCGTTTCATGTTTTTCGTAAGACATTGTAAAAATAATAACACAATAGGTTATTTTTACATTTATTTATCCCATATTATAAAACAAACAAAAAACTAAATCCACATATACATACAATAACAAGGTAAAATTTTTTTAATATACAAGCAATTGTTAAAAATTTATTCAAGCATGGTAGGAAATCTCATATCAGTTTTTTTGTAATTTTCCCTGATCCAGTTGTTAGCCCTCTCATTAAGTTCCTTTGAAAATAATTCCTTATGGGAACCTACTTTGCCTTTTCTTACAAAATTTCTATCACTATCAGATTGTGGTCTAAAGTCAAAATAATCTCTGTTTACGCTTTCATTCTTTTTGAAATTATCAATTTTCATATGTTCTACCAATCTATCAATTTCAGCATCTGTATATGATTTTCCAAGGAATTTGCAAACTTTTAGGATTGTGGATCTCATATCCTAAAATATATGTATTGGTTGACAATGTATTGCATTATTATTTTTTTTAAAGCAACCTTAACAATATCATCATAGAATAAAAACAATATATTTTCTTGGTTTCTAATATTCCATGCTTCTAGACAGTGATCAAAAAACGTAGGCCATACTAAAATATATATTTTTTAATATAAATTTACACCAAAACGTTACTTATTTTACGTAAGCCATTTTCGAAAAGATCCCAATATAGTTCGAATGGTGGAGGATCAGAAAACAATTTATCAAAATGATAACATGATACTGCAGTATCTTTAGGATTTCTTGCTACATAGACTATCTAAAAGAGAATTTAATTATAATTAGCTTCAATCGCAGTACAAGAGTATATTAAATGAGAAAAGTTTATAAACGAATTGCATACTATACTTTTTCTAAGATAAATACTTATTATTATCCACAGACAACTTGTCTGTTATTTTCTAAAAATTATTTAAATTAAATATTTGCATAGTGCTACAACTATAAAACAATTGAGTAACCACAGGTCTGTGTGAGTAACCAACTTGGGAATGTGTAATTATGTCAAATTTCAAATTTTTATGTTTAAATCTAAATGTATTTTTGAAAATTGACTGTTTAATCCGATATAGAAGCAGTTTATTTATCTTACTCTTCCTTCTTTGGGTAATTCTGGTGGAAGCAATGAAATTGGTAGGTGGCTCTTGTAAATTCTTGTTTCTGGATACTCAGTTTTCTCCCATTCAGGTGTAAGAATGGAATTAATGGTTGCCAGTTTTTCAGGATCGTTTTTGTGTTTCTTCAAAAGTGATTTTTTTGTATGCTCATAAGCTATAGGAAATTCGAAAAATGGAACTCTCTCGATTAAGGGCATCTCAAAGCCTGTTTTAAAATTCATGTTATTGGAAATTTGCCATACCATTTCAGTCATCATTGTGGTTCCTAAAAATTACAACAAAAAAAACTAAACAAAAATAGTTTTTAAAATAGTTTTTACCTGATCTTCCCAGTGTTACTACCCAAACGTCATTTTTTTTAATGGGAAAATTGTAGATTTCATCTTTATACTTTCTATAACATGGCCAAACCATATATTTCTTAGGTCCTACGTGATCAACATCACATTTCCTTCCAGCTAATGTATAAAAAATTAAAAATATAACTAATGTCTGCAAATTTAAAATAAACAATATTTTAATACAAACATTTTTTTAATAAGTTCGATAATTCTTCAGAAAGAGGACGAAATTCGTACGGATTCTTCCTTAAATTTGTATTCTCCATGTTGTGTGTTTTGAACCTTACTGGGTTAGACGAAAAGTAAATTATTTGTATGCGTAAACATTTTTTGTAGACGATAAACATTATTTTTAACGATAAAAACTATGTTAATCTTTTAAGCAATAATAATTATGATACTAATAATACAAGGTATACCAAGAAATTATCATTTCTTTTCTATTAGGTACTATTATATTTTATATACAGTGCGGACGTTAAAAGTCCCCCCCTGTTATCTTTTGAACGAAAAAAGGTATCGACATCGGACAAAAACCATTGTCAAGGACATTAAGAATACTACTTTTTGACGTCAAATTGATAGGTGCGCCAAGAGGGCAGTATCAACTTAAAAATTTCAAAGAGAAAGGGGGGCTTGTGATACCTCATTTGAAAGGTATTTCGATTCTCTATTCGATGCTATTTAAATTTTTAAAATCCGTTTAACGGTTGCTAAGTAATTGAGCATTTCAGTTTTTCAAACTAAAGGCCGATTCTCACATAGCGACGCGACACTACGCGACGCGATGCTTCAAAATCGCGCCCTATTGTCGCTTTAGGAAGCGACAAAATTTTGTCGAGTCGCGTCGCTATGTGGGAATTGTCTCATTTAAATGCATGTAAATCTTTCATCAGCTACATTTTAAAGTTTCGCGTCGCGTAGCGTAGCGTCGCTTCGCTATGTGAGAATCGGCCTTAATACATTTTCTTGCCGCCCTAGGCAGCTACATACGTTGCCTGTTCGGTAAATCCGGCCCTGGCGGTGCGAATTATCGTATATCTTTTTTGTTTTTGTTTTGTAAAAAAAAACGTACCATTGTAGTTATAAGGCGGTTTATAAAATAATTCTACTCTTTAGTGTAACACTATTTATCAGTTGTGCCTGCAATTTTACTTATTATTTCATTGGAAAATGGTTCGCGCTCGCCCGTTGGAAGAAAAAACAGAAGCAATTTTTATCGACAACCCTATTTACAGAAAATATCTACGGGAGTCAGTGACTAAATTTCAAACCACTGGAAGTTTGAGTAGGCAGAAAGGATCGGGTAGAAAATCAATCTCAGAAGACAAACAAATAGAAATAGTCGGTTCCGTCGTCAATAATCCACAACAATCGACGGCGGCACTTGCAGGGGATTGTGATGTAGCAATATCAACTGTTAAAAAATATTTAAAAAAAAACAAATTTCATCCCTATAAATTAAAAATATTACATCAACTTACTGAAGATGACCCGGATCGCAGAGTACAGTTTTGTGAAGTTATGTTTGAGCGCATAATACAAAATCCTCTGTACTTGCAATCAATTTGTTTTAGTGATGAAAGTACCTTTTTCCTAAATGGCAATGTAAATCGGCAAAATGTACGTTACTGGTCAGATGTTAACCCACATGCTTTTCGTGAAGGTCATACCCAGTATCCACAAAAAGTCAATGTATGGGCGGGACAACTGGGAAACCATATTGTAGGACCCATCTTTTTGGAAGGAAATTTAACAGGCATCTTGTACTTAAATATGCTTCAAGCACAAATTTATCCAATGATTCAAGATATAGTTCAAGCTAATCCTGACGAATTTGACATGGAAGTAATATTCCAACAAGAGCGCCCGCACATTATTTTAGGGATGTTAGACTGTGGCTTGATGAGACTTATCCCAATAGGTGGATTGGTAGGCGTGGTCCTACCGAATGGCCGGCTCGGTCTCCTGATTTAACGCCACTTGATTTTTTTTTGTGGGGTTATTTAAAATCAAAGGTCTACATCACCGAACCAAAATCAATTGATGACCTAAAACAACGTATTAGACATGAATGTGCGAATATTACCCAAGAAACGTTTACAAATGTGAGAACTGAAATTAGAAACAGACTATTATTGTGTCAAAATGTCCAAGGGGAGCATTTCGAACATCTAATTTGATGATTTTTTGTACTTAATGAATGAAAACCTTGTACTTAATAATAAAATTTGATTTAAGACTTAATTTTATTTAAACGTTTAAGCAACCGTTAAACGGATTTTAAAAATTTAAATAGCATCGAATAGATAATCGAAACACCTTTCAAATGAGGTATCACAAGCCCCCCTTTGATAGTTGATACTGCCCTCTTAGCGCTCCTTAAATGGGCACCTATCAATTTGACGTCAAAAAGTAGTATTCTTAATGTCCTTGACAATGGTTTCTGTCCGATGTCGATACCTTTTTTTGTTCAAAAGATAACAGGGGGGGGACTTTTAACGTCCGCACTGTATACAGGGTGTCCCAAATTTTTTATTGATGTAAATAAACCTTAAGAAAAATTCAAAATTATGGTAAAGAAAATGTTTTCTTGTAATTTTAAGGGGAATTTACCCTTTTTGAACCAACATTTTTTTTGAATTTACCTTATACGACAATTTAGGGATACTTACTTTGTATTTATATGGGGTAAAAAAATAAAATGCCCAGTGGCCCATTTAATTATTATGAGCTCCAAGGTTACAAAATAATAAAAATGCAATAACAAAATACTTATCACAACTGTCTGGGATTTAATAGGTAATTTTCATACAAATTTCATTTTTACACAAATACTATTTTTTATCGACCGAAACAGTTTATTACACGTGTAGCTCGTGTGTAGCTTTTAGAAAATTGGTCCTTGATTTTTTTTTATTTAAATGAATAAATACATTACGTTTGTTTTTATTTTTAGGTTGCTGGAGTCGTTACAACTTACCTAGTAATATTATTTCAATTTATAAAATAACCCACCACAAAAGTATATTTTAAAGACTGTAGAAATAAATAATTTCAAGTACATAATTCTTTCTTTTAATCAAAAGTTGCATCCTTAGAACAATGCTTAAAAAACTTATCACTAACCAACCTCCCTATGGCCAAACTGCTAGTAGCAGCAGGACTGGGCAAAAACCTGCAATTAATAATCCTTCTCCTCAATCCTTCCCCCTCAAAAAACTCAAAAACAAAGTCGTCCACAAATTTCCCATCCGAATCTATAAGCTGAGTCTGAACCGCCGTTGGCCCCGCTTCAATATCTTCAAATTTGATGGAGTCGATCAGTTTTAGCAATTCTTTGTATTGAATTTCAGGACAGATGGTTTTTGCTACCTGATTTATGCATTTCGGGAGGTTTTTTAACGTCATTTTTTGGAACCCAGCGTAGGAAAGTGTGTTTTTTATGTAGGACAAGTTCATTTGATAAGACCTACAAAAATGATTGATAAGTTGTATGTCAATGGAGGTTCTACAGTTTTGTATGTCAGTGGGATAGTGTGTTTTGCAATCTAGAATGTAGGGGGAGTTTTGCACATACTGGAAGCATCTCTGGTAGAGATGGGAAATACCGTTCCTCTACGGTACCGTTCCAAATGATACCGCGACAAAATACCGCGATAAAATACCCTACACCTATCGCTTGTTTAGTTTTATGACCGGCACCTTAAGTACTTCGTGTTCTTTGTTGCTATAAATAAAAACGTTGTTCAAAGTTTTAGTAGTTCTGTATTAAAAAAACACAAAAAAGAGTTTACCAAACTCATGACAAATACTAATTCGCTCTCCCCCTCACGGTTAAAATCGCGCTATTCTTTACTACAAACTTAAAAGGCGACGCGAACGAAAAGTAACCGAGTGCAGGGAACAGCGACACAGCGCTTTGAAGCCCCTGCAGCGACTTGCTTCTTAGACCCTCTAGCAGTTCCAAAGTAACCGGTGCTTTCGGTGTGGAACGCAATACCGCGACGGTATTAAAAAATACCGCGACAAAGTAACAGTTCCGCAGATACCGTTCCATCTCTAATCTCTGGCATTGACTTCACTCAACGCTGGAAGTATGTGTGTTCTTGTAGAGATAATATCCCTAGGAAATGAAAGTTAGGTTGAAATCTGTCTGAGATTCTCAGATACTCTTAACTGGGTCCCTTGATTATAATGTATATTCAAGATATAATGAGCTGGCCAAATAGCTTTTAACTAAGCTAAAGGCCATCCCTCCCTGAAGACGGAGACGTTTTTCAGATCAAGGAAGAAGTTTAGGTTGGTAGCCTCTAAACATGGCCTCTAAATATCGGCCATGTAATTAAAAATAATAGCAAAAGTTCTGTTCTTTTCAATATTGTAAAGCACAGACAAACAGGGTGATTGTCTTTGTTGTAAAGTCCGCTGCACAACAGCCCGGTATCTTGAACGGGAACCTAAACGGCAAAGGTGGGAGAGACTCATCAAACACTATCTATCAACAGTGGTTTCTTACACCTTTACTGTTCAGAATCTGAACCAGTTTCCCGTTACTGGGCTATTGTGCAGCGGGCTCACATATTTAGAGATCTAAATATGTGAGCGGGCTTAACTTTGACAGTTTAATAAATAAACTATCAGTGTTAGTTATTTGTGAGTTTTAATAAAACAAAAATAGTGTGAATATTCTTTTTAGAGCCCCTATATGGGGACTCTTGTTCTTTTTTACCTATAACCTTCCGTTTTTAAGGCTGGCAAAGCCGATGGCCCCAACAAAACTCTTCCGTCGGATCTGGGGCTAATATGAACGCCCAAAAAGGAGTCGTCAATATCTGGTACTTCATAAATATTGGTCAGAATATTATGTGAAGCTTTTTCTTCAAGCAGCATGTACTGAACTCTGAAGGAAACATTCCTAGCTTCATTTGGTGCGCCAATGAGCTCTGCAATTTTTTCTGATTGCAGACCTGGACAGCATATCAAGTATTTTGACTTAAGAAGGCTATTTTTTGAGGATATCTCTACAGGGTGGTTTAAATCATCTGAATGTTTTATGTTTTTGACCTAATGTGGTAGATTATCATTAAACTGTTGCTTGAAGAGGTGGTGATTTACCTTGAAGTTGTAATAAATTTCACCTCCACAGGATCTAAAATCCTCCAAAAAACTACAAGTTATTTCGCCCCAATTTAAATTCGCTGTAACAGGGCACCATAAACCAAATACTCCAACTGAATTGGGCTGGATTTTATTAATTTTCTCTTTATTTCTAATAATTTTTAAACCTGCCACATCATTCTCCAAACCCCTCTTAAAAATCCTCTCCAAATTCCTTATTTCGCACCTAGAATTCGCCAGCAATATTTTCCCGCACTTATTGTAACCTATATTTTTATCGCGCGCATAGTCCATGATCATTTTCGAACCCTCTACGCATAACTTGGCTTTCAACGATTTGGGTTTATAATAAATCCCCGAGTGTACCACGCCACTGTTATGCGATGTTTGATGGCTTCCAACGGAGTCCTCTTTCTCAAGAATCGCTATTTTTAGGTTCGGCGATATTTGCAGGATTTGTCTTGATATCGCCGTCCCGATTATACCCCCGCCTATGACCAGCACATCAAACAAATCATTGCTGCAATAGAAATACAGAAAATTGGGGTTTTAGACGTATTATTAATTAATACCTTTTATTTTTTAACATTTTGACATAAAAAGTGTCAATGTGTAAAAATAATCGAGCACGCCCATGGTTGGCATTCCTTTGTTCGCGATTTGACAGTTGGAAGAAGAAGAACGCGCGTAGTTCGCGTTAGTTATGACAGAAGCGAGTTAACCTATCGATAAAATGAATTGAGGGCAGATTTTTCGTTGATATAGCTTAGATTTGTGATAATTGGACGCAATGGAGGCGAAGTACGGCCTGTTGTACAGCGCGTACGAAATATCCTGTTGGCGTATGTCGTTTCCGCGTTTCGCTGTCACAACTTGCGCGATCCCGTTGCTGGCGTTTGTTTTTTGCATCGTCTACTCCGTCCTTTTGAATTTCGAAAGTGCCACATTCACGCATTGCCAAGTTTACAATATTCTTCCATCGATATCGTCTGCGATCGGGAATTTTACGCCTCAAAAGGAAGTGTGGCAAATCGCAATCACAATGCAGGCCCTTCCCAGGTTTTTCATAGCCTACCTGTATTTCCAACACAACTCTCATCTGCTGTACAGCCGGGATTTGTGGCTCAGCTACATCAACTTTGCCTTGAATGTTATCGAGAACATTGCTTTAATTACCCTCTCGTATTTTACTTCTTCCAAGTTTTATGGTAACTCTACTAACAATAAATTAACACCTAATTATATACTAATTATTGTTTTTTTAGCTGTTCATGAAAAGGCTTTTGTCTGTTTTCTAATTGGATCAGTGTTTTATATGATTTTTACATGTGTAATTCAAAGCAGGGCCAAAAAACAAAACAGGGTCAGCCTGAAATGGAAAAAACGGTGTTTGGGCACAAATCTTATTTGTATTTTATTATCCACTTACATGTTCATGAGGCACAATTCGTTATGTGAACCATACAGTAAGTATTATTTGAAACAATTTATTTCTAAATCTTTGATATTTTGATTTTTGACAGACGTCAATTTGACTGTCAAATTTTGACAGATCAGCCTACTAGATTTTAACAAATTAGATTTCATTGGTAGCCATGCCAATATTTTATAAAATTTGTAATATCAGTAATTGGTGTTCCTGTTTTAAGAATTTTGACAGTTTATTGAATAATCTAACAATTCGTAGATAAAGAAATAATTTTAAATGAAAATATAAATAGAATGTCTAAAAAATGGGGTTTATAACAAATTTGGCAAAGCAATTGAGGTTGACATATTTGCAGGATATATTTTCTGACATAAAATAGAAAATTTAAACAATCAAATTACTATTATTAATGAATTTGTACAGGGTGATCCCCTATAATGTCGCCCCCAAAGATAATATTATCTTTGGTCGCCCCCCTTTAACTTTTTTATTTTAAGTGTCCCAAAAAATTTAAAAGTGGTTATGTAAAAATTACTTTTTTTCTACATATAAAAAAAATGGAAAATTGATCAATATACAGGGAAAAACAAAAAGTTTACTTTATGTCTTGTTAAATAAGTAAAAATGGCGTACTCAGACAGAGAAAGACAAACTATTTCAACTATTATCTTAAAAATAATTTAAATATTTCAGAAACGGTTGAATTTAGGTATATGGTATGTTATATGAAATATGCTTAGAATTTTACAAGGAATCGAAAAATAAATACATACCTATAGGGTGAAAAAAAATAAACTTTTTTCCCTGTATATCAATTTTCCAATTTTCTTTATAAGTAGAAAAAAAGTATTTTTTATTACCTACATAACCACACTTTTAAATTTTTTGGGACACTTAAAATAAAAAAGTTAAATGGGGGCGAAATGGGATCACCCTGTACATGCAACTAATGTTATATTATTTTAGTTTACTCCTTGTTTGCAATGTTTGAATATATTGTTGTTTTATCAAACATGGCATTCCACATAACAGCATTTTTGGACTTTGAAAATAAGGATGTCGTTTTCTACAAGTATGGTTTGGACATCACGGAGAGATAATATTTGGTTATTTAGCTAGTCATTTAATTAACAATTGGTAATTCTCGATATAGTGACATGCAAACATTTTTGAAATTTTTTGGATTTGTAAGTTTTGCTAAAAATAATACAATGCTGTAAAAATAATCCTAAAAAGTTTTATAAACATTACGAATGTTTTGAGGATTATTTACTAGCAACTTGATGCACCAAGGTTTTTAAAAACATTTTGTATTTTTAAAAGTATTGAACAACATGTGATTTTTATATTATTATTTATTACCTATAACATAAGGACAATTTTTTAAATTATCGGGTTGAATTGTGAAAAAAGTGAGTTATTCAATAATCAAGTGAGTTGTGATAATTGTGAAAAAAATAAAAATGAACTATTTTTGCAATTTTAAATTGTGTTCAATAGGTGTTTCTTCTTTTTATGAAATATTGTAAAAACTTCTTGTAAACTATTTCTATTATTATCATAGGGTTTATAGAGGGTTAAGAAGGCTATTCTTAGAGCTGAAAGTTGGCCCAATTCCAATTTTTTGTGAGAAACTTTTTGAATTGTTTATAAAGGCTATTCCAACAAAACTTTAATTTGTTTTTGTTTTGTTTTCCAAATAAAATTTAAGTTTCTGTTGGATCTCCTTTATATGAATATAAAAAATTGAGGATACAGGATGGTGCAAAATAATCTTCCATTCTTTTTTAAGGTTATTTTGTCACCCTGTAGATATTTAATATTGAATTTTTTTAAATATTTACAGTTCCTTTTTAATTGTAAAAATTTGCCATTCCATATCAAAAAATCCTATTCTTGTAAGAAGTTTTATTTTTAAACAAGAAAAATATTCCTTAAAAATTGTTAGATTGTTAAATTTACACTATTGAAAAGGTAGATTTCATCGCTGTAAATACACTAATTTTTATATAAAAAAGTATATATGTAACTATCTACTTATATTATGTACTACATGGATGTAAAATATAGATATGAAAGTATTTTTTATATACAAAAAGTCTACTTACTGTTTATTTATTAATTGTTTGTTTTATATATTTTTTGTTAATAAAAAAGACTGAATATTGTTTGCACTTCTGTTATTGTTGTAAATGTTTTTGTTGACGGGTAAAATTTGATTCTAATTTATTATAGGCTTGTTCCTACTGAGCATTGAGTTAAATGGACGTCGGCAAATGCTCCGTAGGAACAAACCTTTGATTTTATTGTTACCAACCAAATATTGTAAACATGGATTATTTTAATGTTCTCCTTTTAATAGTTAAAATAATTTGTTTATAAATATTATAAATTCTTAAATTTAGAAACAAAATGACTTGTAGATGTTTTAAATTTCACTATGCAAAAAAGTGCACAATACATTCATATATCATTGTAATATTTGTATTATTTATAGAATTTTTTAACTCCAAACTTTTTCTTTTTGTGAGAAGAAATTTGACAGCGTCGAAAATTAAGGGGTTTAGTGTCAAATTCTAGGGACCCTAAATTCATAATTGGCTACATTGAGTAAAACAAAATTATTTGGTGGATTTATGCAGCACAAATTAATTATTTTTTCAAAATGTTTTTAAAATTTCCTTTTGTTTAGAATTTTCTATTTTCTTTGGCATTTTTAATTACATTCTAACATATAAATAAAAATATCAAAGTAAAATTAAGCATTGAACAGGAGTACCAATTTTAAATATTAAAAGTACCAACATAATCAAATGTGTCAATTTGACACTGTCAAATTCCGAATTAATTATGGCGTACAGTAACTGTAGCTCGCTATTTATTGGTCACCCTGTATACATATTAAAGGAAACGGTAATTAAAAAAAACTAATTAATTTATTTTAAAATTTGTACATTATTACACCAGTATTTTACACAATAAATACACTTAAAAAAATAATTTAACAATAACACCCACTTTTGCTTTGTTGGGGCTCATTTACAAAGGTACCCCTTAATTTTCTACGTTCTGTATCATCAAAAAACATCCTATGATTTTTTAGTTTATGAGCCAAAGTTTCAAATATACCATTTATATTGCCTGTCTCAGAATCTTGCAGAGCTGAAGTCTCAAACAACTAAAATAGAGTTTTTAAAAAATATTTTGGTGCAAAAATCTTAAACATACAGGCATGTTGTATTGGTCAGCAAAAACCTGGGCGGTTTGTGTCGTAACAGCCCTTTTCCCATCACATTTACTACCAACTAAAATCCTAGGCAATTCATTAAGACAGTTAACATCACTTTCGTCAATCCATTTACGTAAATTTGTGAACGACTTCAAATCTGTTATATCATACACTAAGATCACTGCATGAGCATTTCTGTAGTAATGCTTCACCATCGACATTCTATGTCTTTCTTGGCCTGCAGTGTCCCATAATTGTAACTAAATGGTCATTTTTTAAATATACCCAAGCAAAAAGTGTTTTTTACTTACTGTAATTTGTTCCCCATCAATATTAAGCATTTTTGAACGAAAATCTACCCCAATAGTTGCCTCAGAGTTCGCTAAATATTCTCCCTCGCAAAACTTGTATGTCAAAGTTGTTTTTCCAACATTTGGGTCGCCTATAATAATCACTTTAAATAACTTGTTTTCGTTGCCAGCTAGCGGTAAAGACATTTTTGTCCTACAATAAAATAGTTTTGTCTTAAATTACTAGACAAAAAAAATTCATATATTGTACCTATGTAGATAACATAAAATATAAACTATCACAGGTGTATTTTGACGTCTGTCAAAATACGTAAATAACAATGCAGCCAACAGTAAATTTGTACAAAGTCACCAATATAATAAAATTAAATTATAAAATTTAGTTGTCAACATTTTTTTAATATTGTTTATGATAACTACATTTTTTTTATCTGGACTGCGGCAACGTTGCAAATATAGGGTTTTGGTTGGTAAATACAGTTGTCAAGTTGGTCGCATTGTTTAAAACAAACTAAGCTAGTTATAAATCTAATTGTGGTTATGTATAAATTATTGTAGGTTACATTGTGCACCTGTCAAGTTTAGTTGTCAAAATTCGTAGTTAATTTGGCTTTGGTGGTGCTTGGATGAGTAAAATCAAATAAAAAAGTAGTTAAATATAGGTTGCTTTACGGCCCAGAAGAGAAAGTATTCCTAGCGGAAAGAATCTTCGCTTTGAAAAGAATTTATATAAAAGAAATTAAATTTTTTTGTGAACGTAAATGTTGTCCAATGGTGAATAATGTGTGATGTAAAATTTATAAAACCAAATTTGTTACTTTTTTACTCCAAAAATGGCCATAAGGCGATGTACTTTTTTTCCATTGTGGCATTTAGCATAATTTCATTATAATGAAGTTTTGCCCTCAAAAGGGCTTTTACATTCGAATTCGGTGCTATTATTTTTGGCATAATTATCTTTTTATTTGACAAGTAAATTATCAATAATAAATATTGTCAATTTGACAGTGTCAAAGTAATTAATTAAATTCTTTAGAAGTACCATTTTTAAATACTAAAAATACCAAGTCAAACTGGCATAAGCCACCAACCTAACAAAAAAACACGAGTCCAGTTAAAAAAAATGAACTGTAGTTAAATATAATCTGTGATGTCATCGCCATGCAAATTTCACATTTATGTGGAGTCGTATCTGTACGGAACATTTTACATGGGTATGAGTCTTTTTAATAACCAAATCCATGAATAACGAAAATTGTCCTTTTGCATAAATTTTTGCCTTTTAAAACGTCATAAAAGTCATCGAATTTTTTTCACAGGATACGACAGATTTTCAAAAATTCATCGATTTGGTCACAAATTGTGACCACAATCCACGTGGATTGTGGATTTGTTTATGTTTTTTTAATAAACGAAGCCGGGAATCTAAATTTTTTCACAATAATAATGAATCACCCGGTACATTATAAATCATATGCTACAATAATAAAAGTACGGAACAGAGACAAAGAAGGTCGGAACAAACGTATTACTCGCTGCGGCAACGCCGCCTTTTCAGGGGCAAATCCGTGACAGTTTGAGGTTAGGTTGAAGGGTCACCTTGCCGATGGGACGACAGTTTGTTTACTTTGCTCGGTTGGCTAAAAGATTTTATTCGAGCAGGATGCCCGGCTCACAGGGAGCCATGGATTTGCTGAAGAGCACGAAACCGGAATTCGAGAAGTTCCTGAAATCCTTCGACACCGTTTTAACCGATTGCGACGGGGTTTTGTGGATCGATAACCAGCCGATCTCCGGCTCTGTGGAGGTGATTAACTTGCTGCAAGAAATGGGCAAAAAGGTGATATTTGTGACGAACAATTCGACGAAGGTGAGAGACGACTTCGTCGCGAAAGCGCAAAGGATGGATTTCAAAGTCACCAAGGACCAGATTATTTCCACTGCTTCGCTGACTGTCAGCTACTTGAAGAGTATTCATTTTGACAAGAAAGTGTATTTGATTGGGTCGAAAGGCTTGGCACAAGAACTTGAGGACGGTGGGTTTAAATATACTGGATTGGGGGTAAGTCATAGATTAGATCACAATCCAATTCAATTGTGTGGATTGTGAATTAGATAAAGTCCAACTTTGACATTTCTTCTTCTTTAATCTGATTCAATGTTGCCAGGTCAAAAAACTGAAAATCACCAGACATTTGAGTAAAAAGTTGCCAGATTTTGAGAAAAATCACCAGATTTTATATTTATCACATATTTACACGAGATTCATACAATAATTAAAATAAAACTAAATATAATGTTTTATAACATGTTTTGTTACAGACTAATTATTATAGGTAACTAAAACAAGGTTTTTGATGATCAGAAACAATAAAACTGGGAGCATGTAAAAAAAACTATAACACATAATAAACTTAAAACAATATTACCACCGTAAATAGTTTGCCAAAACGGCGACCGGACACGGAAAATGAAACCTAAAACAAGTCAGGCGACCATGGGAAAGCCCCGCGTCCTGCACGGGTAATCCCCGGTTTAAGCAGTGGAGTTTTTGAAACATATAACGCTAAACGCTACAGTCGCGTACCTGTATATAAATTAAAGACTTTTTTTAAATGACAGAATTTTTAATAATGAATAAAAAACATAATATAATCGTTTTTTTTTTAAATATAATTTTATAAATCGGTCGTGTCAAAAAAATCACCAGAAAAGGGACTTTTTAAAAAAGTTTTCACCATTTCACCAAATGGGTTAAAAAATCACCAAATCTGGTGATTTTTCACCAGACCTGGCAACATTGAATCTGAACTAAGAAGCAATGTGTTCATGGGTAATGGCCTTTAGCTTAATTAAAAACTATTTGGCCAGCTTATTCAGGGTTGCCAGATGGCGATTTCGAAATTTCCCCAGATCAAATTTTATTTTTCCCCAAAATGACACTATTTTTTAAACTTTTCCCCAAAATAAAATTTATTCAAACAATAACAAAACAATACATGTTATTTTAACCTCTATAAAATTTACATGGAAATGAAACCTAGGATTTCTTGGACTGAATCTTCCGTATCATTATTATTATAAACTTCTTTGGATTTAAATTTTTTCAACATTTTGCTAGTGGGCTCAAATTTGAAACAGTCACCATCTTGCAGGCCATACTGTACTCTCATAATATGATCTGCAATATTTGTTAATAAACGGTTTCTTAACTTGTTCTTAATAATATTCCTTATAGAAAAAGCTCTTTCTACACTTGCATTTGAGAAAGGAAGAAATACTAAACAATGTTTATGTTAGTAAAAGTTTCTCTATGCACAGAGTTGTCACAAATTTTAATTTCTTATTTCTTCTTCTGCTTTAATAGAATAATATTGTAATTAAACGAATAAGATTCTTTGGAATCTTCTCCCCAAGTTTACCCCACAATAATTTTTTCCCCAAAGATTTCCCCTTGTCATCGTTTTCCCCAAAATTGCGAAAAAAAACCCAATCTGGCAACTCTGAGCTCATTCTTTTTTAAAAATTTAAGGATTCAAGGATCTCAATTAAAAAAATCTGAGTACAACTCATCCCTTGAATCATTTATTTTATATTATTATTGTTTGTAGTTATTTTAATATTATTTTAAGCCTATTTTCTTTCACCATTTTCACTGTATCACTTTATCACAATTTTTTTTTCCACACTTGTTTCTTCGATATAATATATTATTCACTTTGACATTTGAATAAGGAACGTGAAATAATTGTAGTTATGTAAATTTCTATAATCTGTGTATAATTTCATATCTAGCCGGATGTCATGGGGACATCTTTGGCAGAATCGATCGAAAATTTCAATTTGGACCGGGAAATCGGTGCGGTGATTGTCGGCTTCGACGAGCATTTTTCCTACAACAAAATGATGAAGGCCGCATCGTACCTGAACAACAAAAATTGCATTTTCATTGCTACCAACACGGACGAAAGATTTCCCATGGGAGGGGATCTAGTGGTGCCCGGTACTGGCAGCCTTGTGAAAGCTGTGGAAACTTGCGCAGAGAGGGAGCCAACGGTGCTCGGGAAACCCAACGATTATATTTCCGATTGTTTGATTAATGATTTCAATGTTGATCCCAAAAGAACCATCATGATTGGCGACAGGTAATGTACATTTGATGGTAGGGGATTTTACCACAGAAACCAATCAAAACACGGCACTTTCTGTCGCAATCTAGTGTGCGCTGGAGAATGCCGTCTTCCGATTGGTTCATTACTCTTGTGCATTTTTAGCAATTTTATGGACAATTTATATATGTATACGTTAATGTTGATAAATAAATTTTAAAAACACAATTAATATTTTAGGTGTAACACTGATATTTTACTTGGTACGAGGTGTGGATTTGTAACACTGTTGGTCTTGTCTGGTGTATCAGATTTGGAGTATTTGCAAAAACTGCAAAAATTAAGTAAAAAAGAGCAAAAAGGTTACCTTCCCGATTATTACCTACCAAAGCTAGGTGATATGATGATGCATTTAGTTCAAGTATCGCCATAGTAAAATTTATCAAATCCTAAATCAATTTATTTATTTTATATATAATTATAAATATTTTATTCCTGTTTTATTGTTTCTAAAATAAAACTACCAAAAAAACTTGTATTTAATTTAATAATATATTAATAAGCAACAGTAAAAAGGCAAGTATAAAATGCTATTATATTAAAAAGTCTTATATCTTATAAAATTTAATACATAAATGGAATAAGTGCTTTTCGCGATTTTGGAAATTTATCAAATGTTTTTTGATACCACCAATGGCTAAGGAGGATTGTCTCAACCTAAAATAAAACCATTGAGTAAAGATATGATAAAACTGTCAAATAGATTTTCAAGTTTATGTCAATATAACCTAAAAACTGGTTGTCAAATGTAGATATAACCTTAAAACTGGTTGTCAAATTTCTTACCTGATTGCTGAAAACCCAGCAAAATACGAAGAACCAAGTGATGTTGTACTTCATGAGCACACAAAGTGAAAAATACATTAAAATCTCGGCCGTTTGGTGTGGACACGATAGATAATTGAACCAATCACCTTCGGGGAGTCGATGTTCCTCAGTAACAATAACCCCTTTTTTATTTGTTCTCAAATTCGCCAATATTTTCGTGCAGACATGCTGATGATACCAAGACAATAGAAAAACTGCTATAAAGAACACATCCAACTTTGTTAATGATTGGATGTTTACTTCTTCCAATTCAGGCTCTAAAAAATATAAAACAAAAAAAGCCATCCTGTATTTATTGTATTAATGTGAGTTACCTGAATAAGCAAATTTGGGAGATTCACATAATAATGCCATACAAGCCAGTGGATAATGAAGCACACCAACCAAATATTGGGAAAAGTTAATTTTACTGCTTTTCCCATAAATTGAAACATAATGGGTGTCATAATACCTTCGATAAACTTGCAGTGTTAAAAGCACAACTGAAATGTACACCTTTGTAGCACTGTCTAAAACAAACATTATGCATCTTTATTTTTAATATTTATATGACAGCAGCAACTTACTGAAAGCTACACGATCCTCTCCACACACTAAATCCAGAAACTCCTCGACCCACATTGGAACTTCATGTTTAAAGATGTACACAGAACTTACCAAAAACAAAACATAAGTCTGTGTTACAATGGCCAACTTATAAAAGTGTCTGAACCACGATTTTGGCACTTCGATGCACAATTTCGAAGCGTTTTCACCATTGTAAGCAAACTTTCCGTAGCGAAAGGTTTGTACAAAAAATACGGGCAGGTAGTTTTCAAAATAATTAATTAAACTACCGTAGAATATTATGAATGTTGTGAAGAATGAGAATATTAGCAGTATGAAGTTCATGGTTACACAATATTGTAAGATTGTAAACTAACGGTTTTTCATCTTAATAACGGTAATGTTGAACACACAGTAAAGTTTTTGGAGCTAAAATAACTTAAATACATCGGTTTTATTAGCATGTTACTGCGTATAATCGCATTTAAATTACTGCAGGTCCTGCAGTGCAGGATTAGTTATGTAGTGTTTTTTAGGTTATGACTATGTTATCACAACATCTTTATAATCAATAATTTTGCTGCATGGTGTGCATATTATTAACGCCTTATTTTATTAGTTTACAACTTTATTGCGTGATTTATAGCAAGATTATGTTAATTTCTTTAAAAAAGTGATCTAAAGTACATTCAAAATACAAAAAAATCTTTGAATCTATGTATTCTTCTAATAAATCCTTAATGGCTTTACGACCACAATTTAAATTATGTGTGTGGTTTAATATATTATGGACAAATCATTTTGTATAAATCTATGATAAATATATTGCTTAAAAAAAGATTCTTCACGATTTTTCATATTTGAATGTACTGTATCAGTCTGTCAAACTTGTTGACGTGCTGCGATAAATTTCCCCAAACTATTTTGTAATAGAAATCAATGTAGTAACAAATATGTTTGTTGTAAATAAAAAATACCATACCGTGACGATAATTTTGATATTGTGTGTGATTAGGACAAATTCTCAGAAATCTGATCTCAAAAGTGATGTTAAAAACGCAACAGTATTAAAGGTGGAACATAACAGCAGCTTGAACGTGACAAAACATGAAAACAATGTTAAACTTGGTAATATTACCAATACAAATACTACAAGGGAAGAATTGAAACCCCAGCATCAAGGAAGAGAGAATGTTATAGATAACCCCCAAACCAATATAACTATAACAACCGCCCCCAACAGTACACAGAGTGAAATTAAAGCGAATAAAACTGAACCTGTACATAAATCCGTTGTGCCAAAAAAAGGGGTGAGTTTCGATTTACCCCCTTCAACGCCCAAAGCAAACAAAACCACTACGACTACTACAACTACCGCCAAAATACCTCACAAACCGAAAATAACGCAAATATTCTACGATGAGATCCCAGAAGACCCCAAGAAAGTGCAAACATCCAAAACTGTGACCTACCACGATGATCCGTATTCTATAAGGGAAAGCCACAGTGCAGACTATGTAATACCTATAATAGCAGTGATATTATCTGTGCCACTTGTGGCAATCGTCATATCAATGCTGTACAAACGGGGTGCAGACTGGTGGTCTCATAGAAATTACAGGAGGATGGATTTTTTGATCGAGGGGATGTATAATAACTGAATGTATATAATAATAGATCTGTAATTATCTTGTGTGTATGTATACATAAGATGTAATGCATTTGTACATTTTGTAAGTATTTCCTTCCATAAAATTGTTAAGTAAGTGCCTTATTATGATGCAATAACTATTGTGATATAAAGAGATAATAAATAGTTGTATAAATTTATTTTTTGTACTGTAATAATTAACTTTATCTACTCCTACATTTAATACTCTATTGTATTAGGTTACTTAATGCATTAAATTGGGAAAGAGTGAGGTTAAAACCGTTTGACAGATGTTAAATGGTAAAAAGTAAGGTTAAAACCGTAATCCTGAAAATATATTTTTGTAGTATTATTAACAATGACTTAATTGATTTTTTTCGGAGATTTACCAAAATGCGCTTTTTTATCAAAACAACTTGTAAATAGTTTTTAATTTACCTATAACAAGAAAATTTTCAGTTTTTCTCAATTTTTCTGGAGCACTTAATTTTATCGAAAATTTTCCATCTTTTTGGTTGGTTCATTGAAACAAAAATAAATTGTAAAATTATTTATTATTATATTTTAAGATTCAAAAAAACTTGTTTTTATGTTTATCCAATAAAATTATCAACATGTTTTATTTTATTGAACCTTTGCTTAACTTGCATTTTAATACTTTTATATACATCTTATATTTATTTAGTTCCTATATAAATAGTTGTGATGGTAATTACAGAAAATTATAACAAAGGGTTTTAACAAAAGTTGTGTTTAAACATTTTTCGCTTTTTAACACATTTCCACACTTTGGGTGTCATAAAATTAAATCAAAACACCCAAATTAATTCACAGCCAAAAACCTTTGCATTCTTTATAAACTAATTAAGAATTATTAAAACCCCATGTTACAAGTGCAGATAACAACAATCATATACAGGGTCTTCCAAAATAATCCGTCAAAATTGAGAAATATTCCCAATAAACACATTATATTGGAACACCCTGTAGGTGTGGGTGCCAACCGTGTGCCACTTTAAGGCCATGCCTTGTATATGTAATTTATATTATTAATAAAAGAACCTATACTATTCTAGAAACATAAAATTTACTCTATGAGCTACAATCTATGGGGAGCATCTCAGAAAATCAAATTTGCCAACTCAAATTTTGTGGCAACCTTGCAAAAATACAATACTCATTTTTCAGTTGTTTGAAAATTTGGCAACGCAACAAATTTTACGCCGCACATACGTAGATTTAATTAATTTAGGCGGCCAAAAGTAAAAAAAATCAAAATAAATTTAGCAATTACACATTGACTACCACAGGTAGCAAACACTTTTAGGAACAGTACCCTACCCTCTCTATGCGTTGCAGCGCTCTGACTCGCAGGTAGTTAAAGTTTGATAGTCGCCAGGTTTCACGTATGTTCTCAGCGCAGCGCTCCTATAGGACGCTATAGCGTTACGTCTCTTGCAAAGTAAATATTTTTCTCTCCAAGTCAATTATCAAAGTAAAACTGATGGATTCTAATAATTCAGGTATGTATCTATAAATTGTGATATAATACTTCCTATTTAAATATAGATTCAATTCATTTTTTAATCATTTAAGTACAACAGGTTTTTTATGCAAAATTTTGGCAAATCGAAGATTTCTAAACATTTTTAGCATACTTCAGGGTTCGTCCCTAATATTTTTTTTGTTTTAATAAATTTGACATGGTCTTAACATATTATTACAGAAAAAATCAGCCGCGGAATCTCGCAGATGACCACAAAAACGTAAATCAAAGATTTTTAAGGAAAATTTAAAAATAATACACAAAAAATGGACTTGTACTGTTCCTAATCTCACCGATTCAATTGTAATTATTAAATGATGTATGTACACTTATAATAGAAGCTACAATGTAATTAGATAAGTTTATTGCTCCTATTTCAATAACGAAATTAGAATTTGCATTTATGTAATACTAGTATCGCTTCTTTTTTTCATAGTTTTATTAAATAATATTGAATTTTAAAAGGAATATTTTTTTATATTTTAAACTCTATTAAAACCCTATTTCGAACATGTCTAAACGAAAAAATATTTTTGGCCGCCTAAATTAATTAAATCTACGTATGTGCGCCGGCTTTGAGATGGGAACTCACACAGTGGGATGAATTTAATAATGGTGGGACGAATTTGTAGTGGTTCAAAATTAAAAAAAATGGAAAAATTTGCAGTTTGATGTAAAAAAAATTGTGTCAAAAACACTTTTTTTACTTAATACTCAAAAATATAAATTTTGAACAAGCTTTACTTATGCAACGTTACCAGGTGGAATTTGGCCTAAGGCAATTTGATTTGGCAAATTTAGGTTCCAAACAGCTCACCCCAAATATGTATTTGTAAATAAATTCATTTATTTATTATAATACAAATCAGTTTTAAAAATTTATTGATATAAGAATCACATGTTTTATGTTTGTTTTTTTTTGTTGTTAATTTCAGATTTATACAAATTTATTGCAATTTGGCAGTTCTTTTTACAGAACTTGGACATGTCATCAATGTTTATATAAACTATTGAACGAAAACAACAAAAGCAATGATTAAATGCAGTTTTATTATTAGTTGGTTTTACCCATTTTGTGTTTGCAAAAGTTTAATTGTTCCGGGAACGCTTCCCTTGGCGGAATAAAACTCAACATCATGATGTGTCTGATGTACGCACGTGTCTGTCTAAAGTTACTGTCTGTTCCGTGCAGTCTGTCCAGCACACCCAAAACCCCAAAGCAATTGGTAAACCTGAAAGAGAGATTTTAGATAGGAAGGAATAAAAAGAAATCTCACTTACTTGAGGTGGTGGAAGTCGTGCGCCTCTGGCGAGGGGAAAAAGGGCAGATGGTAGCCGGAGTGCGCGTTAAGGGTGGACAAGATGGCCAGGGTGAACCAGAGCCAGGCCGTGGCGATGTGCGAGCCCATTATGAACACGCCCAAAAAGGGCGGGAACAAGTTCGAGAAGATGTGCTCGATCGGATGGCAATAGATGGCGGTGACGGCGATGGGGGCGGTCCACTCGTGGTGCTGCTTGTGGATGTATTTGTACAGGTGTTTGCTGTGAAGCAATCTAGGAAAAAATTGTTTTCTCAAGCCTCAAGCAGAACCTCGTAATTAGTGGAAAAAGTTAGTGGTTTCATAATGAAACTTTCATTCAAAATGCGCAAAATTAACATCTAAAATTAAGGGAATTTGCTAAAAGATTGTCCATTCTTCTTAACCTGGCATAATGGTATATTATTTATCAAGGTTGTTAAACGCCATTTTATACACGAATTAATTAATTTAGTATAGAAAAGTTTATAAACGAGGTATAAACGTTTAATTAATTTAAAAAAATATCTACTTGCTATGCAAGTCTTGCACATATTCCATACATATATGTATAATATATTATATAAATATAATACATATATTATATAAATATAATACATAATATATTATATAAATATAATACATACATAACGTAAACAACATTTCATTTCAATACTTGTTTACGTTATGTATCCAATCGATGGTCTTTAACAATCGATGTATCGATAATAAGTATCGATAGTTTATCACCGCTACTAATAGTAGCCTACTATACACAGTAAAAAATGTTTATGTAAAAATACATGGATTATCATTGCATAGTATTTTTTTTAGATTCGCTGATTAAAAAAATAGTATATTATGTATCAAGTTTGATAAACGCCATTTTATACACGAATTTAATTTAGTGTATAGAAAAGTTTATAAACGAGGTGCATACTATACTTTTTCTACGACAAATACTTATTATTATCTTAAAATGATTTAAATCAAAAATTTGTATAGAGCGCCATCTATGAAACAATAGGGGAATCTGTGTGTCACCGTCAAATGTCACATTTTTATAAACACAGATTATAAAGGTCGTAAATCCAAACGTATTTCTTGAAAATTGACAGTTTTTAACAGTGAAAGTAAAGAAAATGTTTTATGAGGACTTTACAGTGGAGTCCGTGCCCGAATTTAAGTTATAGTTTACTGCCGGCGAAATTATTCATATAAACTTTTCAAATATTGGCGTTGAGAAACTATTTAATACTTTTGTATTTTTGTATTGAGATAATAAAATAATTTTTACATTTAGTATTATTTTACAAGAAAGGCACTTTACAGGATTAATCTGAAAAATTTTAATGATCGATAGAGCCTGAAAAAACAATAAAAACAAACCCAAATTAGTATATTATGTATCAAGTTTGATAAACGCCATTTTATACACGAATTTAATTTAGGCACGAGCGAGCTTGCGAGCGAGTGCTGAAGTTAATGAGTGTATAGAAAAGTTTATAAACGAGGTGCATACTATACTTTTTCTACAACAAATACTTATTATTATCTTAAAATGATTTAAATAAAAAATTTGTATAGAGCGCCATCTTTGGAATAACAGGGGAAACTGTCAAATGTCACATTTTTTACATTTTATAAACACAAATGTAAAGGTTATAAATCGAAAGGTATCTTGAATATTGACAGTTTTTCACAGTGAAAGTAAAGGAAATGTTTTATGAGGACTTTACAGTAGAGTCCGTGCCCGAATTTAAGTTATAGTTTACTGACGGCGAAATTAAAAGGTCAGTACAATGTTCATATAAACTTTTCAAATATTGGCGTTGAGAAACTATTTAATATTTTTGTATTTTTCTATTGAGATAATAAAATAATTTTCACATTTAGTATTATTTTACAGGAAAGGCACTTTATTTTATTGGATGACATTTGACAATTGTCAACTAACTTAAAACTAACTTCAGCCCTTGACTTAAAACCTGTTGCTAACTTCAGCCCGTGACTAAAGCGCCATAAAGCCACAACTTGTCAATGTGTATTTAAAAGGTCACTTAGTGTCATGGAAACATGTACGACAAAGGGCGTTTTAAAGGTGGGAGTAGAAAAATATATTTACCTGTGAGAATAATAAAAAGCCGCTTCCTCCACTAAAATATGTACAGCCAATTCATATAACACCCAGTGGAAGGTGGGCAGCTCTCTTACAGGTGGGTGCCCTCTCCACTGTGACAACCAATACATGAAAAAAGCGCACGGCAAACCAACCACCGTTTGATTCAATAAAACTTGCCAAAGAACCTAAAAATAAAAACTCGCAAGTGGTTCATCATCGTTCCGAAACGCTCTCACTTTTAACAGCTTGCGATTTTCCACGGGTTCATTGGTGCCAGGTTGGATTTTGTAACGTCGCAGAGCTGCAGGTTTGTTGGTTATGTCCAAGAACGTGTATATACCGCCAAACGACCAGTAAACTATAAAATTTAAAGCGTTCGTACCGTAAACCCACAAATAAAACGGATCTTCTCCGACAGTGTTCAAGAATTTGTCCCACTGTGCCTGCCAAAAATCCCCGGACGCTCCCCAGAATCGCTGGCAATGCCTTAAAGATTTTTTTTTTGTACATTTTGCAATTAAATCATTGTTTATTTTTCTGACAAAAATAAACAATAAATGTAATATAATAACCTATAAATTTATATAACAACAAACTTTATTTACTTACCATGTGATGGAATTTCTTGCGGCCGCAAAGCAAATTAAAGCAGTGCTAAGTACAATTAGAACACTTCTTAGAGATGACAGTAGAGATGGGCTTTGCTGCACACTATTGGTCGTTTTTCCATTTTTCTTGGGGGTTAATTCGCCCCCCGAAGACGAGGATTCCTCCTCATAGTCCAACATTTCTTTACCTAAAATTATTAATGAACGCAAATGTTTGCAAACAACTACTTGTATTTTTTTCGTGCGCCATTATCGAAACACCCTGTATAATTCTTAAAAATAAATTTGTGCAATATTTTTTCTGTTACTGTACAAAATACTTGGCTATTTTAAAGTAAGATACAATTTTAAATTAATAAATGCCACTGTTTATTTTAACTTTTTCAATAAAAAAACAACAAAATTACCTAGGTATAAGCAGTTACATAATTATTTGCCACAACAAATGTAAATACGCAATAAAAATCGTTTATTAGAAAGCAAACATTTTAAAGTCCAAACTGGATTAAATAAAAAATAATTTACTCTTAAATAATAACAATAATACACTAAACTTGACAACGGCGCCACTAATTAACCTACGTCTTTGTGTGCTGCGGTTCTTTGTCACTTTCAATTCCAAATCGCATTTCTTTTGTTTTGCTCTCATGATTTTCACTTTTTGTTTTAACAGCGCGCTCGAACCAATACAAATGCTACTAACTGTCGACTCCGATTTATCAATTTACCGTGCTTAAGTTAAGTGATGTAGTTTGGTATAATAATACCGAGTCAGTATTACTGACTATAGTTGCGCATACTTTCTATGGAACGCACCGTGTCTTGCTTGTATAATTATTTACTTATGAGTTTATTATATATTTATCTATTGCGGTTTAAATGTAAACATGCAGTAGTTTAATAAAAAGGTTTTTGCGCATACATATATAAAAAAAACTCGGCAACGCTGTATATTTTTAAAGTCAAAATATTAAACATCTGAATTCAAATAGGCTTATAGCGGCTATAATATAGCTGTAATATAGCCAGGCTAAAGTAAACATAGTTGACAGATGTATTTTCTGATACCTAGTTTGTGTGCAAAATTTTTATCATAATTGAGGAGTGATTTTTCAAAAGGCCTTATTTCCATTTTTACTTGAATGTAATTTTTTGACAAAATCCCAAAGGTATGGTTAAAAGGCATATATTAACGGCGAAATATGACAGCAGGTCTGAAGTATTATTAAATATTCATCAGAATTTTTATATTGCCTTAACCTATACAGGTTATAGTCATTTTTTTGAAAAATTGTTGCAAATGGAAATACGACCTTTTGAAAAATCACTCCTCAATTAATTGAGGAGTGATTTTTCAAAGGTCGTATTTCCATTTGCAACAATTTTTCAAAAAAATGACTATAACCTGTATACTAATTAGTCATTATTCATAATTTTCTTTAAAACGTAGATTTATTTAGAATTTCTAAAAACTTCCGGAAGGACCCATTAATCAATTAATTAATTAATTAATTAATTAATTTTGTAACGCTTACCTAAATAATTTTTATTCATTATTTCATTTTAATATTAATATACCTAGTCAATAAAATGTTTCTTATGGATTAGTAAAAATGCTGGAAAATTCCTTTTATCGACAAAATTCAATCAATATTTTTCCACATCTTTAATTTTAGAACAAATGACTCACGTTTAGTTTATTTTGTGCATTTTTATGATTAATAATCCATAAAAAACGCAATTTTAATGTAAATAATTGCCTTTTGTGTTTATTGACAATAAAAACCACAAAATCATATGACAATATTTTTGTAAACAAAACATTTGTCATCAAAGCCTAAATTGCAACAAAATCAATTACAACCAAACTCAAAAAGAAAATAACACGACAAAATCAAAACAAACAGAAAATCCTAAAAGGTCATGGAACGATTTTCATGAAAAACATTCGAAAGCAGCTAACATCAAAGTGCAAATTTAGCAACAGTGCATCTCCTAATTACTGTACTTACTAATTAAGGCTGTTAAATTAAATTAATCTTAAAAACTACGTGTTTTCATTCGGCATATAATAATATCGATACCCAAATCTACACAATACAAGATTTAGAATAAATTGCGGTCAGCGCACCCTGTCGGCGGACATTCGAATTAGTGGCTTTTAAATTTGCTACCATTTACGCGTTTACGTGTGTTCGCGCTTAAAAACCGTTGTATTCATTAAGGTTTATAATTACAATAAGTTCTTGGTACTAATTAACATTTAAAACGCAATATTATCCCTTGTTTTCGCGATATTACAGAAAGTTTGCTTCAAGACGATTAAAGTAGTTTGCTGTCTAGGTTAACTCTCATTATAAAGTGAATTTACCCAATTTTCGATAGTTTCGATGAATTATAAGTATTTGGGCTGTTTAATGGACTGCCCAGAAACATTTTAATTAATGGTAAGTGGTGATTTTACCGATAAATTCAAAGATGTTTGTTTGAGGTTATGTTTTGATTTTTTTAAAGGAATATGCCAAGGAAAGACGGAAATTTAATAGAAACCTATTCAAACCGTATTTAATTAATAAATACCCCATTTATGCAAGGCAATGCACCGCTTATAACACTGCAGTGGATGAAGTACCAATAAATAAAAAAGTTCTACGAGTATTGTTAAATGATGCAGGTAAATTGTAACAAACATAATATGCACAATAAAATGCAATGCTTAGAAACTATATTGTATTTAGGATGCCTAAAAATCAAGAAAATGTTAATTTTTACTTATTTTTTTAGAATTGAAGGTAAAATTAGCCAAAGAAAACCAACGAACCCTTAAAAATAAAAAGTTTGGCAAAATCTCCCACCATGCGAATAGTGTAAAAAAAAGAACATCCAATCAATTAAAGAATTCTGAAAACATTCGTCACCAAAGCAAACGCGTTTTTATGAATAGAATGGACCTAAAAGAGAAGATAAACAATAAATTCCAAACTTTTGACAGCTCAAGATTAAATAAAAACGAACAGGAGGATGTGTTTGACTATGAAAACTTTGAATTGACCCCTGTTCACATTATACCAAAAAGAAAATTACCAGTGTATTCGAGAACCTCATATTACTACTTAAACATGCCTAAAATGGTGGAATGCCAAGAAGGCATGTTAAATTACGATTTCAACAAACTGGTCAAGGATGTGAAGACGATGAAGCTGCCAGCACCTGAATGGAGGATAAAGATTATGGTCAAAAAGAAGGCCATAACCGGGATTGTCTTTACAGACAAAAAAGAACTCGAACGATGTGTAACGTTTAGTTTAAAGAGTGCAAACTACAAAATAATGATTGACAATAAACCAGTGTTGTTAATGGGAGCCCCCATAACTATAAACAGTGTTGCCGAGTTGGAGGTTCTATTGGATATAGTGGCGAGTATTCCGTGCGACGATCAGATGCTTATGTATAAGTAAAAATTTGTGTTTTTTATAATTCTTTTTTTGCTGTGTTATGTAGACTGTAATCATTGTATTTCTTTTGATATAAAATAAACTTTTTGGGTCGCTGTGGATTTCTTTCTTTCTCTCAAAAATACTCTAATTTGAAGTAGTTTTTGTTGGTAAAGTGACTTTACTAAAGTCATATCTTTAAAAAAAGTAAGGCAATGTTAATGCATTGGTTTGTAAACATACGCAGGTAAATATAAAGAATTATTTTATAAAAAAGTTCTTTTCACATAAATTCATTTTTGAACTACCTATAAATCTCATTTATAAATATTCTACACACTGTAAATTACTATTAAACTTTCAAAAACATACAGGGTCTCCCAAATGTGTCAAAATGACAATTTCAAAGAAGGATTGTAAATTTTGTTTGCAATGTTTTATACCAGCGATTGGGATTGGAATTTTATTTTGGGTTCAATACATTTACGTATTTCAGCTTTGTGTGCGAGTAATTGAAAATTCCCTCAAGCGGTACTTCTATATTTCGATTGCAACTGCAATTTTTCTGCTGGTTTTATGGTGTTTCATTGCCGCTATATGTAAACCGTCGGCATTAGTGCCTAAAGAGTACAGAGTTTCGGCTTCGAAGCACAATGTTTTGATGGAATGCTCAGACGATGAAAGAAACGATCGTTTACAGAGAATTATAAGAAATAACAACCTTTTGATTTACACATGTTCTGACAATGGATCGATAAGGTAAAACAAATAATAATTAGGTACTTACCGGCTTACATTAACTTAAAAAATGATTTCATTTCGAAAAAATAATAAGAGCACTGTCATTTTTGAACTGTCAATTTTGCGCTGTCATTTTTTAACTGTCACTTTTGTGAGATGAAATTTATTCTTTTAAAGGGTGGTTTAGAACATTATACATTGTTGTATCATGGTTTACAACACAATCCACACAACAAGGTCTGTTCCACAATCCAAACAACAAGGTCTGTTCGATCTCGTAGTAAAAATACTAAAAATCACTGCAACACTGCACATCATACGATGGCGGCCATTTTTGTTGTTTACAATTCTTGTGCTTTGGGTTTGTACAGATTAATAATCGTTTTAAAGGTTGTGTTTCTTACAGAGAGACTTGCAATTGCAAGTCTCTCTGTAAGAAACTTAAAGGCTTAAGCCTTAAAAGAGACCGCAAAGTGGTAAGAACAATCATTATACTCCTCTTTTGTAAAAAATAAACCTTATTCTATCAGGGCTGTCAAATGTCAATTTAAAGATTAATTTAAGGTTATTTTTTAACCCACAAATTAACCTTCAAATTGACATTTCATAGAATAAGTTTTATTTTTTACAAAAGAGGAGTAAAATGATTGTTCTTACCACTTTCAGGTCTCTTTTAAGGCTTGCAAGTCTCTCTGTAAGAAACACAACGTTTAAAACGATTATTAATCTGTACAAACCCAAAGCAAAAACAACAAAAATTGCCGCCATCGTATGATGTGCAGTGTTGCAGTGATTTTTAGTATTTTTAATACGAGATCAAACAGACCTTGTTGTGTGGATTGTGGTCTGTTTGATCTCGTACTAAAAATCACTGCAACACTGTATATCATTTTATGGCAGCCATTTTTGTTTACAATTCTTGTGCTTTAGGTTTGTACAGATTAATAATAGTTTTAAACGTTGTGTTTCTAATAGAGGCACTTGTAAGCCTCAAATGAGGCCTTAAGTGAGAAGAACAATCATTTTACTCCTCTTTTGTAAAAAATAAACCTTATTCTATCAAAACTGTCAAATGTCAATTTTAAGGTTATTTTATAACCCACAAATTAACCATCAAATTGACATTTGACAGCCCTGATTGAATAAGGTTTATTTTTTACAAAAGAGGAGTAAAATGATTGTTCTTACCACTTTGAGATCTCTTTTAAGGCTTGCAAGTCTTTCTGTAAGAAACACAACGTTTAATCTGTACAAACCCAAAGCACAAGAATTGTAAACAACAAAAATGGCCGCCATTAAATGATGTGCAGTGATTTTTAGTATGAGATCGAACAGACCTTGTTGTGTGGATTGTGGTTTATAATATAACCGTTGAGTGAAGACACCTTAAACAACTATTCTTTTTATATTTGCACTAGTGCTTCCTGTAAGTGATAAACCAATCAAAGGACGGCATTATCCACCGCACTCTGGATCGCGACAAAGAATGCAGTGCCCCGATTGGTTTATTTAATAAACCAATCGGGGATGGGCGGTTATTGTAAAAAAAACCGGTTGACAGTTAACCGGTTATTTTTAAAGACCAGTTAACCTAAGACAGGTTAACTGGATAGAAAATAACCGGTTATGCAATAACCGCCCTGGTAGAAAATAACGTTTGCATACATTCAGACAACGTTGCAAATTTGTATAATAATTTGTTATACTCATAACGTTGTCTTAGTGTATCATTTTAAGTGGAAAATACGTAGTTAAAACGTTGTCTTGGAAACGTTATTTTAATGTATGATTTTAAGTGGGAAATACGTAGTTAAAACGTTGTCTTGGAAACGTTGCAGAATTGTATTGCTGGAAACGTTGCAGCAACGTTCCAAATCCCACGTTTAGATACATAAAATTATTTCTAAGTCCCGACGAAAATCTTTCAATGAGGATTTTTTTTTAATTTTTATACTTTATTATACATTATTTATAAAAGTAAAATAAAACTCTTCAATTCATTTTCAAAGTCATAATATCAAAAATATGAGCGAAATACACAAAACCCACTTTCAAACAACGTTGCAGAATTGTATTGCTGGAAACGTTGCAACAACGTTCCAAAACCCACGTTTGGCTACATAAAATTTTTTCAAAGTCCCGACGAAAATTTTTTTACTGAGGATTTTTTTTTCAATTTTTTTTTATTATACATTACTTATAAAAGTAAAATAAAACCCTTCAACACATTTTCAAAGTCATAATATCAAAAATATGAGCGAAATACACAAAACCCACTTTCAAACAACGTTGCAGAATTGTATTGCTGGAAACGTTGCAACAACGTTCCAAAACCCACGTTTGGCTACATAAATTTTTTTCAAAGTCCCGACGAAAATTTTTTTACTGGGGATTTTTTTTTCAATTTTTTTTTATTATACATTACTTATAGAAGTAAAATAAAACCCTTCAACACATTTTCAAAGTCATAATATCAAAAATATGAGCGAAATACACAAAACCCACTTTCAAACAACGTTGCAGAATTGTATTGCTGGAAACGTTGCAACAACGTTCCAAAACCCACGTTTGGCTACATAAAATTTTTTCAAAGTCCCGACGAAAATTTTTTTACTGAGGATTTTTTTTTTCAATTTTTTTTTATTATACATTACTTATAAAAGTAAAATAAAACCCTTCAACACATTTTCAAAGTCATAATATCAAAAATATGAGCGAAATACACAAAACCCACTTTCAAACAACGTTGCAGAATTGTATTGCTGGAAACGTTGCAACAACGTTCCAAAACCCACGTTTGGCTACATAAAATTTTTTCAAAGTCCCGACGAAAATTTTTTTACTGAGGATTTTTTTTTTCAATTTTTTTTTATTATACATTACTTATAAAAGTAAAATAAAACCCTTCAACACATTTTTAAAGTCATATTATCAAAAATATGACCGAAATACACAAAACCCACTTTCAAACTACGTTGTAAAATTGTATGCTAGAAAAGTTGCAACAACGTTCCAAAACACACATTTAGCAACATAAAATTATTTTAAGTCCCGCCGGCAAATTTTTTAATTTGTTTTTTTTTTATTTTTTATAATAAATTATTTATAAAAGTAAAATCAAACTCTGCAATACATTTTTTAAAGTTATAATATCAAAAATACGATCGAAATACACAAAACCCACTTTCAAACTACGTTGTAAAATTGTATGCTAGAAACGTTGCAACAACGTTTCAAAACACACATTTAGCAACATAAAATTATTTTAAGTCCCGTCGAGAAAATTTTTAATGTGGATTTTTTTTAAATTTTTAGTCTTTGTAACATTAGTTATAAAAGTAAAATCAAATTTAACTACCTATGCAATATAATTTTTAAAGTCATAGTTTTAAAAATAAGGCCGAAATACACAAAACCTACTTTTAGATACCTAAAATTATTATAGTTTCAATAAAGGTTTACTATCGTAGTTAGGTGATGGAACAACAGAGGTTACACCATAGTATTATCACAAAATTCTGTGGTATTATTTCTATGGGTTACACGGAACAAACGAAGAAAAATTCAAATTTACCGCTCTATCACGAAGTGTTTATTTCTTTATTTTAGGTTAAGTGTTGACATCGTGCGAAATTTTGTGCAAATTCTTCCGTGTTTTTTGGAAAAATAATTAAAAGATAAGGTAATTTTTATCTGATAGGGATGGCAAATAACTTTTAGTAACCTAAACAATCACCACAAACAATTTGTTAGTGTTTTTTTTAAACAGTTGCTTTTTGCATGGATTTTTAGGGTTATTTGGACGATGCCTTATGTAAAATAAGTTTTGTTCTGTGACGATGCCTTAAAAGCATAAACATGTTCCTGGAACAGTGTATCAAAGAAATTATCACCCAGAAAATATTGAATTGGCCGTGGCAGAGGTGATAAACAATCGTCTATCCTTTGGGTAGATTGCAAGTGTAATGATTACATCTGCCACAGATGATCTGCGGATAATGGATAATGTTTTGCAAGACAAGAGACAAAAGAGTGCACTCATATCTAAACCACAAAACAGTGATAATTAGTTGTTTTAAAGAAAACCTTCCTGGCAATGACTGGCTAAATTCTTTCCGGAGGCAAAAATTGTGATTACTCAAAGCTTGTGCTCTAAATTTTTATTCAAAAGCAAAAATCCTCACATTTTTTCTTATATATTCGTAATTGCTAAAATTTATTTTGCCAAGCATCAAAACCCTTAATGAAAATTAAAAATTTGTGACTTTAAACTCACCTTCATTGTTAATTGTTTTATTTAGACTTATATTTTAACTAGGTAACTACTTAAATTTCTTTGACTTTTTATTTTTGTTGCTAATTTATAATTTGTTTAATCCTTTATTTAGAAAATTTGTAATAATTGTTAATAGGCAATATTTCTTCTCTTTAAAATACCAGCATTGTTATTTTTTTAGGCCATGTTTTAAGTTATGTTACTTATATTTGAATTTTTCTAGTTAATATTTAAATAGGATTTTTTAGATTTTTATTAATATTGATTTAAAAGTTGTAGTATCTTGTATCTAGAAAATTGTTAATACCTATATGAATATAGGCAATAGTTTTTCTTTTCAAAATACCATTGAAAATTTTTTGTCCAAGCTATTTTGTTATATTTTTATTTGTTTACTTTAAGTAGGTATATAATATATTAATAATATTTTTTAGATTTTGTTAATTGGGTATTTTTAATTAATTTTAATATTGATTTAAAAGTTGTACCTAGTATCTTGTATAGAAAATTGTTATATATGAGGACCCTATAAGCCAAGGGGTATAAGTACATTTTGTTTAGTTTTGAAATAATCATTTTTAAAGTAAAAAAACACTTGTAATTGGGGGTCAAAATTGTTTGTGGTTTTATGACTCGGTTTTTCAACATGTCTTAGCTTAGAATTCAGTTATATCCCTTGGATACCAAGTAAAATGTACCATTTACTACCTTTTTCTGTACATAACTACTTTTTTTTTTAAATGTCACTTGTATCCCTTGGCTTCTAGGGTCCTCATATATAGGCAATATTTTTTCTTTTTAAAATACCATTGTAAATTTTTTGTTAAAGCTATTTTGTTATAATTTAATTTGTTTACTTTAAGTATAATATTATTAGATAATATTTTTTAGATTTTGTTAATTGGGAATTTTTTTTCCAAAGTATTTTTTTTGTACAATAAATTTTTGTTGTTTTTAAATATATATTAAATTTTCCAATAATAAAGAAAAATCCTACCCAAATTTATAAAAAAATCCAACGTTTTATGATACAATAATCCCACGTATTTCCAACGTTTTATAATACACAAAACCCACATATTTCCCACGTTGTATAATACACAAATCCCACGTATTTGCAACGTTTTATAATACATAAAAGCAACGTTGTATAATACACAAAACCCACGTATTTGCAACGTTTTATAATACGTAAATCCCACGTTTTTTATAACATTAAAAACTAACGTTGTCAGATAACGTTATAAACCGGGACATTTCAACATAAAATTATACATAAAAGTTAGGTTTTGCCAACGTGGGAAAAACGTTGTTTCTACGTAAAATTTCTACTAGGGCGGTTAATAATAACCTTTTCTGGCGACTTTTTAGAATAATTATTTTCTACACTGGTGTAAGTTAGTGAAGCAATATTTAAAACAGATTGCTTAAAAAGAACACTAGCAAACACCAGTGCAGGTTATTATAGCATCAACAAACAGACCATATGAGTACATTAGATGCAAAACTCGGTTTTTGCACATTTTTAAAAAATATATATTTTATCTTATTTATGTTCATAACTGCACTGCCCACAGCATACCTAAGTAAACCAGATGCATAAGTTAATATTTGTAGAATAAAATACATTTATAAACTTACCGCAGCTGCAAAACTGGGTATTTGTTTCTTCCTGTCGGATGCAAAACTCGGTATTTGACCAATCACTAATCACGTCGCTAGTATACGCATTAACTGACGGCATAACAATCACCTGATTAATTGTTATTTTTTTGGTATTTGCACTTTTCACTTGCAAAACTTGGTATTTGAACGAGGAAGATGCAAAACTATGTTTTTAAATCTTTTGATTTCAATTATTTACTAAACTACTTAATTTTAAAGGACTTTTTTTTACTTTTTTAAATAAGAAATGATGCAAAAGCACGTCTATACGATTTTTGTATTTTTTTTTTCAAATATGACCTTATGAGCGGTTTTTCGTGTTTTTCTTAAAATCACTTATCCTGCAAATACAGAGTTTTGCATCTAATGTACTCATATGGAGCTCCAGTACTTAGTATCAGTAATAAGTCCTTGTAGTTGTAATAAAAGGATATTATACGATTACCTATATGGTTAAAATAAAATCCTACATGTGTATTAAAAAAAAATTAACACAAAAGCGCCATCTCATTTTTAGTCTATAAACTAATAATGAGAAAGTTCCATGATTGCCAATCATTGATTGGTTTGTCAGGTCTGCTAAACTTTCTTTAGATTTGGTGATTTTATTTTATTTTGTAAAAACTTTTATCAGCATTTAGCAGCTCAGTGTTTTCCATTTAGCAGATTATTCGAAAGCATTTTAAGAATAACCGGTTGTCGGTTAACTGGGGTTGATGAATAACCGGATATTAACCGGTTAACCTATAGCAAAATAACCGGTTAGTTTTGCCCATCCCTAGTTTATTATTTGAGTCGCAAATTTCAAGAACCATTCTGAAACCCCTTCACTTATGTCTTCAAAACATCGTTTTGTGCCCCTTTACTTAGGTACTGCCAGAAATGCAGGCACATAAAGCCCGACAGGGCGCACCATTGCTCCGCATGCGAGGTGTGCGTGCTGAAAATGGATCACCACTGCCCCTGGATAAACAACTGCGTCTCCTACTCGAATTACAAGCAATTCTTTTTGCTGGTCGCCTACCTCACCGTCTACAGTTTTTACTTCGTCGCCACGTCGCTGGAGTACATCATCGAGTTCTTCAAGGATATGCAGGAGAGAAAGGATTCGGTGCATTTTATTGGGGGGTGAGTGACGTCGCAGTTTAACCTCACTTTTAAATTAATCAAAATCTTCCAGGTACGTGTTTACGGTGGTGGCGTGCGTGTTGTTCGCGGTTCTGTTGGGATATCATGTACAATTGATACGTAAGAACGAGACTACGATAGAGTCCTTGAAAGAGGCGGTGTTTTGTGAAGGAAACATGACCTTCGATTTGGGGTGCGGGAGAAATTTGAGGGAAGTTTTCGGGGACAACAAGGTGTTGTGGTTTGTTCCGGTGTTTTCTTCTTTGGGGGATGGTTACACTTTCCACGTGTTGAATAGGGTGTTGTAATAAAACGAGTGTGATGCTTTATTTAATTCATTTATTTTGACAATTAATTAAACGATAAAATTGAACCCGCGTTGAAATTACAGTGAAATTTGCAACGCGGGCGAATATGAAAACCTACCTAACCATATAATATATAAATCCTTTATGTAAACATTTCTGAATTATATACTTATAAAAACCAATAAGGTTGTAAGAAAAGTACATTGGGTGAATTTTCGTACCGATAAATAGTAAATAAGATAAAATACAAGTGGGAAACTAAAGCAGTAAATGGTAGCGAATTACACGGGCCGACATTTTTTTTTTGGTGCCGGGTAGCCAACATTTTTTGTTGTCACCAGTTTTGATTTTACTTGGTCCCGTCAATGACAAGGCTAAGTAATATCTTATTTGACTATCTTACTATTTAGAAGGAATGAAAACAAGCTATGAATACGAGTTTTTTTGGAACTAGTATTTATAGCCGCATAATACACCGTAAAACTATTGAATCGACATTAAAAGCTAAGGAGAGGAGATTGTAGGTGGATGGGGAGGGGGGAGAAAATGAAAAAAACTGACCCTGTTGGCGGCTTAGATGGCGTCGATGTCGACCTCCTCGCCGGGCTCGTCTTCCGGTTCCGGTTTCTTGGCGGGCGCCGTTTTGGCGGCCGCCTTCAGCGGCGAGACCTGCGCGCGGTCGTTGTACTCGATTTCGACGTCGCTCTCCTCCTCCTCGCTCTCGCTCTCCTCGTCCGCCTCCTTCAGCCACTTTATAAACGGACCCGCCTGATCGTGGATCTCCTGGCTCACCTCCTTCGGCACGTACTTCTTCGAAACCTGCAGCACACCGAATCACTGAGGTTTACAGAAGTAAATGACAAAAAACAAAGAGAATGGACAACTGAAATTGATTTTAAACCAAAACAAATTTCGTTTCAAAACTAATAAAATTATTATTCAGTTCCAATACAGACGGTTAGAACTCAACCAAAAGAGAAACATAAAAATCGCTCATATAGGTACAATGTAGTTCAGGAAATTACTGTGCTAAATTAGTCCCAGTTTACTACCTGTACAGGTACCTGTTCTCCAAAGTCTTAATAGAAACAATAAAAGCAATCCCTCAACAAGTGAAGTCCATACAAAGACGGAAGTAATTAAGTGACAAGGGACAGCATACCTGGCGGGCTAACCACAGGTCAAGGAAGAAACGCCGGCGTGAAAATTCGGATCCAACAAACACAGTGGTAATATTGTGCTGTTGCGGGATACGTAGGAGAACTGAAAGGGGGTAAAGTAACCCTGGGAGATCAGTGTAAGGCGATGTCGATGACGGCAACAAATTATGGGGGATATTAAATATCACGCAAGAAGGAACAAATGAAATCCTAAAAACTGAAATAAATGAAATTAAATACGGAGATAAAATAGTAAAAACCAAAAAAGACATTGTAGAAATACTCAATAAATATTGCACCGAAATTGTACAAAAAACTAGCAAGCAAAGCAAAAAATCGAGAACAAGAAATATACAACCATATACAGGGTGTTTCTTTTAACTTAAGACCGCTCAATATCTCGAGAAATACGCATTTCACGGAAAAATGTCTTAAATAAAAGGTTAATGTGACTAAAGGGGACATTATTTGGTGCTACCGCTAGCCACCCCCTACCCCTCCTTAAGGGTGAAACGGGGGGTAACTTTGGAAAGTCAAATGGAATGACCCGATTTTTTTCACAGAGTTTGGTAGTACATAAAAAAATAAATAACTTTTACTTGACACTTTTTTCAATTTATCAACAGATGGCGCTGTAATTCAAAATTTAAGAAAAATGAGTTTCCTTGTAAAATGTATTATTTGAAACGTTTGAAAACCAAAAATTAACTTTAACAACAATAGTCGGCTATGAAAACAATTTATAACAAATGTTCGAAAGGTCGTCATTCCATTTCAACACATTTCTGAATGCGGGTAATGAATTCTGGCACACAACGCGCCAACAGGCGTTCCTGATCCGCTCCACCATGTCCTCCCAAGTTGTAGGAATTGCAGCCTACACTTTTTCTTTCAAGTAACCCCACTGGAAGAAGTCTGGTGGCGTAAGATCAGGTGATCGAGCAGGCCAAATTACTGGACTACGTCTACCGATCCACCGCGGTGCACCGGCCATTGAACTCTCGAGCAATTGCCGAATAATGTGCAGGACAACCATCTTGCTGGTACCACATGTTTTGGAGCCGTGCTAGTGGTTCATCCTCCAAAAGGTCCGTCAGATCGTTTTCTAGAAAATTCAGGTACTTTTCGTCATTTAATGCACCGTCAATAAAGAAGGGTCCGATTAATCGTTCGCTTAAGGTACCGCACCAAACGTTTACCGATCAGGGACGCTGGTGCTCCACTTGGTGTCGAAATGGAAGGACGACATTTCGAACATTTGTTATAAATTGTTTTCAGAGCCGACCATTGTTGATTTAATGTTAATTTTTGTTTTTCAAACGTTTCAAATAATACATTTTACAAGGAAACCCCCTTTTCTTAAATTTTGAATTACAGCGCCATCTGTTAATAAATTGAAAAAAACTTTTAAATAAAAGTTATTAATTTTTTTATGTACTACCAAAATCTGTGAAAAAAATCGGGTCATTCCTTTTGACTTTCCAAAGTTACCCCCCGTTTCACCCTTAGAGAGGGGTAGGGGGTGGCTAGCGGTAGCACCAAATAATGTCCCCTTTGGTCACATTAACCTTTTATTTAAGACATTTTTCCGTGAAATGCATATTTCTCGAGATATTGAGCTGTCTCAAGTTAAAAGAAACACCCTGTATACGACCAACAAAAAAGAGGCTAAAATTAAAAAAACCTGAATATCACGAAAAGTTCTTGATTTCCACTTCTTCTTCAAATGTGTTCCCAAAAAAAAATAATTTTTCTCAAAAAAGCAAATTTTTTCAGGCCTGGGGAAAAACGGAAAAACAGTTTTTTACCTCAATTTTTCCCAACCCAACCAAGCAAAAATAAAGGAACAACAAATCAAAGATTTTAAAAGCTTGATTGAAGAATATATAATTAATTTAAGAGACTGAAATATTAAATTATATTTTCCAGAAATAGTAGGTGTTCCAGTGGAATTAATTAAAAAGGCTTATTGGACATGGTGATTTTGATTTAATGAATGATTTGTTTATGTTTGATAAAAACTTTAATGAATTTGCCTAAGATTAAAGTAAAAAATGCAATTATGACATAAATTTAACTTCGACTTTGAATAACTTTTGAACTCGTTGGTTTATCGAAAAATGATGGGAGGCATTTTTTGTAGAGCGTTCAATTTCCCACAAAAATATATATCGCACATGAAAATCTGTTAGTTTGTGAGCTAGAAAGTTATAAAAAAAATGGAATATACAACCATATTTGGTAAATTATAATTATGTTAGAGTTAAAATAAAATTATAGTTTAAATTGACTAAAGAGTTAATAGAAAGTTTAAAAATGGTAAAATAAACCAAGAAGTTAAATTTAACCAACATAACGTTAATTTTACCATAATTGAATTCCCCACTTATTACAAAATAACATTAATTTAACCAGTTGAATTTTTCTAAAAAAAAAACCGTTTAGCAATTGTCTTTTGCTTACCTTTTCGGCCCACTCGTGGATGCAGGCCTCGCCGAGGATGTCGAGGTCGTAGAGCACCTTGAGGAGGCCGGGCACCTTGGCCATGAGCGAGTCGCGGTTCAGGGCGACCACCTGTTCGAGGCCGCCCATGAGGTACTTCTGCGCCTTGCCGTCGTTGACGGTGAAGCGCAGGAACAGCAGGCGGTACTTTTTGATTTGCGCGAGGATGTTCTGGTCGAGCAGGAGCTCGACCAGCACGAGCGGCGCCTTGGCCTTGATCTCGAGCCGCTCCGCCTCGTTCAGCAGCTCCTTCTGCACCTGCGCGTTCTCCAGCTGACCGGAGTCGCGCTTGCTCTTCACCTGGTTGTACAGTATGTCCATGCGCTCCTTCTCCGACTTTTCGAGGTCGTCGTTGATCGTCATGTTCTTGGCGCCGTCCGTTAAATCCTGCATGCGCGCGCGCACCGCCTCCTCCGACACGTCCACCGCCCACTCGGTCTCGTCGTCGCTGCCGACCCCCTGACGAAAAAAAATAAACATTTTGCCAAAATCGACACTAGGGAGGACATTTTTAAACAAGGTTCTGTGTATTTTTTAAAATCAAACTTTTTATTTTTTCAACCTTTACTTGATGAAACTCCATGTCACCAATGTATAACTAGACAAAAAAACAAACACTGTTTTTTTGACTATCACGAATTTATTTTAATTTCATTTGACAATTGTTTCCCTAACACAGTAGCTACTGTGTTTGTTTTTTGTATAGTTATACTTAACTTGGAAACTGTTTAATTCACAAAATTAAAATGTAAATAAATATTAATTTATAGTCGCGGCCAAATCTGCATGGGTGCACGCAAAGATAATACCCCCGCCCCCATAGATTGGAAACTCTCCTACCACTGCCCTCTGAAGCTACAATCCCTAAACAATACCTATTTGCAAATTGCAGACCTCTGTACAATGCTTCACACCTTAAAGTCCCATCACGTGACTACGTACGGAACGCAGTCTTTTGAAAATTTGGCATTTAAGGCTTTTCTGTCAAAATATAGTCAACGAAAGAAATAATATTATGTTTAGGCGTTAAAAATGTATAAATCCTTATAACATTACAATAACAATGGTTGGTTTAAGAATTTTGGAATATAAATAGGTACTGCATTTAATGAAATTCTAAAGTGTATGGTGCCACAGTAATATTTTTGTGCATTTGGTCCAGAGCTGCAACAAGTCAGTTTTAAAAAGACTTAAATCTTAAGTCTAAGTCAATTCTAAAATCAAAATGATTTAAATCTTAAGTCAATTCTAAGATAAAGTTCAAATGATTTAAGTATTAAGTAAAGACTTAATACTTTGAATTAAATCATTTTCTTTCAAGTCAAGTCATTTTCGCAAATTCTTAAATCAATATAAAGTGATTTAAGTCATCTTATGACTTAATTCCTTTAGTAAGTCGTTTTTATGACTTAAGTCTATATTTTTTATTTAAATCGTGATCTAAGAGTTAAGTCAATAAAATGACTTGAATCAAAAATTGTGATTTAAATCAAAATAATTACCCTTAACTCAATACAACGATTTTTTAAATGTTAATAATAATTTTATGGTATTAATGATACTGATATTATTAATCTATTGTAGATGATGATAAGCAAAATAAAAACTTTAAACACATTTTTTGAGTATATAGTAGACAATAAAAATAAAAACTTAAACCACCTTTTTTAGTAGAGTAGACATACATGGAGGCTACTTTTTTATATACATAAATGGGTAACTTCTAAACGGTAATAGATTCAAACTCTGTTAAAATAGATAAAAGTTGAAGCATTTTTCTTAAAATCGCTGTATTTCGCTAATAACTTGTTGTTTTGATAATTTTTGTTAGCTGGTTCGACCGCTCAAGATGTACGATTGCTCGCGACCGCTCACGACCGATTGTTTCCACTTTGCACTAATAATCACAAATTATTAGACCTAACTACGCACGAACATGACGAATGTTGGCAAACAAAATAACAACATTTTTAATTCATTTTAGACAGGACATTTTTTAATGTAGCCGTCAAACGGTTCCGAAAAGCTAACTTTAACGGGGCGGTTTTTTTATTCACTAGCGGTAGCAATTGTAGGTAGGAAATTAAAGGAGTTTTTGATCTGCTGCCGCGTGAACCCCTGGCAGTTCAAAAGAAAATGCTGATGTTAAAAATTTATTAAAAAAATATATGAAAAATCTGACTTAAATATTTTCTAAAAAGACTTGAATCTTTTTCAAAAAGACTTAAATCTTTTTTTGACTTAAATCGTTTCTATCTGACTTAAATCGTATTTACTGATTTAAGCCTTTTATTAATGACTTAAGTTTTTTCTATTTTAAAAAAATATTTAAGTCACAAATCATTTTGAAAATTACTTAAATTTTAAGTCTTAAGTCAGTTTTAGAGAAATGACTTAAGTCATTAAAACGATTTAAATCAAAAAAACGATTTAAGTTTTCTGAGAGCTTGCAGCTCTGATTTGGTCCAAATATCAGGTTTTCTCCATAAAATAATTTTAACTAAACAGCATTTATTAAAAAAAAAAACCTCTATTATGGAATAAGTATATCTGTATTAAAGGTAGGTTAATATATATGTATTATAACAAAAATATCATCTAATTTTGTAATTTTAAGGTTATAAAAATTTATTTGACCAAAATAAATAAGTATGTTGGATTATTTGAAAGACTGTATAATATGGTATTTAAAAATACGGTAGTTTTTCTAATCCACCTTAAGTGTACCTACATAAAGTTTTGTCAATACAAATAGTTATAAAGCTTCGACTGAATTTGATCTACATCGAAAAATCATTATAACTTTAAAAATTTTAATAAATCACATTTTTTGGGAGTCTTAAATATTTTCTCATTGCAAGTTTCTCTAAAAATTGTTTGTTTTCTTATAATCTAACTTAAAGTAGGAATGCCGAGAGGTATTTAAAACTTTAGTTGTTAGAAGTATAAAAGCTTCAATTTAATTTGAACCATATTCAACGTTTATTTAGTATACCTATATTTATTTATGACCATATTAACACACTTTAAAAAATAATCCACTTATTTATTTTGGTCAAAATAGATTTTTCTAACCTTAAAATACAAATTTATATGATATTTTACCTTTAATACAGATATTCTTATTCTATAATGGAGAAGTTACGATTTTTTTTTAATAAATGCGGTTTAGTTAAAACTATTTTATGGAGAAATGTTGACCCAGTGCACAAAAATATCACTTATTTGGCACCATACACTTTAGAATTTCATTAAATGCAAAAAAACGTCTCCGTTTCTTCAGGGGGGATGGCCTTTAGCTCATTTAAAAACTATTTGGCCACCTCATTATTAAATATTACTTCATTATTAAATATTACTTCTTTCATTGACTATACTATATTACTTCTTTCATTGACTATACAGATACATAACCTGAAAAGCCTTAAATGCCAAGTTTTCAAAAGACTGCGTTCCGTACGTGGTCACGTGGTGGGACTTTGAGGTGTGGAGCATAGTACAAACGCTATTTGCAAATGTCAATGTCAATCATAATTATTGAATTAATAAAAACATTTTGCGCCATAAAAGTGATAAGTGACAAAACGTGACAATGATTGGAAAATGTATTGTTGTTGGGTGCGGAATAGTATATTAAAGAACTAATGTCATAAGACGTTATTTTGTCGCACGCGGACAATTTATAATTTGTAATGGACGATTGCGACAAAAGGTCTTATGACATGAGTTCTTTATGCTATTTTATCTATTTTGCAAAAATTCTATAAAAAAAATAATTTTATACCTTAAATTTAATTTGGTCGAATTTTACTTTAGATAGTTGGTATCACAGTAATTGGTTTGTCAAAATGTCAAAATCGATTCGTCATGCCGTCCTTAATTTACTTATTTACAATAAGCGGCTGTTAATGTTAAAGAAGAAAAAAAGGATTTTCATTGGTGTTTAACAAAATTTATTGCCAGAAAAGTCTCGTAAGTACTAGAAAAATCATAAAAATATTATAACCAATATGCAAAATAGTATTCTGTTTAAAGTATAGCCAACCTATAAAATCAAAATTTTAAGTGGGATAAAGTATCTCATTAGAGCACCGAAAGCGGTGTTATAATGAAGTCATTATGAACGCAAAATAGATAAATGTAATTTGTAAGTATTGACTATCCTGCCATACTAAGCCAAAAGGACACATCAAATTATTCTCTTAGCAAAAAAAACGCATTTTAATCTGTATACATTTTGAGTACTATAGTTCTTAAAAATTGCTAATTAAATTAGACGTATGTATCTTAAATTAAAAATATAAGGTAATTAAAAATAAGTGAGAACAAAATACTAATGTTTCAAATTATTAGTTCCTATTAATTTACATTTTGTAACATTAACTGCAGCTGACCCAGATGTCTATAGCAAATTTGCTAAAATTGTTGTAAAAAAAGTAAAAGAAATATTAGAAATATTCCCCAACACCAAAACAAAACAGAAAGTGCTTAAAGTACTATTGCTAACAAAAAAAACTCTAGTGTTCCTGATTTTCTATCATTTCGTTGGAGTAATTATGGCTTTTAACATGATAAGTCGCATTTGAAAGGTCTAAAATTAAATACAAAGTTAGGTTGAAGTTTGAAAAAAAAATAATATTTCGTCATCCCTCTGTTTTTGTCAATTACTGCCCGCAAACGGCAAAGCATGGAAGTCGCCGTCTTGCTTTATCTCGTTCCAAATGGCTTCAATGGCTTGCCAGAGTTCGTCTGCATTGTTTGGTTGAAAATGTTGTTAAAAAAGTCATAATGGATGTGACAAAGCTCGATGTCAGCTTGACATTGACGGAAAAGTTTTATTCACACAGCCACAATATAGCTGTATGAGTTTTTTTTGTTAGCGATAGTACTTTGTGTTTGGTGTTTTGGTTGGAAAAACTTGTCAGTGGAACAAATGAATGAAAAAAACTTGACTCACGTTATCAATGGTCTTGTCAGCGGAGTTGTCCAAGGTGTTGTCGGGGTCGTTCTGGTCGCCGTTGGCGTCGCCGTTAACCTTCTTGCTTCGCTTCGAGCGCTTGCCCTCGGTGAGCGAGGAACCCTGCACGGTGGGGTTCATGGTGGGCGGGTTCTTCAGTATGTACGTGGTCAACTTGTGGTTGGACTCGAGGATGCCGTGGTGGCCGCACGCCTTGCACCCCTGCGAGATCGTGTTCTTCTTGGTGGAGACCAGCAGCTCGGTCTCGGGGTTCTCGCACTCCGGACACAGCACGAACCTAACATTTGTTTACACACTCAACTTGATGGAAATTTGGAAACTTTTGACGTTAGGCCCTTAAGCTTAATTTTCATGTATCCGTTTGTCCGTCAGTCCGTTCATCCGGGAGCGCTCTTATTGGTCCAATTATAATTCGAAAATTATTTTATCGGTCCGTCAAGTTTCAACTTCGTACGTCTGTTTTTGACGCCTAACGTTATTTTAAGATAATTTATTTTCAAATATTTTTATATTTTTTCAATAAGATTGTAAAACGGAAATATTACGTTCGTTATGTGAATAATGTTTTACTGTTAAGTTTTTATTTAATAAGAATAACGGAAAAAAAGAAAGGACAAAAAAAAAATAAAACTAGAACTAAAAAGACCTGCTTTTTTAAAACTATACATTTTAATGTATATTAGGGCTAGTATATTCTTTTTATAAGGTATATTTACCTACCTTTAAATTTATTAGACAGCTAACTGTTAAAGTTACAATTGTTGACATAATTGTAACTATGACAATTAAGCATTAGGTAAATTTAGTAAGTGAATATACTGACACTTAATTTCTATTTGTCGCAAAATCAATCCGTTTAACGTCATTAAAAAACGTATGCATGAAAATTAGAACATTTCTTATCGGACGATTTTATTGAAAAACTGACATACGGATGACGGACAAACGGATACATGAAAATTAAGCTTTACTTGCGGATGAAGCCGTCGAGCAGGTCCTGAAGCTTGGCGGCGTCGTGCGAGCCGTTGACGATGAAGCGCTCGTTTTTCTTCTCGAACTGCGTCTGCGCGCCCAGCTCGCAGCCGAAGTACTTGGTCGGGTAGGTGGGCGGGCGGCCCAGGGCCTTGGCCACGTCCACCATATTCACGATCACCGTTTTGATGCCGTTCCCTTTGCCCTCGACCTTGGCAATGATGCGCGGCATCTTATAGCGATAGAAAACGTCGCTGACGCTGCGGTTCACGTTCACGGACATCTTGCCGGCTGTCGCTGCTCGATTTTGTCCTAAATGCTACCGTTCTTCTCCCCTGACTATCTAAAAGCAAACATTTCGTTTCGTTTTACCATTTTTTCATTTTTACTACACCTTAAAAATTGCAAAACAAATGTTTTTAGATAGTCAGGTGAGAAGAAACTTTTGACATTTTTTCAATTTTTTAAGTATTATTAGTGATGTAAAAAAACGTTTGTTTTCAAATTTGAAAAAAAAACAAAACATTTTTTTTTTCAAATTATAAAAAAACTACCTAACAAAGATACCACAGCTACAGTCGACATGGTTGTAGATCATCTAGAATCTAGATTCTAGATTATAGTTCCGACAGTTCTTTCTCAGGTAGTTCTGAAAACTTTTCTCTACAACTCGACAAATCTAGCTAGAGACTTTAAAAACCTGCAGTGTGCGCAAAACTTAGAACGCATTCGTAAGAAAAGAGGTGCATGATACGACCGATCTCGGCCGCACAGAGGACTAATAAAGGTTTAAATATCAACACTATTAAACACTATTAAAGTTATTTAAGAATAACAAATTTATTTATACAATTAGAATAGAATTATATGTATTTAAGGTAAACAAGAATTTCTTATAAAGTTAAGGTAAACAAGAATTTCTTATAAAGTTAGGTTGGTTATAATCCTTTTGAAAATTCGCTGTGACTAGAATCACGCTAACGTGCCGCGATTCGAAATGTTAAAGGCACGTTAATTACGTCATAAACCCAAACCATCCCAAACTCAACAACACAACCCAACCGACCCCGCCCCATTGGGCGACAATTTCTTAGTATCGAACCCGGGACCTCTCGCATGCCAAGCGACCGCCCTACCATCTGAGCTATCTAGCTTGATGTCAAATATTAAACGCTCGGGGAAGAAAAACGGATTATAATTATGACGTAATTAACGTGCCTTTAACATTTTCAATCGCGGCACGTTAGCGTGCCTCTAGTCACTGGGTTGAAAATTTGTGTTAGGGTTAGGGTTATTTTAATACATAGTTGGTTTCTATGATAATGCTTGTTGCTTTTGACAGTGGCAGTGACAGTTCTATATGCGGTATGGGAACAAAAAAAAGTCTAAAGAGAAGAGCAGAAAACAAAGAGAAGAAACCCATAGAAGGTAGAAGGATTGTCTAATTACCTATTTAAAAAAAAATAATAAATTACTTATTACAACCTAGAATTATTTCAACATTTTCTCAAAGCAAATAATATCGTGCCCGAACCTCAAAAAATTGAATTTACTTTATAACCCAGGACCAAACATTTTCAACGCGATTTTTCTTAAAAACTGTCGGTTTTAGACCACAGAACACTTGCATTTGTTAAATGTAGCGTGTGTGCAAAAAATTATTATTGAGATAAAAAATAAATCTTCAAAGGGGCCTAGCTCCCTCATAAACCATTTTTGACACCAAGTTCTCAAGAACTTTTATTTATATTTTCTAGTGTAGAATTACCCTTTAAAATGTTTTTATGGAATTCGGAGACATGTAGATAGATCTATTTTTAATACACAAGGTCAATATTTGGCGTTTTATTATTATAAAAAATTGTTAAAATTTTGTTGAAATATGAATTACAAAAGAAAATTTCGTATTTTTAAATGCTATAAAAGAAAAAAATTGGTATTATTTAACTGTATTTGTACATTATAGTGAATTATTTGGTTTTAACAAATATTTCTTTGAAGAGACATTTTAAGAAAACTTATTATCAATTATTTCGACACTCTGTTAAAAAAATACTGTTTAAAACTCTTTTTCGCACTAGAATTTGCTACAGTTGCGTTCGAAAAAAAAATGCTTAGGAAACATTGATTGTAATTTTTGCTTACCAATACGGATGACTTTGCAATGAAAAATGTTTGATATTTTGACGTGGGGGCAGCGTTTTTGGGCCTCGATAGTCTTCACAGTATCGCGATTCACTGTACGGTGTTGATTTGCAAAAAACAGTCACGTTTCCCTGAATGGCTGGAGTTTCCGATGCCTATTGGATGAAAATTTTGTTGTCCTAAAAAATTACCATGTTTTCCACGTTTTTTGGTTTCTAATGTCGATATTTTACCTATAACAGGTGGGCTCACGTCGCTGCGAAGTCGTCATACACCTCGCTGGCCCGGGCCCTAAACTCCCAACTAAGCTTTTGGTTAATAATGTCTCTGAAAGAAAAAATACAAAATTATCATAAATGTTTCACTTTTACATTTTAAGGCGTAAAACTCTAAAAACTTTGAGCACATCCCAACCACTGAACACGTTAAAATAATCGAATTTGTTTCGGAAACTTTACACAAATAAAAAATCCTCCTAAACAAATACGTGACGCACATGATATATAATTTAAAAAACAAATAGTCGAATCAACTCACAAAATTACTAAGATCCATGAATGGGAGCACAGTTTTAGCATATTCTGTTAACAAATAAAAAAAATTTGACACTTTTGTCAAACTTCCACAGATATGTCCATGAATTTTCTAAACAAATCGCGACAGGCCATGATTCGGTTACGTTGGCAAAACTGCGTTTCATTTTGAATTTAATTGTCAAAAAATTTTAAAATAAACAATTTATTATGTAAGTAGTTTTTATACAAGAGTTTTTAATAAATGATTTGCATTTTTTTCAGAATTTAATAGTACCTATATTATGTATCAAGTTTTATAAACGCCATTTTAGTTACTAGGTTAATTAAGCACGAGGGAAGCTTGCGAGCGAGTGTTTAATAAAAACGAGTGTCTAGAGAACTTTATAAACGAGTTGCATACTATACTTTATCTACGACGAACACAAAACAGATTTTAACGCCATTTTATTTGTTCAAATTTTGACATCTCGGTACCTTAGAATGACAAGGTTTTAAGTGCAGCTGTACTGTTAAGCGAAAGTGACTTTATCTACAATATTAAATATTGCAGATAAGGCATTTTTGCTTAACATGGCAACCTTGTCATTCTAAGGTACCGATCTGTCAACTGTCACCCGAATTTAACCTCACTTTTTTCCAATTTATAATAAAGCTAACTTCAGCCCGTGACTAAAATGTCAAAAAGCCACAGCTCGTCAATGTAGAAGTAGATACTAGTATATTATGTATCAAGTTTGATAAACGCCATAAAATTTATACACGAATTTAATTTAGGCACGAGCGACTCGCTCGGAGCGAGCTTGCGGGATAGTTCTTAAATTAATGACTGTATAGAAAAGTTTATAAACGAGGTGCATACTATACTTTTTCTACGACAAATACTTATTATTATCTTAAAATGATTTAAATCAAATATTTTTATAGAGCGCTATCTATGAAACAATAGGGGAATCTGTGTGTCACCGTCAAATGTCAAATTTTATAAACACAGATTATAAAGGTTATAAATCGAAATGTATTTCTTGAAAGTGGACAGTTTTTTTACAGTAAAAGTAAAGAAATATTTTATGAGCACTTTACAGTGGAGTCTGTGCCCGAATTTAAGTTTTAGTTTACTGCCGGCGAAATTATTCATATAAACTTTTCAAATATTGGCGTTGAGAAACTATTTAATACTTTTGTATTTTTGTATTGAGATAATAAAATAATTTTCACATTTAGTATTATTTTACAAGAAAGGCCTTTATTTTAACGATTGTATGACATGAAGAAAAACATTTTTAAGTACCTACTCCTTTATTACACATTCGATGCCAATTTTTTTTCTAATGTATTTTGACCTGTACGATAAAGGGCGTTTTAAGGGTTGAAGTAGGAAAAATTAATTTTATTTGACATTTTGTTTAAAAGCGGTTTAACCTCACTTTTTACAAATCTGATATCTGTTTCACCTCTTATTTCCAATATGACATCTGTCAAATGGATATAACCTTCCTTTTTCAAATTAAATGCACTAGTGTACTAAGTAACTTAATACTAAATGTAGTACCTAGTAGATAAAATGTCTAAACTTGGACTTACCAACTAATTTCAGCTCATTTAACTTATTTACTATTTATCGGTATCCTGCACTGTTCTACAGAAAATCATTGACCTTGAAGTTTATCATTTAGATCGTTTTTTAGTAATTTGTACATATAAATTCAGATGTCTGTCAAATTCTAATTCTTCGTATGGGATAAAAAGGCCGTATCTCTTACAAATAATCCCATGCTATGATCAATATGCGGGATGGTAATTTTGTTAATCATTTGATGATTATTTTGGGGGGACAGGACCAAAAGAGTCGCTACATTGAAATTTTGATAACGTCATGTCATAAATGACACTTGACAGTGAACTTTTAGTATTTTTATGTTGCCATACTGATGTCAAACAATAAAATTTGCTGATTATGCACGGGATTCTATGCCGCACACTAGATTACGACAGATAATGCAGTGCTGCGATTGATTAATTACGTTCAATATAAAATGCTTCTTTGGCCACAGGGTGAATGTTACTTCAACTGCCCAGACGTTAATTAAAATTTCAAAACAATGTAATTAAGTAATGGTATTTTTCAATCATTTAAAATTTAAATTGCATTCTCATTCATAATTAAGTAAACAGCCTTATAATACTTGCAATTGATGTACAATTTATAAATAAATCGAAGTACTTGCATATAATAAAGTAATTAGTTTTTTATCAGCAAATGGTTTATCACAGTTGGCGTCATTTTTAAGTGAATTATTTTTTGATTTAAATAATGCTTACAATATAATTCAATAAATAAATCTGTTCATGTGCGGTAATTTCGTATATGCAGCTGCACAAGTAAAAAATTTAAAATAAACAAGTGGCTTCCTTTTAATCAATTCGAGTGGGTACTTCTTGGAATTGTATTGCAGTGCAAGTTGCATACAGCATTATATTCTTGCCAGTGTTTGGCTTTCACTAACTTTTGTAAGCAATACAATTTCATTCAATTAAATTTTATCGTTGGGAAAGATAAAAATTTCTCTCTTTATCGACGAATTATAATTATTCTAATTATTACGTAAATCTGTATTCATACAAACACAATATTTTTTGTGGTGGTATTTATTTTAAACAAATGATATCAGTGGCTATTTGCAATGTATTTTTAAAACTCACCTTTTTCACATGTTAAAGATAAAAACATGTTAATGATAAAAATAATTTAAATATGTGAATTATTTTTGGTAGGCCATTCACCCACCTGTCGGAGCTGGTGACGTCAAGCGGGTAAAGTGGTAAACAAATGTCAAATTTTTAATCGGCTAGCCAACCATATTGATCCCGAAAACTGCATAGGTAGCATTTAATTTTAAAAGGGTGCAACGATTAAAATTGAAACTGTCGATTTTAAACAGAATGAAAAAACGGCACTTGTACTGTAAAGATGGCTGTGAAAATGACGTTTAACGTTAACACGAATCCAGCATATGTCAGCAGATTTTATGCGGGGGCGACTAGATAATGAAAACAATAATGATAATAGTGAAGGAGATGGTTACAGAGAGATAGATAATGTTACGTACTCAAGCAGTCATAGCGTTTCCTAGAGATCATGGGGTTCAGAGAGGCCTTTGGCCGTCTCCGCGACACTTCCTTTGAGGCAGATATGATGATGTCTTTCGTGCACCGTGCGAAACACTGGCGGCAGCGGTGGCGGAAACCGGCGCAGCAATCGATCGAGTTTTCGAGCAGGCGCCCGAAAGCTTTTCCGAGCGGGGTTTATTGATTTTCCGCCGCGTCGCTGCCGGTGAGCGTTCGGAAAATCGTTATTTGTTTGTGGAGTGGGCTGCGTATGCCCACGCACCTCGGTTTTCGATAATTAAATGTTTTGTTTAAATTCATATAAAGTTCATATCATACCATGGCATTAATAATATATTATGTAAGTTTTACAAACGCCATTTTATTAGGCACGAGAGAAGCTTGCGAGCGAGTGTTTAATAAAAACGAGTGTCTAGATAAGTTTATAAAACGAGTTGCATACTATACTTTATCAACGACTAAAAGAAGAATTTAAAGCCAATTCATATATATTTGACATTTGAATTTAACCTCACTTCTTCGCAATTTATAATAAAGCTAACTTCAGGCACGAGCGAAGCTTTCGAGCGAGTGTTTAATAAAAACGAGTTGCTTACTATACTTTATTTTTACACAAAGAAGCCAATTTTATTTATTAAACATTTGACATATGTCAACTATCAACGGATTTAACCTCACTTTTTCCAAATTTATAATAAAGCTAACTTCATCCCGTGACTAAAATGCCTAAACGCAACTGTTGATAACTTCAGCCCGTAACTAAAACTCTTTAAAGTCACAGCTCGTAAATGTAGGATTAGATAATAATATATAATAATATATTATGTTCCTACTTAACAACTCAGTATGACCATGCATTTTGCAATTTGGTACCTACTTCCAACTTAAACAATACAGTTTTACAAACGCTATTTTAGTTATGAGTTTTATTGGGCACGAGCGAAGCTTGCAAGCGAGAGTTTAATAAAAACAAGTGTCTAGAGAAGTTTATAAAACGTGTTGCACACTAAACTTTATCAATGACTAAAAGAAGAATTTAAAGCCAATTTTAATTCATATATATTTGACATTTGATATTAACCTCACTTTTTCGCAATTTATAATAAAGCTAACTTCAGCCCGTGACTAAAACGCCATAAAGTCACAGCTTGTCAATGTAGGAGTGGATAATAGTATATTATGTATCAAGTTTTATAAACGCCATTTTAGTTACGAGTTTTATTAAGCACGAGCGAAGCTTGCAAGCGAGTGTTTAATAAAAACGAGTGTCTAGATAAGTTTATAAAACGAGTTGCATACTATACTTACGACGACCAAAAAGAAGAATTTAAATCTAATTTTATTTGTTAAACATTTGACATCTGTCAAATGTCAACGGAATTAACCTCACTTTTCTCTAATTTATAATAAAGCTAACTTCAGCCCGTGACTAAAATGCCCAAAAGCCACTGTTGTTAACTTCAGCCCGTGACTAAAACGCCATAAAGTCACAGCTCGTCGATTTAGGAGTAGATAATAGTATATTATGTATCAAGTTTTATAAATGCCATTTTAGTTACGAGTTTTATTAGGCCCGAACGAAGCTTGCAAGCGAGTGTTTAATAAAACCGAGTGTCTGGAGAAGTTTATAAAACGAGTTCCATACTGTACCTACTTTATCTACAAAGAAGAATTTAAAGCCAATTTTATTTGTTAAAAATTTGACATCTGTCAACTGTCAACGGATTTAACCTAACTTTTTCCCAATTTATAATAAAGCTAACTTCAGCCTGTGACTAAAATGCCCAAAAACAGTGTTGCTTACTTCAGCCCGTGACTAAAACGCCATAAAGTCACGTCTTTTCAATGGGAGAGTAGATAAAATAATATATTATGTTCCTACTTATATTAAAAACAGCTCAGTATGACCATGCATTTTGCAATTTGGTACCTACTTCAAACTTAAACAATACAAATAATAAATGATTTAAATATTGTTTGCAACGTTTTGCATTGATTACCAAAGCACTAAAGTGACCTGATTTGATAAGGTAAATACTTTATGATAATTACTTTATTTAACATCATAAAATATGCAAATGTTGAATACATTTTAAAATTCTTCAGCTTTAAAACAGTACAGTCATGGAGAATAACAATGTATCTTTACCAAGTTATTTTTTAATTGGACTTTTAGTTTGTTTACATATTAATAGACCTGTAGCTACTTAACTTATTTCATATTTTCCTGAAGACATGATTAAAAATACTTAGTCAATGAGTGTGGTTCCCAATTGGTATTGACAAATTGAAGGACTTATATAATAAGGGAATAACACCCCAGACTGCAATGAAGGTTCGAAAATATTCCAGGAATATTCCCTATCGCCTAGGAATAATCCGCTTCATTCTAGGAATATTCCTTGAATGATCCTCTAAAACTTCCAAGCATCATCTAAGAACATTCCCAGTGAATATTCATTAGTTTAGTTGCAATACCTCTCATCATTGCTTACGCACGCTTGATAACTATATATACCGATAGGTTAATAATATCAGTTGGAGATGTGTGTCTGTGATGGCACAGCTAAACAATGATTAGAGTGGGACCGATCTACTCAGTAACTCAATAATGGCTATACTTAAGTTAAGTTCCTGGGTATAAGAGGCAATAAGGGCTGGGAATAATCCCCAAATTATATCAAGGAATATTCCCCTAACAATCCTTGAGTCTTCTGCATGCAGATATATGGAATATTCTTTTTATGATGCCTGGGTTAACCAAAAAGCGGACATTTGATTATGCTAGGAATATTCCTGGGAATATTCTGGGACGCTTGGAATATTCCTGGGAATATTCCTGACATGTGCAGGGAATGTGATTTTGCGGTCTGGGACATTACCTGTGTCTACCTTGTGAATAATAAGTTCAGTTATTAGGAACTGATAACGTAAAATTTTTATTAAATAATTAAATTGGTGAGTTCAAGAACAGTACATCCAATATTTAAATTTTAAGTTATTTTATAAAATCATTTTTATAGTTTAAAATGCATTTTTGTGAGAATGTTTCAACTATTGTACAAAATATGGTTATTACATTTTATAAAATAGTTAAACTAAAAAAAATGATTTTATAAACAAAGTGACTAGAAGTACACCGGGAGTACCGCCATTAAACGTACACCGTACACCTTATTTAGCATAGTATTTGTCAATTGTATAATATTAAATGGTCGCTCAATGGGGCGGGGGGCCCAATGGGGCGGGGTCGGTTGGGTTGGGTTGTTGAGTTTGGGTTGGTTTGGGTAATTTATACTGACATATCATTAATTTTGTTAATTGTATTTCAATCACTTAATTAAATTTTAATCAATGTTTATACAACTTGAAAGTTAGCTTAATAATTACATAATTAATATCAAGAGTTAACCAGCTGTTTACCAACTGTTATACAACTGGGCCTTAGTGTACCAATTTCATCTCAAATAATAAATCCGAAATTTTACCATCAGCTGGTATGGAAACACGCATGCGCACAAACCTGACGTACGTTTAATGCCCGTACAGACCTATGGCACTATATGAATATCCGCCTCTCCTATTGGTTTACACATTTTTCGCGCCTCATTTAAATGCGTGTTTAAGCAGCATGGCTTGTAATGTTTTTTCGGATAAGTTTAGTGACTCATAACAAAACTACTTGTATTTATACATGCTTTTACTCGAGTTAGGTACAACTAAACAGCCATGCAAACATGATTAATATTTGATGCCTGCATTTGATTTATTTGTGAAAATGATTTAAATTAAATACTTTTAGAAAATATAGGCCAGGTTTTTATTAAAGCTAGATTTACGATTTAGTAAAAGAAACAATAATAATTATTGTTTCTTTTACTAAATCGTAAATCTAGCTTTAATAAAAACCTGGCCTATATTTATATACAATTATTGTATATTTATATACATTATTGTTGTAAGACAGGTATATTTAAATTTGATAGTAATACCTATGTATGGAAAAATGGACATCTTTTAAAATTAAAAATATGTACTGTAGTAGGCATCTAATTATTTTAGCAAAATTTTATGTTATCATTTCCTAGATATCAGTTCAACTGCAGCAAATAAATAAATAGTAAAAAACTTACCTTTGTGTTTTGCTAAAGTCATATAAATATACTTGCGCCCTTTTGGACGATTCTCCTTTTGAACAAAAAATAATTGTCCCAAAAACCAAGAAATTACACTTTATTCTACCTGAAACAAATAAAGAACAAATATAATAACCATAGAAAAAGAATAATGACTTGTGCAATCTTAAGCTATTTATAAATAAGTAGTTCAATTTAAATTAAATTTTTTTTGCAAAACTAAGGTAGGTATTTTGAAGTTTTAAATAAAAAGGTTAGAAGCAAAAATATTTGTTTAAGAATATTTAACCTTATTAAATTCATTTTAAATGACAAATTTGCAGACATAACGCAACCATAGGGTATTAACTTATGCCAGATATAACTGCCTTATTAAGAATTTATCTACAATCCAGAACCTGCAGGTTCCATGGATCCATGGATTCTAGATCCAGTTTTGCCAATTATAGGTATGTATAAAGTTTAGTATAAAATATTCAGATTACTTAAACCATACTTGCAAATTTCTAGAATTTCATCAGCATATTGCAAAAAATATTTATAGCACAACATTCGACCTGAACAAACAAAATACTGAAAAAAGAAAAAAACTGCAGGTAACCCAAAATTCCCCGTATAATTTTTGCAACGTAGCCTGCGTAAAAATAAAAAAAAAGAAATACGTAACACAGCCCACTTCTTACCTCCGATATTATAAAGCACGTTTTTATCACAATTACTCTAAAGTAAAATAATTGAGATAATTTAAAATTCAATAACAAGTAAAATAAATGGTTAAAATTAATAAAATTCTACACTGCACATTGAACAAATCGCCATTCAATCGCCATATGCAGGAAAAATATCCCATGACATTAAATTGTTACAAAAATAAAATCCCTAGAATAAAACAACGCCATCTTTTACTCACTAGGCGAACCAACACACCACAGAAAGCTTTAATATAATTTTTTATATTTTTGTGTATGGACGTTTTATATTAACTAAAATTGATATTGTAATTCATTGTATTCATATAAATGTTGAAGTTTTGGATTTGTAATCATAACTTTCATGTAATTCAAGAAAGTGTTAATACTTTTATAATTGCGCTCTAGATGTCACTACTGAAAACTCATTTGCGGAAATGTCAAATATCTGTCAGAGCAGCCATAATTGACAAGAAAAGTGATTGTGTAGTAGTGCAATATTTTGTGAATTTGCTGTATTTTAAGAAGCAATATATTGCAATAAAACGTAAGTTTATGATTTAATAAAATGCGAATTATCTCTCACTGTGTACTCCTGATTATTATGCAGCTAAGATTTTGAAAGTTTTGTAGACGTTTCTTTCAACTAATTTAACAGTATTGTGTCTAAAATAGTGTTTTTTGCCTTAGATATGTGTTATGGTGCATTAGGGATCCAGGAAGAGTATATTTATGGATGGTGCTAATAAGTAAGTACATTTTTGTAGAAGTATGTTATTTTTCAACACCTAATTTAACTATGAGATCATTATATCTTGAAATATGTCCTTGCATTTATTTTATATTCAAATAATTTATTATGGATGATAAATTTTTTTACTTGGATTTAACTGGGTATTAAAAAACATGTATTTCTTGAAATTCTGTGAAAATAGCAAGAGCAAACTTTGGCCAACCTCCAATCTTTGAATAATAAGATTTTTACAGTTTTGGTGCTATTTTTGTTAAGTTTACAAATATCTTAAAAAGTGGGTATAATTAGTTTGGAGGAAAAATGAAGATTATATAGCCAATATAGCCAAATATGTCTCAATTATTCAATATTTTTGTACCTATTTCAAATTTGAGCACTACTTTTTAGAAAACTAATATAGCTATTAAGTAATTTTTTTAAGCAATATCCTTGAATTGCATAGTAATGATTTAAACCTTGTAAATTCAACATCTTTATTTTTAACTTGAAAGGTACTGTAAAATTAATTTTCAGTTATTTGTAGTTTAAAAATATCTTGCCTTTCCTTCCATAAAATATATAGGTACATACATAGGTATACTTTCTAAATTAAATTCAATTTCAAAATTCAATAGCATTCTGTAATAAAAACCTCAATAATGGCTGCCTTATTTAATTACCCAGTATTTAGGTTTTTTATTATTGTTTTGTTGAGTATGATTAAATGGTTAGTGGTTAATTGAAGAAAGTTAAAACTCTGTTTTTAGTTTTTTAATTAAGTTGTATTAATAATGGTTTTAATTGATGATTGTATGGTTTTTAATATAAACTTTGCTTTCTTTTTTTAAATTTTTATCTAGGTAGGTAGTTTATCTGGTTTAATCTAAAAATTATGTTACACAAATTTTATAATTATAAAAATTTTAAACAATAAATAAAAGATTAGTATTACATTTTGATTTTGTGAAATTTAACCATTTCTTAAATAATTTTTTTTAAGTGTACCTACAGGGTGATCCCCTATAATGTCGCCCCCCTTTAACTGTTTTATTTTAAGTGTCCCAAAAGTACTTACTAAAAAATACTTTTTTTCTACGTATAAAAAAAATTTGAAAATTGATCAATATACAGGGAAAAACAAAAAGTTTATTTTTTTTTAATGGATCACCCTATATATGAATTTATTTTTCGATTCCTTGTAAAATTCTGAGCATAATTCATATAACAAACCATATGTATATGTATACCTAAATTCAACCGTTTCTGAAATATTCGCATTCGAAATGTTATCATTAAATGTTTTTTTAGACTGTTAGAAATCAACAAGCCTTAGTATACCAAAATTTTCATTGAAAATAAATTACTATAGTGACATTATGTCAATATGTCTTGTTAAATAAGTAAAAATGGCGTACTAAGACGGAGAAAGACAAATTATTTCAACTTTTTGTTTTTCCCTGTATACTGAACAATTTTCCAATTTTTTTATAAGTAGAAAAAAATTATATTTTTTTCAAGCGGCCATGATATACAACCTTATATGCATGTATAGAGATAGTTGAAGTGCGCCTTTTTCATTAGCGGCAGACAAAAAACTCAAAAAAGCCTAGGGATAGAAGGGCAATTCCATGATAACTCACGGGACATTCAGATGACAGAAATAAAATTTAACTTGGTATACCAGAATACCTATATTTATTAGGAATGTATAAAATGTTTAAACTTTAAAGGATAGGCCAATGTACATTTTTAACATTTTTGAATAAGTTCACCAATTGATCTCTGTACAAAATGCAGACAAAACGTGTGATAACTCATGGGACACGAAAAACTTTATTTAAAAAATTTGTTAAATGAAGCAACCTTTTTCTCTGAATCCTAAACTGTATGAAACATAATCTTATTTTAAAAATATACTTTGCCTATAGTGTATTAAAATAACATTTAACTTAACTACTTTGATTGTGTGAGGTTTTAAAAAAATTGGTTAATATGATAACTCATGGGACATAACATATTTTTAGTGCAGAATTCAAAAGCAGTTAAGACTTTTTAATTATTTAAAATTTTATGGAATATTGGGTTAAATAAATAAAGTAATAATTTTCTAGGCACAAGTAGGCATGTTTGCTCCTAGTTTAATAACATTTGGAACATTTCGATTGATATAAATTTAAAGAAAATTACGCTATTACGCATGGAATTGCCCAGAAGCAAATCCATAGGTGACTCAATAGACGTCAAATAATAAAATTAATTTAGCATTTTATACTAAGCAATCACGATGTATTAATTATATTAATTATAATCGCACGGAATATTTAGTGATTATTTATTAAATTTTAATTGAACGAAATAAAGAACAACTATTGTTTTATTTTAATATAAACTACACTGTTTAAAAGTTTCACTATTTTATTTAAATATGACAATTGTTTCGCTACACAGTAGCATCTTCAGATCTGAAGATGCTACTGTGTAGCGAAACAATTGTCATATTTAAATAAAATAGTGAAACTTTTAAACAGTGTAGTTTATATTAAAATAAAACAATATTAACATGGAGTTTCATCAAGTAAAAGTCGAAACAATTAATTAAAGAACAACTAGTTTATTAGTATAATATTATGATGATAGACGAGTCGCCAATGTCGGAATTTCAAACAAATGTCAGTACGTCAAAATTAATTCAAGCGCAGCATTTTGACAGAGCTGTGTTTATTTTTAGTTTAGGATATTTATCGGCATTGTAAGTAAGGGTTATAAGTTTTTTTAGTTTTTATCAATAATTTCTTATGCTTTTAGCCAAAATTTTATCCCACATGATTTAATTGAAGAGTTGCAGTGCGTGTAATTGTACATTTAATGTAAATTTTGCTTATTATATTTATATTACGCCCTTGAAAAAAAAATAGTAGGTATATGTTATTTGAAGTAGAAGCTCTTTTTGTGCTTCGTACAGTTGCCTGCCTCAGCTACGCTTCGGCCGTCAATCTCTGTACTCACCACAAAAAGAGTCACTTCCACTCCTTATGACATAATCTACTATTTTAGTACATACATAACCACAATTTTAAATTTTTTGCGGCACTTAAAATAAAAAGTTAAAGGGGGCGACATTATAGGGGATCACCCTGTACATGAAACAATTTTTTTTTGAATTGATTATGTTAATAAACTGCAGTTTATTAACTACATGTAGTGGTAAAAGTACAATTTTTAAGAAATGTTTCAAAACTATAAACAAAGGTTTTTAACCTGCTATTTCAAAATCTTTCATCCATATCTTTTTTTCCAGGATTTTTTTAAAATGTTGATTCTAATTTGGTGTATTTAATTTTACTAAAAAAATACCACTTTTATAAAAAAATCCCTTTTGTGTTTATTACAAACAATAAAAAAATGGAAAAAGTAAACGTTGATAAAAATATTTTTGGATGTGTAATATTTTGGTTTTTTCTCAATTTAGGACTACATTTTAGGGCATATTTAAATCTCCCAAAAACTACCAAAAGAATTTGATTTATGTATTTATTCTTAAATAAATTTTTTCCTTAGTTTCTTTAATGAACCTAAGAAATATATCAAAATCCCAATTAATTTAAAAGACCTAAAAAGGAAAAGCTAACAAGCTTTTCCGGAGGTCAGTTTTCCAGTTCTGCAAGCAGAGGGTGAATGTTTTTTGCCCCTTTTTGCCGGCGCATGCGAACCGTCGCACAGTGGGAGGAATTTCAAAAATCGCGGACAAAATTAGGGACACATTATTTTAAGCCATTTTAAGGTTTATGCGGTGGTAAATTTATGCTAAAATATTAATATTAATAAAATGTTTTAATTACGTACACAAATTCACAAATTTGTTTTAAACAATTTGAAAAAGTTCGGTATTGTCGATCCTCCATTTTCCAAAAACATAAATTAATAAACAAATATATTACGCAATATTACCTAAGCTAAAAATAGAAAAAAAAACAATAACAATTAAGGAATATTCGAGCTAAATCACTTATATACATTTTTTTCGATACATCTTTTTTTTGTAAATTTCGCATCTTTTGCTTTATTTAGGTATATCGACTACTATAGTGACTTGGTCCAAAAAACCCTATATCGATGTTAAAATAACATTTAAAAGTTGACGCAAAACCGGTTAAATCCACGTTTTTCACCTACTCTCTAAAAATGAATTAGTCAAAAATGACTAATTTAATAGTTATTATTGGCTGCTTTTTTACTTGTACCATGGAACTATGGAATATAATGGTATCCCAAAATCCAATTCTTATGTAAAATTGTCCCCTGAATCCGAAAAAATTATGAAAGTGGAGCAGTTTTTGAAATATAGTCAATTCCATATTAAATGAAAAATTGACTATATCTCAAAAACTGTTTTACTTTTTTAACTTTTGACGATATTTTCGGATTCAGGGGACAATATAAGATTTATCAATAATATCCAGGTTTTCGGTTAGATACTTTAAAAGTTTGTTGTGTTTTTCTTTGTCATTAACATTTTTTAATAAGTTCATACAACTCCTTAATAGTCGTTGATGGCATTTCTACATAAAAAGAAGGAAGTTATTCAAATAAACATGTAATATTTATATTAATATTATAACTTACCAAATATTATTAAAAAGCGTTAATAAACACAAAAATGAGATTGTATGTATGATTGACTTTTACTGGAAACTGACGTTTTAGAACTAGCAAAAGGCAACTATGATGACTTATAAATATTCGACTAATATGATAAATTCATGGACATATTTCATATTCTGCTGACCAAACAGGCAAAAAAAGGCAGCTTAATTCTTTTGACTTTAAAAAAAGAAAATTTGATGAACGTTCTGGTACCAAATACTTTGCGTCACACCAAGGCACACCTAACGAAATATCTTGTGGTTTCTAAAAGATTTATCTACTTTTAAAGGCGATGGTAAAAGGTTTATAAAAACCGTATTTATGGTAAAATTTGCAATTTTAGACTTTTATATGAAAGAACAAGGATAAGGAATGTAGTAAAATATACCATCATTTCCTTTCATTAATTACGCAAACAAAAATGGGCTTAAAAAACTTACATACAATTTGCTCTAAAAAACCGACACGAACAATGTGACTTTTTAAGCAAGTTTAAGCGGGCATTTTATCATAAAAAAATATATTTCTTTTAAAATCATAATCTCTGTGCTTTCTTTTTTTATAACTCGTAATTTAAAATTTACTATGTTGATTTTTACAAAATAGGGTTTTGTCCGCGATTTTTGAAATTCCTCCCAGTGTGCGTCGCGACGCATACCGCCAGCGTACCGACGCCTCGCGACGCCGACAGTCAGTCAGTCAAGTTGAGCGGTCGAGACACACCCACGTGCTACCAAATAATAAATCCTTTTTCAAAAAAATGTAACACATTACATCCGATACGATACAGTTCAGTTTTTCGTGTAATAAATTTTCGAAACCAATAAGTCGCTTGAGTAGTTTTTTGAGTAGATCTAAGATGGCTTTTCACGCACCACAACAACATCGTTGTTTTGTTTTTGTTGATGAATTTGTAATTTGAGGGCAGATGAGAAAACATCTGCTCTTTTATTTTGCTCTTTTCATTTGCGCTTTCTTTATCTTTTTCGGTATAATATTTTTGGTAAGTTTTTTTAAGGCGCTTAAATCGATGGCTTGTATTAAACTTTTTTCTTTAAGTCGATAATGTTGTTGGCGATATTGATTTTGTTATGAGATTATTACATACAAAATATTAAATAATTATTGCTTTCACAACTAATTTGTCTGTTACATTGTGAGCACAATTAAAATTATATTATGCATTTTAATAATTGGCTTGGCAAAAAAATCACGCTTCAAAATTGTTCAAGTTTGATAAGATAAATTTATAGTAGGTACAGTCAATCTGTGTTTTGACATCGAACAAATTTCTACTGGCGGTCTAAAAGGTTTCCTATTGGTTGGACAAAAAAGTTTTAGGCCGAAAAAAGTTGAGCTTGAAATTTTTAACATATTTGTCCACAGGCAAAACCATCTGTATTGACTTCCTAAAAAGATAGAGGGCGTTAAAGTAAACAAAAATTAGTTTTTTTACATTTTAACCCTTTATAGTTGATTAAAACAAAAAACGCTAGATGAAAAAGTTGTAGATCTCAAAAATATCTAGGTATAAAAAATATAAAGTGTTTTAATCATTTTTTAGTCCTTTAGAATTTTTTCGGTGGACCCCCTGATTTTTCCACAGATTGACTGTGCTAAAAGTATTTAAAAAATAGTACAAATTGGCTTGTAAATTTGAACCTGTGGAAATGTAGATTCCACAGGGTAGGACTTACAGTCTAGGATTTACTCGATGTTTTTTCTTTTTTTACAGATAATTTTAACCTCTAGCTTACGTAAATAGGTTACGATTTCATAAAGCTTCCCCACGTCGATCGATTTATTTTGATTGAATAAAAAGAAAGCAAAAAAACACGTCCTTAGTACTCTAATGTGATAATGCCTTTGCATAAAATCTTGTAGACTTGTAGCTTTTTATACGGAACGAAAAAAGTAATAGATATTGATAGGCTCAATAGGAAAAAAGTTTTTCGGGTGATGAATCTAGTGCTCAGTAATAAAGAAGACAGTTGAATTTCGAAAAATGTCCAAGACCATCAATGCGTACAGGATGTAAGTTTTTAAATTGTTTTGTGAGTTGTAAAAAATGCTTTAAATTAATAACAATTGCGCGCACCTTTTACAATATTCCACGAAATGAAAAAAGTAACTTGGTATCATTCTAAAAAGGAAATGTTTGCCTAAAAATGTACAAAAATGTATGTTTCTTTTTAATATAATATCAAATTACTTTATTTTATTTTATAGAATTTTGCAACTTAAAAATAGCTTATTAATAAAAATAAATTTCCCTATTTTGACCTTGAAAGGAAAATAAGAATCAGGTAGTATTGAAAAATAGTCCACATTAATATCAACCCAAGTAGCACAACTGGTTAAATAAGTAGCATTATAATTAAAAAAACGTTTTTTAACTTGTTTTTATTAACCAATTTAATTGGTTAAAAAACAAGTTAAAAAAACTAATAGTTGTATTCAACCATTTACATTTTTAGTTAAATATTCGGTTTATTTGTGGTCAATTTAAACTCTTGAAATAACCTATATTTACCTAGATAAATTAAGGTTATTTCAAGAGTTTAAATTAACTATACCTAAATTAACCAAATATTTAACTAAAGCACAATCCACACAAGGTCTGTTCTATCTCGTACTAAAAATACAAAAAATCACTGCAACACTGCACAGTTTAACGGCGGCCATTTTTGTTGTTTAAAATTTTTGTGCTTTGGGTTTGTGCTCTGTTTATACAGATTAATAATCGTTTTAAACGTTGTTTCTCATAGTAAGCCTTAAAAGAGTCCTTAAAGTGCTAAGAACAACCATTTTACTCCTCTATTGTAAAAAATAAACTTTATTCTATCAGGGCTGTCATAAAACTGTCAAATGTCAATTTTAAGTTTAAATTATAACCCACAAATTAACCTTCAAAATGTCATTTGACAGCCCTGATAGAATAAGGTATATTTATTATAAAAGAGGAGTAAAATGGTTGTCCTTAGCACTTAAAGGCCTTATTTGAGGCTTACAAGTGCCTCTGTAATAAACACAACGTTTAAAACAATTATTAAACAGCACAAACCCAAAGCACAAGAATTTTAAACAACAAAAATGGCCGCCGTTAAACTCTGTGCAGTGTTGCAGTGATTTTTAGTATTTTTAGCATGAGATAGAACATACCTTGTTGTGTAGATTGTGAACTAAAGTACATTTTTTTATCTGGATGCGGCAACGTTGCAAATTTAGGGTTTTGGTTGGTAAATACAGTTGTCAAGTTGGTCGCATTGATTAAAACAAACTAAGCTAATTCTGGTTATGTATAAATTATTGTAGGTTACATTGTGCAGTTGTCAAGTTGAGTTGTCGAAATTCATAGTTAAAAATGCAATTAATTTGGCTTTGGTGGTGCTTGGATAAGTAAAATCATATAAAATAAGTAGTTAAATATAGGTTGCTTCACAGCCCAGAAGAGAAAGTATTCCTGGCGGATAATAATCTTCGCTTTGCAAAGAATTTATATAAAAGAAATTAAAATTTTTTGTGAACGTAAATATTCTCCAATGGTGAATAATGTGAAAATAATGTGTGATGTAATATTTATAAAACCAAATTCGTTATTTTTTTACTCCAAAAATGTCCATAGGGCGATGTACTTTTTCTTCCATTGTGGCATTTGGCATAATTTCATCAAAATTAAGTTTTGCCCTCAAAAGGGCTTTTACATTCGAATTCGTTGCTAATATTTGTGGCATAATTATCTTTTTATTTATAATTGACAAGTAAATTATCAATAAAAAATATTATTGTCAATTTGGCAGTGTCAAAGTATTAAATTAAATTCTCAGTACCACTATTAAATACTAAAAATACTAGGTCAAACTGGCATAAGCCATCAACCTAACAAAAAAACACGAGTCCAGATAAAAAAAAATGAACTGCAGTTAGTAGCAATAGTCAAAGATAATATGTATTATCTTTGGCAATAGTGGCTTTTGGGCATTTTAGTAAAGTTAGCTTTATTATAAATTAGGAAAAAGTTAGGTTAAATCAGTTAAAAGTTGACAGATGTCAAATGTTTAACAAATAAAATTGACTTTAAATTCTTATTTGTGTTCGTCGTGGCTTAAAAAGTAGATTATTTTTAAAAACCTACCTAATTGGTTTCAATTTTCTTTTCAAAGTCAAAAATCGGAAGCTTTTTTGGGAAATTTTCTACTATTCTTTAACGCTATTTTTCATCTAATAAAGCCTGAGTTATAGATTGCCTTCCTTTCTCCCTTCCTTCCTCCCGTAAGAGATGAACAATACGAAAATTGTAGTGCCATTTATAAATTTCCGTACGAGAATCTATAAACAGCACAACGGTTTTTGTATTATTCATCTTTTACGGGAGGAAGGAAGGAAGGAAGGAAATCTATAAATCAGACACTGAAAAACAATATACCTACTTTTTATATTTATATTTTAAACTACATATTATGGATTGTAATATTAATTGTAAGCATGTTCTTCTATAGTCCAAAACTATTCCGAGAAACCGAGAAATCCTTTGTATTTGCGATATGAATGAGGATTGTCATTTAAATGATAATTGTTCAGCTCAACCCACTCTTTGTAAAATGATAAATTACTTCATTACACCATTTTGATGACCTAAATTTTGTTTTCCAATGAAACAGTGTGTTTTATTATAATTTTATGTTTATGATTTGGGGAAATTACATTTTCTAAATTTAATTTACTCAACTGACAAGCTTCTAACAATCAAGCTAACTTCTTTTTCGTTCGACCTTCAAACAGACAATTATAATTATCAATGTGTTCTTTTTCTATTTCAGTAAGAAAATAGAGAGCCTGGGTAAAATGACAGCGATGACGCAGGAAGAGATCGTGGCGGCCGTGAAAACGGTGGCCCAAGGCCTGGAGGCCCTCAGGTCCGAGCACGCCGGGATCCTGCACGGGATACATGAGGCCCCCGATCCGGTCGTCAGCGAAAGGGCCGGACTCGTGCAGCAGAGCGCCGAAATGATCGAGCTGGGGCTCGGCGAGGCACAAGTGAGTTTTTTTTTAAATTTGTAACTTTATTCTCTATGTAATGCAATAAACCAATCACAGCGCGACATTCTCCACAGCACACTGGATAGTCGCAAATGTCATTTATCTGTCAAAAGTTATGCGACTATCTTCTGATTAGAGATGCTAATGGTTATTTTAATATTTCTACTTAACTAAACACAAAAGTCGTTTTTTCGCGTAAATACTATGTAATACTACGGTTAAATAAGTCATGACGTCACAGTTAATTCATATAACCATGGTTAGGTTTCTAACATTTGACATTTGTTTACTTGTTCATAACCTATAATTTTTGAAATGTGTTTTTACCTATTTATATTTAATTTCTATGCTTTTACCGGTGTAAATAAATTTCTTTGCCTCTTTTTATACCTAGTATATTCTTTTTCTATAGGTACTAGTTTTTTTAATACACGTTATCCAATTCTCCTACATGTTTAATACAAAATAAGGAAGAATATAAAAAAACCTGCATATAATTCCTCCACTTGTGGAGATTCACAATATGGAGCACCCTATCATTTATTTTTACTGACAACACCCCGTTTACCATTTTAATACAAAGTTTAAATTCGGTTTAAGAGCAATTGTACCTATAGGTATACTTAAAATATTTTAAATTTCAAATGTAAACAACTTCTTGACAGATCGAAACAGAGAAAAATATATATTAAAAATAGAAAGACTATTAACCACGTTGAATAACTAGCTCAGCGATATAGTTTTATGGTCTGGTATTTGTGACGTCATAGTTAGGATTTTTGAACGCACTCTAAACGCAAAAATGCCTACTATTAACCACGGTAAAGTTTAATAACCATAGTATTTCATTCCATAGTATTTCATGGTATTTACGCGACTATTTCCCTCGTCTTAATTTCCACCAATCACAAAAGCGCAATTTTGAATTACAAATGGTTTCTAGGTGAAAAAACTGTGTGACAGCACCTGTCAGTAGTTTATTCGAGTTTACCCGCGGCAAAACTTGACAGCTGTTGTCACCAAAAATTGCAATTTATATTTTAATTGTTAACTGTTACTCATGAAATAGTCTTGTCAAATACCATTCGGGCATATAATTTTTCCTGTGAAAAAAATCGAAAAAACACAATGCTAAGTAATATTTTTTAACAAAAAGCATTCGTGCAGGTGCAAAAATCCTCCTCTTCGACTCGGATTTTTGTTGCCACCAGCACTCATGCTTTTTGTTAAAATATTACTTAGCAACGTGTTTTTTCGATTCTTTTCGGAAAAATTAAATGCCGTTATGATATTACTTACGAAAAAACGACTAAAATATCCGTCAAAGGTTAATAAGATTGGCTTTGATTAATACTAGTAAAGGGTTTTCTGGAGTGCCTTTGTTTGATGCCCTTTATAAATTTTCCGTCCCAATTAATTAAATTTCATGCATTAATGAAAGTGTTGGATTTTTTAAAAAATAATAAAAAAAATATTTCTAAAACTCATTCTAATTCTAATAATATCTTTATTGCGCTAATACTAACTATACCTTGCCATTATTTTCTTAATAGTTTTATCGTTTTAACCGAGCGATTTAATCAATCGTGTTTTCATTAGAAGCAAAGAGAATTAAATTCTATTTTAGGAAATTCATTAGACCTTTCTTCTGCACTAAATAACAGTTTATAATTATTATTATGGTTTCTTATTATTATTATTATTTTTATGAATAAAATGTAATATTAAAGTTGTAGATCTCAAAAATATGCACTAAAAGATTTTGATGAATATTCCTGTTTGGAAATATTAAATTAAACAGGTTGTAAATTTAATGAATATAAACCTACATTCTAAAAATACATCTCTAAGCGAAATCGATTTTGCCAATTTTGAAATCAATATTTTTGCTCTGATATTGAAATATAAAGAAAACTATTAAATTAATTCATACTTAATTAAAATCAATTTAATAGTTTATTATGTACCAAGTTTGATAAACGCCATTTTAGACACGAATTTAATTTAGGCACGAGCGAGCTTGCGAGCGAGTGCTTAAATTAATGAGTGTCTAGAAAAGTTTATAAACGAGTTGCATACTAGACTTTTTCTACGACAAATATCATTATATATTATTATCTTAATAGTATATTATGTATCAAGTTTGATAAACGCCATTTTATACACGAATTTAATTTAGGCACGAGCGAGCTTGCGAGCGAGTGCTTAAGTTAATGAGTGTATACAAGTTTATAAACGAGGTACATACTATACTTTTTCTACGACAAATACTTATTATTATCTTAAAGTGATTTAAATCAAAAATTTGTATAGAGCGCCATCTATGAAACAACAGGGGCGCCATCTATGAAACAACAGGGGAACAACTGTCAAATGTCACATTTTTACATTTTATAAACACAATTATAAAGGTTAAATCGAAATGTATCTTGAAAATTGACAGTTTTTCACAGTGAAAGTAAAGGAAATGTTTTATGAGGACTTTACAGTAGAGTCCGTGCCCGAATTTAAGTTATAGTTTACTGCCGGCGAAATTAAAAGGTCAGTACAATGTTCATATAAACTTTTCAAATATTGGCGTTGAGAAACTATGTAATGCTTTTGTATTTTTGTATTGCGACAATAAAATAATTTTCACATTTAGTATTATTTTACAAGAAGGGCACTTTATTTTAACGATTGTATGACATGTGACAACTGTCAACTAACTTAAAGCCCGTGACTAAAAACCTGTTGCTAACTTCAGCCCGTGACTAAAACGCCATAAAGCCACAACTTTTCAATGTGTATTTAAAAGGTCACTTAGTGTCATGGAAACATGTACGATAATGGACGTTTTAAAGGTGGGAATAGAAAAATAATATTGTACCATGACAAGGAAAATTTATAGAAAATCATTGTAAATATTCACGGAAAAGGGTTTGCTTATTTATACAGGGTGTATAACAAAAATTAAAACAAAGTTGACAGGTATTTTAATTTCTTGTGGCTTTATGGCGGTTTAGTCACGCGCTGAAGTTAGTTGACAGTTGTCAAATGTCATACAATCGTTAAAATAAAGTGCCGTATTTTGTAAAATTATACTAAATGTGAAAATTATTTTATTATCTCAATACAAAAGTACAAAAGTATTAATTAGTTTAATTTTTACGGAAGACATTTCTATTTTTACAGGAAAATTTGACAAACTGACACGGACATTTTAAAAGCTGGCAATACAGATTCCTACTACGAATTTTGGCTACTTTATTTTCGTACAGATGTCGCTCTAAACAAATATTTAAATTAATAAGTAGGTAATACATTATTTTTTGTAATATTAGGACGCCAAGACAGGGGCACAAATTTTAAAACTAAATCCAGGACACTTGACAACCTGGTTCACATAGACTCTACTCTGGCGTCTTAATTTTTAACATAAAATCGAAATAACTTAAAATTCTATAAATATATTGCATCCTGTATTGATTTTATCAAGTGAACATCAACATGCAGCTGAATTTTCTCTGTACGCATGTTCATATAGTTTAATATACAGTTCATTTTTTTGTTGTACTTCTGCTAAAGAATTTAATTAAATACTTTGACACTGTCAAATTGACAATAATATTTATTTTTGTTAATTTACTTGTTAATTATAAATAAAAAGATAATTATGCCAAAAATAATAGCAACGAATTCGAATGTAAAAGCCCTTTTGAAAACTTCATTTTGATGAAATTATGCCACAATGCCACAATGGAAGAAAAAGTACATCGCCTTATGGACATTTTTGGAGTAAAAAAGTAACGAATTTGGTTTTATAATATTACATCACACATTATTTTCACATTATTAGTGGACAACATTTACGTTCACAAAAAATTTTAATTTCTTTTATATAAATTCTTTTGAAAGCGAAGATTATTATCCGCTAGGAATACTTTCTCTTCTGGGCCGTAAAGCAACCTATATTTAAATACTTTTTTTTATATGATTTTACTGATCCAAGCACCACCAAATTTGGCTTAAGCCAAATTAATTGCATTTTTAACTACGAATTTCGACAACTCAACTTTACATCTGCACAATGTAACCTACAATAATATATACATAACCACAATTAGATTTATAACTAGCTTAGTTTGTTTTAATCAATGCGACCAACTTGACAACTGTATTTACCAACCAAAACCGTAAATTCGCAACGTTGCCGCAGTCTAGATAAAAAAATGAACTTTAGTTATCTTATAAGATCGCCAATGAATAATTAGCTTTACTTCGGTAACGGTCCAATCGAATTCGATCGAGTTTGTGTATCACGGGCATCGCGATATAGAGAACGAAGTACGTGTTGAATTTTGGCCAGCGGCTTGCACGGTGGGCATGAGTCATCGGATCGGTGTCCCCGGCCTCGATCGATGAAAGTGTACCACGTTCGAACGAACAAGCCGTTTCCCCTTTCCCATGTTATGTCTGCTGTGACTCATGTTTCGCACAATGACGCCGCACGGGATTACATTTTTATATTTTATTTTATTCTGGAAATTTGCGAGTTTATTTCCCTGGAAAGTGGTTAGCCAATCAGAGCACCGCAATATAGATTGCGACAGATAATCCGGTGCTCCGATTGGCGAAAACGGCTTTGTTTAATCATTACAACAAGCTACAGAGTGTAAATTAATTGTTAACAATCAGGAAACAAATACTAGAAAATTTCTTAATCCTCTCTACTACACTGAGCAAGAGAAATTGCTTGCACTCATTACTTAATAATCATTATGGTTTATATTAAAACCATAAACATATTGCATTTCGTGGAATTCAAACTAAGCGAAATATTGTTTGAAATTTAATTCTAAATCGATAATTTGAAATTTGATGCTTTTAAGGAAATATTATCCCTGATAATTTCAGCCTTATAGGGTGAATGGTGTTCTCAATTGCTAAATGAATAAATTACATTGTAATCCATAATACAATTCCTTAATATGCCCGGCAGTCTGCACGAACCGAGA